TGCTTGCCAGGCAGGCACTTGTGTTGCTGAGCTATATCCTCAACACCTTGCAATTCTTGTAATTCTTGTTTCTATTTAATGTGTCTTTTCTTTGATCAGTGCTATAAGTTTTTTTTTGCTCTTCAATGATAGAGTTATTTCCAAAAGATGAAAAATATTAACAAAAGATGAGAAATATAAAATAAAAGGCGGCCTTTATTCTGAGAACACGGAGAGAGATGACCGGCACCCCCACCGCTGGCGTCTGGTGATCTCTCCAGCGGACACATGGCGTGGGGGCCTGTAAATAGCCTCGGTTTGGGGTGGAACCTAAGGCGGGCATTAGGGATACACAGGTAGCTCATTGGTCCTAGGTTTGGCGCCATATGTAAATTTCCAGGGGCGGGAAGATGGCGTCACAGGTAACTTCCTAGGGGCAGGGCAAGATGGGGCTTCCTGCTTCCGGTTGTGGCTTTCCTGGCTACAGTGTCCTGTCTGGGCCAAAACCTTTCATACAATGTCAGAAGTTTCATGTTTGTTTGTTTTATGAGACAGGGTCTCACTATATTGTTCAGGCTGATCTTGAACTCACTATATAGTCCAGGCTGGCCTCAAACTCATGACAATCCTTTTTCCTGAGCCTCCTGAGTACTGAGATTATTCATGTATACCACCATATCCAGCAACACTGGCAGTCTGAATACTGTGTATGAATGTTCCTTTTCTGTGGTTTTGTCTGTCTTAACATTTGTTATTTGTGCTTTTGTTTCTTTTCTTTTCTTCTCTGCTCTTCTCTTCTCTTCTCTTCTTTTCTCTTCTCTTTTTCTTTCTTTTCTTTTTGGTCCAGGAATCAAATTCAGAACCTCGTGCTTGCCAGGCAAATGCTGTGCCACTGAGCTATATCCCTGGCCTTCCATCATTTGTGCTTTAAGCCTTTAGATCTCACAGATTGTTTTGGCCTGTGGGTAAGTCCACAGAGACCCTAGAAAGGGAGTGGGGATGAAAAGGGACAAGAGACAGGAAGAATGGAGACAAGTCAGAAGTCCGAACAAGTCTCATTTAAGGAAAAAGTAACAAATATATAAGGTATTGGGGGAGGAGGGAGTTGGGTTCTGAGACATCAGCAGGTAACTTAGCAACAGTGGCAATACTGAGGGTTATAGGTTAAATCAAATTTTTAAATTTCCTGCGCTTGGGCTCATAAGCATAATCCCTGAATGGGCCAAACAAGCTAGGCAAGGAGCTGCTTAACTACCAAACTTAATTCCTAGAGGGGGTTAAGGTGGTGCTGCCTGCAGATATAAGGTAGCAGCCAATTACAGAGCTTCCCACAACAAATCACTTTTTTATTTCTTGAAAATTCATAGCCATTATCTCTTTAACAATTTCTCCTACTCCATTCTCTTTCTCTTATTCTCTTGGGAGGCCTGTTTGGACGTTCTCCTGTCATTCAGCATTATTCCACATCTCTTGGATCTTCTCTTGAAGTTCCTTTCTGTTTTCCAATTTGAGTAATTCCTATTTTTCCTTGCTTGTGTTGTTTTTTAAGAGTGGGTTGCTTTTTAAACTTACTTCGCATCTTACATACTTTGGCTGAATGCCACGCACTGCATTTGGCCAGGAGAGTTTGATATAGGTGGTGTTTGGTCTTGAAGTCAATGTGCACCTTCTGCCAAGTCACTGGTGCTGTCCCTGTGGTCCACAGAGAAGGCAATTTTGTGCTTGCTGCTCTCATGGTTGCCCTCTAACACCATCTGCACTTTCCTCTGGCACTGTTTTCATGATGCAGGGTGGTACTGCCTCAGGAATGTTCTTCCTGCCTCCACTTTGCATTTGGGTTCCCCTGCGGACCGCTGAGTATCTTCGCCGCACCTCCAGCATTTATCTGTCAGTTGTTAGCCCAGAGTGGTGGTGATATGGACAGGACGTTGTCTCTTGTCTCAGTCCATCTCTGGTCTTGACCGTCCTGGGCTCCACGGTGAGGCTTTCTCAGTGATCCTGCCTGCATCCTCATGGTTCCTCATTGGGACAGTTTCCTCCCTCCCTGGTGGTAAGAGACCTCAAAGGGTCTGGCACTAGGGCAGGTTCTCCCCACACTGGAGGGTAGATGTCCACAGTGGATTTCTATCTTTTTCCTGAGGACAACAGGATTAACTGTCCCATCCAAGTTTTCAGGCTTTTGTTTCACAGGAAGAAAGGGTCTGTGTGGGTTCCCTGCCTTCCAGGTGCAGTGACCTGTCCCTTCTCCAAGCAGGAACACTGCAGGTGACTTCCTATGGTGCCTCCTCCTGCCTGGTCTCCATAGAGGTCGCAGGTTGCTGTGTGAATGAGAACTTGTGAGTAGGCTCTGCTTTTCTTGGGTGTGTGGCTCCCATGGATAATGTCTTCTCACCACAATTGGCTTTCAGTAGTTTGTGAGAGAAGTTTACCTGGCTTCTTATTACCTGTGCATATAGCACCTTGTGTCTCTTCTTCCTGTGCTGTGTGCAAGGGCACTGTGTGGATTCTGTCTTCCTAGAGACATTGTTTTCCCATGGGTGTCAGTTGATTTGCTTCTCAGGGAGATAACATCTGTGTGTGTGTGTGTGTGTGTGTGTGTGTGTGTGTGGTACCGGAGATTGAACTCCCAACCTTGAGTTTACCAAGCTGGCACTTAAACCACTGAGCTAAATCCTCAGCCCATACATCTCTTCTTTTCTCATTGTTGGGGTAGCAGTAATGCTTCCAACCTTCTCAGGTATGAATGAAATGTACAAATGATTGTGAATGAAACAAAGACAAACTTTTTTCTTGGTTTTTTTGTTTTTAAACATTTTGGTGGTAATTTGTAATAGCTAGATCTTGGAAACAACCTAAATGTCCATCAACAGAATAAAGACATTTTTTTTGTGTTTTTCATTTGTATCGGTACCAGAGATCGAACTCACTACTGCCTGCTTGCAAGGTAGGCGCTTATGCCGCTGAGCTAAATCCCCAGCCCCGAATAAAGACATTTTTATGCAATAGAGTACTACTCAGCTATAAAGAAGGATAAACTTGACACATTTATAGGAAATGGATGCAACCAGAGACTATATTCATAAGTGAAATAAATCAAACTCATGTGTGAATACTGTATTGTCTTCCTAGTGTGAGAAGCTGAAATTTTATATATATGTATATATATATATACATATGTAGTTAAGATAATTATGTTACTAGTTTCTTTTAGTTCCTTGAAAAGAAAGGTTTGCACTAATATTGTTTGGACAATTAAATGCAGAGATCTTGTACTCTGAGTAACTAATTTAAAGATAACAATATACAGTGTATTAACCATTATTACCCTCTATCTTGTTTTGAAATTTTTTTCTTTTTTCTTTTTTCTTTTTTTTTTTTTTGTGCTGAGGTCTGAACCCAGGGCCTCTTGCTTGCTAGACAAGTGATCTACCACTGAGCTAAATCCCCAGCCCCCCAAAGACAAATTCCTTTTTTTTTTGGTCTTTTTTCAGACAGAGTCTCACTATGCAATTCAGGGTGGCCTTGAGCTCACTTTGTAGCCCAGGCTGGTCTCGCACTCACAAAAATCCTCCTGCCTCAGCCTCCCAAGTGCTGGGATTATAGGCATGAGCCACCACGCCTGGCTCTAAAGATAAATTCTAAACAAACTTCTTTAAATTGTTTCATATGTGTTTTATGATGTATGAGAATATAAGATTTCCACTTACATTAGTATATAAAGTTTTCTTTTAAATTCGATTTTTATTTTTTGAGAAGTGAGTTAATTTGACAGAAAAGTCTCTAAATGATGCCAACTCTCAGCAGACATTGGTCAGGTGAATGAATGACTGATGTTTTGAAGACATGAAAGCTAGGTTTTCACAATGTTTAGAAAGGATCCATGTTGGCTGGGGATTTAGCTCAGTGGTATAAGTGCCTACCTGGCAAGTAGGAAGTCGTGAGTTCAATACCTGGTACAAAAAAAAAAAAAAAGACTCATATGTCAGTTATAATAGTGTACACCTGCAAGCCTAGCACTCATAAGGCTGAGGCAGGAGGACTTCAATTTAAGGCCAACCTAGGCTATATACCAAGAACCTATCTCAAAAATATAACAAAACAAAACCCAAAAGCTCCAGTGGCCCCTACTTATTCCTGCCTTCTCACCATTGCTTAGTAACTGACAATTCTTTTTTTCACACCATTTACCATATGGCATCCAGCATGCCACATTTTATTTATTATGTCTCTCTGTTCCCATTAGACTGTGTACCCCACAGGGCCAGTGCTTTTTCAGTCTTGCATTTTTCTCCCTGCCACATCTCTGGACCTTGAAATAGGAGTCGAGTGAAGCATGCTGAATGAGCACTGGGTGTTCGTAAAATAGTCACAGGAATTTCACCATTATTTCATTTCATTTTTACAGGAATCCTATGCAGGAGAGAGAATATGTATTATCTTACCCATTTTTTTTGTCTTTTTCATTTTTATCGGTACCAGGGATTGAAATCACGACCGCACACTTGCAAGGTAGGCACTTATGCCACTGAGCTAAATCCCCAGCCCCTTATCTTACCCATTTGACAGAAGAAGAAGATGAGGTACAGGTTGACTTTATCTTGAACTTGTAGAATTCCTAGATCAAGGCCAGAATGCAATTCAATCTTCTGCCTCCCTAGTGTAGGTGTATTTCAGATCAGAGGACTGGGAAATTGGGACTCATTTGTGGCTGCTTTCATGCTACTATAGTATGTGATACAGCTGCAGCAAAGACTATGGCCCATGAGGCTATAATACTTACTATCTTACCTTCTGCCTAAAGGGCCATCTGTGCTGAGATCTGACCCGTACATAGGACCCGCAGCTACTCAGAGGTTCCTGACACCGTTCAGGGTGATTAGAATCACTTTCATAACTTTAACATCATGTAACTGTCCTTTCTCACTGTGCTAACGTGTACAATGATGGTTCAGAAGCCACAGTGGATGCCTGAGTTTCCCGAGGCTGCTCAGAAACTCAGGAAACAAATGACCACAACCTGGTCGGTTTAAGCAATAGAATTTATCATCTTATGGGCATTGGGGGGAGGGGGTTGCTGAGACAGGTCTCACCATGTAGTGCAGGCTGGTCTTGACTGGGAGTCTTCCTGCTGTCCCAGTGGCCTTGCGTGTTCAGATTAAAGGCATGCACCACTATGCCCAATCCTCTCACTGTTCTGAAGGCTGTAAGTCAACTTTGGCCAAGCTCTCTCCAAGAGCCTCTGAGGGAAAACTGTATTTCTGGCTTCTTCCAACTTCTGATGACTCCAGGAGCTCTTGGCTGTGGTTACCTCTGTGTATCTGTGTTCATCTCTTGTGGTTTCTCCTCTTCCCATGTCATCTTTTATTCTGTTATTTGGGCATCTGTCATTGGATTTAGGGCCCATCTATGTAACACAAGGCCATTTCATTTGAGACTTACTTACATTTGCTGAGACTCTCTGAATACGGTAATATTTATGGATTCCGGGGTCAGGATGCAGCTATAACTTCTAAGGGTCACCATTCAGCTCACTCCTAAAGGTGAAACTGTTGGCACAATAGCATGGATCATGGTTGTGCCACCAGATGGAACTTGTGATCATCACACATCTTATCACACACACGGGGGGTGAAGAGTGATTCTATTTAATAATTTCTTTGATGAAGCAATAAAAATTACTCTTACAAATTTAGATCTTTGAATGTATATCTTTTTAGTATTCCATATCCTGGAATTTCTGGATCTTTGAGTGCAAACAGGGGAAAGGGTTTATGAGGCAGACTTCTCAAGATGTGCCCCTGAGCTTCTGCTAGATAAAGATACTGAGGGCTAAAAGTAAAGAACAAGTATTAATGCATTCTACCATGCCTGGCTTGCTCTTTTGGGCTTTTAATTTTGCACCAAGAAGTGTTGGGGTCTGTGCCTTGATCCTCAGTCTCCTAAATGAATGCACGGTGAAGGCCCAAATGACTGAGACAAGCAACATGATCTTAAGACTCCTGGACCAAAATCCTCTGCAGAGTTCATAACCCTGATAGCTGAGACAGACTATCTCTGGGAAGCCCATGTTTATTTAAAACAAGGAAGAGGCTGAGTGTGTAACACACTCCTGTAATCCCAGCACTTAGGAGGCTGAGGCAGGCTATTAGTTGCAAGTTCGAGACCCGCCTGGGCTACAAAGTGATCCCAAGGCCAGCCTGCACTGCAGAGCAAGACCCTGTCTCAAAAAGACTAAATAAATAAATACATAAAACAAGGAAGGGGTTGAAGAAGAAAATGCAGGGAGGGGTTAAAGGACTCCCTCAGAGCCAATGCCAATTAAGGAGAACTATCCTAGGAGAAAAATCTCTAGGTGGCCTCAGCTGTGGCCTATCTTGTGCCCTGAGGTGTTTCCTCATTCTCAGTTCAGCCATGCCTGGGCCATGCCACCATCATGCACATATATTCAGCTTCAATGGCTCCAACAAAGAAGTGTACATTACTGCTTTTTTTTTTTTTTTTTGTCTTTTTCATTTTTATTGGTACCGGGGATCGAACTCACGACTGCCTGCTTGCAAGGCAGGTGCTTATGCCGCTGAGCTAAACCTCTAGCCCCTACATTACTGCTTTTACAATGAAGAGAAAAATCCACCTCATGTCTGTGTAGATGATTTCACTTTTCCTTCTAAAGATGATAAAGATGGGAAGTGGACAAGAATGGTGCTCACCTGTTGGTGTCATGGATTTGTGCTGAGAAACATCCATCTTGGGGACCTTGACAGGGTACAGCCTGATCTATTTCTCTGTAGGAGGACTTGAAGACCTTCTGAATGCTGGGATTATGACTGCGTGGCACCTGCTAGATTTTCTCTTTTGAAGTGAGTCCTTTGGTTACCAGCACAATAGTGCCACCTTCGGGCCAGCAAGGTTGACAAGTGTGGCCCTTTAAAAACTTGGTCACAGAGCTCCAGTGGCGCAATCAGTTAGCAGCGCGCGGTACTTATATAAAAACTTGGTCAGGTTCCTGGTTTCTTCTCTTGTCAAGGCAGCTATTCTCTCTCTATTCTTTCCACTAGTTACCTTCTACTCAGGGAACTTCAGTCAAAACAAACTAACAACAGACATGTCATCCCTGATCAGGAACCCAGCAATTTTATGTCACTGTATTGCTGAGAATTCTGTTTCTTTCTTTCTGCTGTTGATGAATGATTTTGCTGAAGGAAGAATGAAGAACGATGTAGTAGGATCTAATTGAAATACTGTGTGCACAATGACTGCATATGCATGGTTGTGCAGGTACAAAGTATGTGTACATGTGGTTTGTCTGGAGTGTGCACGTGTGTGCCAACTGTGCATCTGTATATATGGTGGGTGTGCACTGTGCTGTGAGGCTGAGTTACAGTGGAGGCTGGCTCTCTTGGGATGAGTGGCAGCTACTTCCAGGGCTCCCCACAGTTTCCCTGCCCCTGCCAGTTCCACCTTCTGTAAGGATCTGGAGTAATGTGGCTTCCAAACGTGGCTGTGGTAGTTGAATTCATCCACCTCATTACCTGAAGAACAGTCCTTATGGGAAGTGTGGATGCACAGTGCGGCAGACACCAGCCACTGTGAAGCAAACTTTAAAACTCACAGGCTGGCATTATGCTAAGGGTGGGATCTGCAGGCCCTGCCCATCTCACAGTTAACTGTCAGACTCAGCTAGCTTTGACATATCAGGCCAGTAGAAACTTGTAAGATACATATAACCCAGCTGCACTACCCAGCCCGTAAACATGTCCTGTTGTGTTAGCTTGTTTCAAGGACTTATCACCTGGAGACAGACTATCTCAGTCAAAGACATGATTGCTTTTACCTGTTCACCCAAGCCCCTGACTTTCCACTATAAAAGAACCCCCACAGCTGGGGCTGGAGGTTTAGTTCAGCGCATAAGCGCCTGCCTTGCAAGCAGGCAGTCCTGAGTTCGATCCCCGGTACCGATAAAAAGGAAAAAGACAAAAAAAAAAAAAAAAAAAGAACCCCCACAACTAAACCTGCCCAAAATGAATCTGCCTAATGAAGTACGACAAAACATGGGTAACCAATTATAAAATAACCCACTATCAGCTTTTTGTATTTCCTGTTTGCAATAAAAGCTTTTGTTTAACCCCGAGTTAGGACTGTTGGTTTGAAACTGGATTCCAACCGCCTACAGCCGTAAAAAAACTGTTGCCTTCCAAGTGCCTTGGTGCTGTGTGTTCCATCCGGTTCAGTAACATTTCTGCAACTACTGTGCCTCGGAGATGGGCACCTCAGACCAGGCAGTTTGCCTGAGGAACTGGCCTTCCTGGTGAAACGTTAGGGTCACTCGACCCTAACCCTTGGTGTCTCTCAGGGCCTGCAGTTCTGGTTCAGGCCCTGCTCATCATCCTTGCTCTGGGCTTCCAGACACCCCTTCAAGCAGGACTCCTGGTCTTTCCCAGGGAGCCCCTGAACATGCCAGGCTGGTCTTACAAATGGCCCTGAGAACCTGAGGCAGAGGGCATTCTCTGGCTGGTCGTCTTTCCTGAGCAGTTTGGGTGCTGAGCAGGGAGCGATCTTAAGAGGTGCATGCCCTTCAACCCTTCGCAGAGACAGGAAATCCCCTGTGGTCCGCTTTCCCCGCAGTTGGAGACAGACCCGCATGGCAGCCTCTGGGAATTTTCAGTAATGTAGGCCAGAGGTTTTCAGCATCTCCACCATCTGGGTTGGCCAAGTTGTCTCTTCAAGACCAGCCCGACGCATCGGCGACGCCACCATTCTTCGCACGTGATACTACAGTCAAATCCAGCTCCAAACGCAGGTGGACTTTTCGCAGTGTTAAGGCTGATATACTGCCACCACCAAAATGGCCACCACCCGTTTCCACCCGAGGCCACTACAAATATAGCTAAAATGTGAGGCTCCTGCCCACTTGGGCGTGTGGCCTTCAGCAAATGGATGTGCGCGTCTGGCCGCAACCAATAGGAAGGCAGCGCGGGTTGGACGGCGCGCGCATCTCCTGTGGCATGAAGCTCAGCAATGGCGGGCGCGAAGGGCTGCAGGAGGCCTTGGGAGGAGCTCCTGGGTAGGTGGCCGGCTGGCCGGGTCGGAGCGTTGGGCTGCGCTACTCCTGGACCGCCGGGTGCGACTTCGGCCCAGGTCTCATTGGCGGCGTCCCGGTTCTCCTCCCGAGGCTGCCGGCTGAGCTCAGGGTCGGGGTCGCATCGGTCTGCCGTAGCAGGGCCAGGGTGTCTGCGGTCCCGTTCTGAAACTGATCTCCCTCTTAGCGGGAAGGGTCAAGCGGCAAAAACATAATACTGAGCGTGAACAGAACTTAAAGGAATCAGCTATGCAGCTCCTGAGACGCCACCAGAACTTGGAGGACCTTCTGCTTGAGGTAAGAGAGAAACCGTGCAACTTGCGACCGCAGTGTTAAGTGGAATAAAGACGACACACACGCTGAAATGTCGCACTTCTGTGAAACAACCACAGCATAAGAACTTTTTATGAAAGAAAGTGCATGCACCTACTCCTTAAGGTGAATGTAAACATTATGTATTGCAAACAGGTACTAATAAAAAATACACAAGAGGAAGTTGGCTTGGCCTTTGCAGGCAGGTTTAGTAAAGTTTTGAACTTGAGAAGCATAGTGTACCTGATGGAGGCGATCGGTGAGAGGAAAAGCTGGAAGCATTTACCTTTGGAGACAAAAGTACTTAAATAATGAATTTGGTAGTAATTTTCAAGAGGCTTTAGTAAGTTGTAATTTTAAAAATATTTGAGAATGCCGATCATTCAGGCATTAAATGAACAGAACCTGAATTTTTTTTTTCAGAACCTGAATTTTAAAAGCAGCATTTTTTTTTTTTTTAAAGCAGCATTTTTCATGTTTTGGTTTCTAGGTAGAAGATCCACCTTGTAAGAAATTGTGTCCCAGTCAGTTGATTGATTGTGACAGTGCTGAGGCCTGCAGTGATTGTTCTAGTTCTTTTATAGGTGAGTTGCAGCTTTCTTTCTTTTTTTGGGGGGGGCGGGGTACTGGGAATAGAACGCAGGGCCTCATGCTTGCCAAGCAGGCACTGCACCACTGAACTAAACCCATGACCCCGAGCTTCATTTTCTTTTTTTTTTTTTTTTTTTTTTTTTTGTCTTTTTCATTTTTATCGGTACCGGGGATTGAACTCACGACCACCTGGGCTTGCAAGGCAGGTGCTTATGCCGCTGAGCTAAATCCCCAGCCCCGAGCTTCATTTTCTTAATTGAGTTATAGAGAACTTTTTATAATAAGTGATTGTGATCTGCTTATAAGTAGAAATTTGAGAGGCCAGAGATTTAGCTCAGTGGCAAAAGTGCTCACCTGGTACACACAGATTCATAAGTTCCATCCCTGGTACAAAAACAAACAAACAAACAAACAAATAAGTAGAAATTTGAATTCCCCCAGTAATGAATTTCTGCTTGTGAGTATAGTCACCACTTGCACATAATGTTTTGTGGCTTATTTTGGGTTTTACTGCTGGGTTTAAAAGCTGTTTGATTCACATTAGGCTCAGAGGTAGGAGGAACCAGAGTCCCCACCTCATTTGAGGAGTGGTGCTAACAGATTGTGCTGTTCTGGGGCAAACAGACCATACTCTAGAACGCTCATCATCTTGGTGTCACCCCCACCCCACTCGAGAGTAAGGTAGGGAAAGTTATGAGGAGTAACAAAGCATAAGCCATTTTTTGTCTTTTGTATTTTTAATATGTAATGACTATTGTTTTGGAAAGTGATATTAACTAATATGTTTTAAAGTCTATTAAAGGCTGGCATGGTGGCACATGCCTGTAATCCCAGCACTTGGGAGGCTGTGAGTTCGAGGCCAGCCCGAACTATATAGTGAAACCCTGTATCAGAAAAAAACAAAACGTATTAAAAGAACCTTAATAACTCTGCCTTGACAACAGATCACTAAATTCCAGTGGTAAGTGATACTGCTTTTTCTTGCCATAATTACATTTGAATTTCCTAAATTATGCATCATCATTCCAGGAAACCAAGCTTAGCCATACATTCTTTTTTTTTTTTTTTCTTTTTATCGGTACTGGGGATTGAACTCATGACCACACACTTGCAAGGCAAGGCGCTTATGTCACTGAGCAAAATCCCCAGCCCCTAAGTCATACGTTCTTGAATGGACTTTGGATCAAAGCATAAGAACCTATATAAGAATATTTTAAACCTTAGCTATAGAAATATAGATTTACTAACTTTTTTAGTTTGATTTTTAAGAAGGAGATGGCTACCATACTGATATAAGATTAAAGTTTTGTAAAGAAAAAGAAATTCTCTCACAAAGATAAATTGGAAATATGTTCTTAATATTTTTTTCCTCTCTTTCTACTGTGAATTGTCTGGACCAAAACTACTGATTTCTAATACTGTAATTTGAAGTACCCATAACTATGGTACATGGTTTAACTTGAATATTTGTTTATGTTTTCAGAGCCTGGCAGATAATGGGCATGTGCTATGATATTGTCTTGTCTTTTTTTAAATTCATATTTTAAAAAGTATTAGTTCATGTTTGCAGAACATAATGATTGCATTCACTGTCGGGGGTTAGTACCTGTTCATAGTTTTTTTCTTGAAAGTTAGTTTTGGAAGCAAGTACATAAGAAAATGCCTTGCTGGGCTAGGGGTTTAGCTCAGTAGCATAAGCACCTGCCTTGCGAGAGGCGTTCATGAGTTCAATCCCTGGTATGGGGGGGATATGCCTTGCCTATGGGCATTACTTGTTTCTACCCTGTCAAGCATTTCTGCTGCTTTAAGAGCACAGGCCACAGGCTGGTAGCTGCCAGAGGGCCAGTGATCCAGGTTCTACCTGACGGCCCTGAGGACTGAGCACACTTGTGGCCTCTCTGCCCCCAGATGCACAGAAGAGTATGGAAAAGCCTTGCCCAGTTCTGACTGTAGCATCAGTGCAGTCAGTATGGGAAGACTCAGTTGTGATGCTGACATAGTTAATAAAACAAGGGCTGGAGTGTTCAGTAGTAGAGCACTTGTCTGTTGTGCCTAGAACCCTGGGTTTGTGTCCCCTGGGGAAGAAAAATTAATTGAAGAGCCTGTTGGAGTTCTCAGTTCTTTGTGTTCCTCTGAGAGACAAGAGTGCATTGCTTATCCTGCTTGCTTTGTGTCAGGTGAGACGTAACAAGTGCTTGTGCAGAACTGTGGGTTCAGTGTCGTAGTGACTATCAGAAGCTGTTTTCAGCTTTGACTGTGACATTGTTGAACTCAGGATCCTCTCTCCACCTTCTGAGTGCTGGGATGACAGGCATGCTGCACCTTGCCCAGCTATTCATTCCTTTTTTTTTTTTTTTTTTGTCTTTTTCCTTTTTATCGGTACCAGGGATCGAACTCATGACTGCCTGCTTGCAAGGCAGGCGCTTATGCCGCTGAGCTAAATCCCCAGCCCCTATTCATTCCTTTTACAGGCAGTTTTCTGCAATGCTACAATTTACAAGAGGCATCTTGAACCCAAGTCTTGTGTTTCCAGTTTTCCCTGTTTTCAGGGAAGGCTGTGGTTGTGTCTTTAAGGCTCTGCCTTGCGGGATCAAGCCTTGAGGCTGGGAGTTCCTGTGGCCATCCTGGCAGCCAGGATAGTGGCCTGCAGCATGGAGCAGGTGTGTTCGGAGCCCAGCCACCCAGTTCTGCTCAGCTTGGAGCAGAGGGTAAGACCCAGTAGCCCTTGGGTGGGAACAGATGGCATTGCTGTTGAACTCTTTAGGGAAATGGGATAGTTCTTTAATACTGTTTTAGTTAATTGAACTGTTTTAAAAAATATTTTCTCAAAAAAATTTTTTCTCTCTTTTCAGAAAAAACTGTCTTCCTTATTAGATATTACCCAGTATTTATTGGTACACAATATGTTCTCCCGTCTTTCCTTTTGTCAAGAATTATGGAGGGTGCAGGTAATTTTTTTTTTTTTGTCTTTTTGAGACAGGTTTCAGTATGTAGTTCATGCTGGCCTTGAAATCACTTTGTAGCCCAGGTTGGTCTTGAACTTGCAATGATCCTCTTGTCTCAGCCTCCCGAGTACTGGGATTATAGATGTGTGCCACCTTGCCCGGCTAGAGTACATATGTTTCCCAGTTTTGACTTGGGACTCTCTGAGCTTTCTTAGGAATTCAGCCAAAGTCTTCAATTATTAGAGAGCTATAAAAGCGGAGTGGGGCATCAGATGTGTTGTGGGCAGGAAGGAAGTACTTTGGTTTTGCCTTTGCCAGCAGTTACCTAGCATCATAAGTAGTTCTTAATAGACTAGACACATCCGGAACATTGATGCTGTGCCTTCTTAGATATATTGTTACAAGGGCTTTCTTCTCTCTATTTTTTGGTACTGGGGATTGAACTCACAACCATGCGCTTGCCACACAGGCACTTATGTCACTGAGCTAAATCTTTGGCCCTACAAGGGATTTCTAAGGCAGTAAGATATAAAAATGTAATGTGTGGCACATACTTGTAATCGCAGCTCTTGAGAGGCTGAGGCAGGAAGATCTCTGTGAGTTTGAAGACTAGCCTGTATTACATAGCAAGACTGTTTCAAGAAGGCAAAACAAAAAGCAAAAATATGTGCATGTACATAATTTAAAAATTCTATTGCTGGGCATAGTGGTGCACACTTGTAAACCCAGAACTTGGGAGACAGAGGTAGGTGGTTCACTGCACATTCAAGGCCAGCCTGGACTCCATAATGAGACTGTCTTAAATGTAAAAAAAATTGTACCAATAAGCTCTTTTTTGGCACATTTTTTGGTTTAGAAGGTTTACAGATTTTTGTTTTTTCTTTTCTTTCTTTCTTTTTTTTTTTGTTATTGGGGATCTAATTCACAACCTTTGTGTGTGCAAGGCAGGTGCTGTGCTGTTGAGCTATACCCCAGTTTATAGATTTTTGAAAAGTTCAGATTGTTTAGCAATAACTGTTAATAGCAAGTATGTGAAAAAAGGAAAGCTAGGGCCGAGGTAGTCACCCACAAGTGTCTTTTTATGTTACCCTGCCTCTGTGTTACATGGCTCACTCAACTGTCAGGCATTGTTATGGTTTCTGTACTCATTGCCATCCAGTTGTGGAAAGAGGGCAAGGAAACACATGTGAATGGTGGTGATGGTTGTCTGGGTGTGCAGAGAAGCACAGATGTGTGTATCAGAGTGGTCCTTAAGGGCTTCCCTCAGAGCTCAGCGAGAGTAGTATGGAGTAGGGAAGAAAGGAAGACTTAAGAGGTGGCGGGAAGCAAGTGAGCAGGCCTGAGCACTCTTTTTTTTTTGTCTTTTTCGTTTTTATCGGTACCGGGGATCGAACTCACGACTGCCTGCTTGCAAGGTAGGCGCTTATGCCGCTGAGCTAAATCCCCAGCCCCCATGAGCACTCTTGTGTTGGCTGCCCAGTTGCCTCAGAAGTCTGCATGGGAGCCAGGGTTTTAGTTCAGTGGGATAAGTGCCTCCCTGGCAAGCATGAGATCGTGAGTTCAATCCCTGATACCAAAAAAAAAAAAAAAAAAAAATCCTTGTGGGAGAGGCCCAGTGGAGGCCCCAGGCCCATGCCACAGTCTGAGTTTTATCCTGAAATCTGTGAAAAGACAGCATGTCTTTGAAAGGCAAGATGGACGCACCCATGCATGGAATGTGTGGGCCACAGTGTGGGAAGGATTGGAACAGCCTGCTGGATCTGGTGGGCAGGAATCAGAAGAGAGAAGAGAGGCCATGCCAGACAGCACAGGGACTGGGGCTCATGGGTGAGGGGCAGAGGAACTGTGTTGGGCAGGAATTCACCCACATGGGACTCACAGCACTATTTTTTTCGTCAGAGCTCTTTGCTGCTGGAAGCTGTGTGGCGCCTGCATGTGCACAGCATCGTCAGCCTGTGGGAGCTGCTGGAGAGGTAGCGGGCAGGGAGTGGGAGGCTCTGTGCCATGGGCCTTCTCGCCTTGCTCTCTGGTCTGGTGTGCCAGCTGCTTGGGGACAGCCACTACAGCTGCACCGTGCATGTTCATCAGCATGTGGGGACAGCTCCCAGGGTCAGGGCGTAAAACAAGGCCAATATGTGTGGAGTGGTTGAAATCATTCAAAATATATTTGCTAACCAGAAGGGAATTAGCACCAGAAGGGAGTTAGCACCAGAAGGAAATTTGGCAAATCCACAGTATTTGGGAATTAAGCAGCATCTATCTTTGTCCCTCCTCTTTTTTCCCTCCCCCTCTTTTCTTTATTCCTTTTCTTCTACACTGGGGCACTGTACCACTGAGCAACATTCCAACCCTATGTATTTACTTTAGGGTCTTGCTAAGGCCAAGGATGGTCTGAGGTTGGGATCCTGGTGCTTCAGCTTCCTGAGTGACTGGAATTACAGATGTGATATCCCCTTGTACCTGGTTTAAGCAACATATCTCTAAGTAACTGATGGGTTATATAATCACAAAGGAAAGTAGAACCTATCTTGAGAGGAATGAAAATGAGAGCAGTATACTAAAATTTACAGGGTACGGCTAATGAAATGTGTAAAAGACAATTTATGGTTGTGAAAGCCTCTGTCTGGAAAGAGAGTATTTATTCTCAAATCAGTTTAGGTTTGGACTTTAGAAACCAGGAAAAGGAGAGGAAACTAAGTCTGAAGAAAGTAATAAGAGAATCAAAACAAAAAACAGTGAAATGGAAAATAGAGAAAATAAAAGAAAAACAAAAATGCCTTGAACAGAATTAATCACCGGGCCACCCATTGTCAGCTATTTGTGTTTAAGTGAGCTGTGTGGAGATAGTCCTTGTGTCATTTGCAGGCTGGAAGGCTACTTGACTTGGGCAGAGGCCTAGCCAGCAATAGTGAGCCTTTTAGAGTTTTCAGTGATACAGACAGCCCGCTGCAGCATGCACGCCGTAGGTTCCCACTGCTTTTCCTGGCTGGTCCTCACTGACCCCACTTCCTAGTGAAGTGGGTATTAACGGTGGTGCCTGTGGAGGGTCATGAGTTTGAGATCATTCTAGGCTGGCTGTAAAGATCCTGTCTCAAAACAGAGAGCATAACTGCCTTTTGAGAGAGATGGATGAGAGGACAGGCTCCATCAGGTATCTGTGTGTCCCCAGCCATCCTGATGTGCAGGCTGTGACAGCATGGCTCTTCAGGAACCTGCGCCTGCTGTGTGAGCAGATGGAAGTATCCTGCCCGTCCGACGACACCACCAAGGCTATGCTTTCTGGTAGGGTCACTACAGGCAGGGTCCTGGAGAACAGGCACCTGCATAGATAGGGAGCAAGACACTGCCCGCCTCCATGGGCACAGGACCCAGCATGACCCTGGCTCACTCTGACCTGGGAGCTGGGGATTCTAGTCAGTCAGCTGGGTGACAGAAGCCCCAAGCCCCTGCACCAGTGCTACATTGCTGCTGCATTGCCAGTGACTTCCTTGAAGTATCCCAACACATAAAGGCCAGGAGACAACAGCAGCTTGTGGGTTTCTCCTTTGCAAGAGATTTTCTTCCTGGTGCTTGAGGGTGTGTGACTCCTGGTTCTGGTTCCAGGAAAGTGAAGTTGAAGCTGAAAGTGGAACCGAAAACCTCTGTAACTTCAGGCTCTTGATTCCAACCTTTACAAAGGCATGAATTATGTGTTGTCACTGCTTGGAATGCAGAGCTCTTCGGGTCTCCTGTGGTCAGGGCTGGCTAGAGGAAACATCCATGAGACATCTCTTGGAATCTACTCCTCTGTATTAAAAGCCCTGAATAAAACTTGATTTATTATAAGCCTTTCCCTCTAAAGTGAAGTTCAAGAAGGACAGTGGCTTGGTGAATGACTGCTGGACAGGGTGGCAGGGGCAACCACACCTTTCCTAGGTACTGGTTGGCTTTCCAAGCTGTACCCACACTCCACCCTCTGCAGCAGGGTCTGTATGATCATAGCTGTTTGGAGATCATCGTATCCATAAATACTTTGGGTTTATGCCTTTTCAGATTTTGTGCAGCTGTTGATTTTGAGGGCATTTCAGGACAACTTGGATTTGGGAAGAACCGTAGATCCTGATAAGATGCCTCAGGTAGGAGGAAGAGTGAGGTGGGAAGTTTGGAGAATTGGCCTCATTATGACGAAGGGCCATAGCCCAAAGAGCAGCCCCCATCCACACTTTTGATCCTTTTTGGATGTACCGGGGCCAGTGGCTGGCATTCTGTCAGCATTGCAGTCCAAGCTCTGTGGGGGAGTCTGCGGGGTGTGAAGTGTCTCACATGGTGTTCCTCTGAAGTCTGGGAGATGTGAAAGAAAGACACCAGCAGAAATGTTTTCTCACCCAAGTTTTCCAGCCCCCACAGGTCTCCAAGGGAAGAGTCTTTAATGCCAGGCCTATGCTTGCTGGGGTTTACCCAGACTGCCCGGCCAGGCTACTGTAGCATCCAAGACCAACTCACTGGGCACTAGAGTACCTGTCTTGGCCACTTTTTTGTTGCTAAGACAATCCCTAACACCCACAGAGTAAAGGAGGAGAGGTTTATTTTAGCTCATATTTAGTCCTTCATTGGCTGACTCCAAGCAGGACAGCATGGCACAGGTACATGGTGGAGGAGAGGTGCTCATGGCCTGACAGCAGGAAGCAGAGTCAAAGGGCGGGGGAAGGAAGCTAGTCCCTTCCAGGCCATGCCCAGAGTGCTCCACCTTTTTCAGCCATGCTCTGTCTCCCAGTGGCATGTATCACATCCCCAAGGTCCAGTCACTTCCCAAAGCCAAGCTTCTGAGTACCTGAGGCTTTGGGGGTCATCTATATATAAACCACTGCAGTACTCAAGACGCCCGCCATAGCAGACCCGTGTACCTTGTGTGTGTTCATGCTGGAACTGTGGCTCCCAGTGTTGCTGCGAGCACTTGTGTTATGGCTGGGCTCAGAGTCTCAGTTTGGGATAATTTCTAGCTTAAGAAGACGTCATAGGGCTGGCGATATAGTTGAGTGGCTCAAGCATCTGTCTGGCAAGTGCAAGGTCCTGAGTTTGTTCCCTGGTACAAAAAAAATCATGAGTGATCCTTCTAGAAAGCAGTTTTTTTTTTTTTTGTACTGGGGATTGAACTTACAACCTTGTACTTGCTAGGCAGGCACTTTGCCACTAAGCTACATCCCTGACCCTAGAAAGCAGTTTGGTAATTTATGTAATATTTCTTGTATGGCATATGCAGGTCACATTTCTTAAAAATTGTCCTATGTGTCTTGTCCTAACAGGTCGCCCTCAGTGTGCTGCAGAGAATGCTGAGCTGTAAGTTGATTTTCAGGACCTGGACCGTAAATGATTTTGTTTTCTTACTAGCAGTTATTGAAGCTTGGGCCTTGTGTGGAGCAAAGGATCCTGTATGTCCCTGTTTGGGCCTGCTTCTAGTGCCACCCCAGGGCCTCTGTGTGGATGTGGTCTATGTGCCTGCCTTCAACCAGCAGCCCTTTATCTAATGTGAAGCACCATCATCTAATGTGCCCTTGGTTGTCTGCATGTATGGGTAACTCTTCTACCTTATAGACCTCAGTGCCTGAGAGCATCGAATGTCACCATGATGCCATCTGGGTACCTAGGGCCTTTGGGAGGCTTGAGAAATTTATATGCTTCAAGAATGTGCATGCGTGTGTGTGTGTTCACATGCATGTGTGTGACAGCTGTCGCTATGTTAATATGGTTTCCTGTTGCATGTTTTCTTCGCAGTTGTGCTGGACTCCCTGGCGGCTGGCCTTCAGGAGTCGTCTCTGGCTCATAAGGCAGTGAGGTGCTGGTATGTCTGGGGTGGGCACTCCTGCTTGTTAGGACCAGGTGGCAGCACTGGCCCTGGGCACCCCACCCTGCGCTTGGGACCTTGGGAGGATGCTGCTGGCAGTGTGGCCTCTGCTCAGCCTCTTCCCACTCTTGCCTGGCCCAAGAGAGGCCCCAAGGGTTGTTGCAGCTCCCACTCCCTGTGTGCCCTGAGTGGCCTTTCCCCAGTTTGGTGCTTTTTAGAGCTTGTCATTCACTTTCCAGCTTAACTCACTGCTGCTATCAGCACAGACCCAGCTGTCTCAGTTCTCTCTCCAGGGCACATGGAGATGCATGGAGACAGACTACAGCGGACATGGGTGTTGGGCCAGGACATCTGGGGTATCTGGATGGGCGGGGCCTTGAGGTGGAAGTTTGTGAGAAACCAGGCAGAGTTCTCACTATCTCCAGCCTTCTCAATTGTTCTATTCTCAGTAATTTGCCTGTTGTTCCATATACCACAAGCACTTGAGATATACTTAATGCACTTACCATTGGAAATTTTGTGAAAAGTCTTAAGTATGTACGAGTCTTCTCAGACTACCACAGCAAAGCCTGTGAACCATGGCTCAGTGCAGACCTATTCCATGGTTCTGGACTCTGAGCAACCCTTCCTGTGGCATTTGCCAGGTGTGTGTCAGGGAGCTGCTCTCTGGTCTTTGGGTAAGAGCACTAATGCCACCATGAAGCCCCTACAAAAATGGTTACTTTAGGGATAAGGGCTTCACCATGTGACCTTTGCAGAGACATGATCTGTACTGCATGGCCAGATTGTTGAAGCTGGTATCCCTGGAGCCAGGTAGTTAGTGACTGTTTCAGAGTTCACTGAACCAGTGCTTTTGTTTTTGTTTTTGTTTTTTTTTGTCTTTTTCCTTTTTATCGGTACTGGGGATTGAACTCATGACTGCCTGCTTGCAAGGCAGGTGCTTATGCCGCTGAGCTAAATCCCCAGCCCCACTGCCAGTGCTTTTAAGGTCAGACTTGCTCTGTGGGCAGGAAAGGCCAGCCTTGAACCTGGGCTATGTGCACTGAGGTCTTGCCCTATGGAGTTGACCAGCAGGGCCGAGTCTGTGTTTCTTGTGGTGTCTTCGTCTGCACAGGACTGACACTTGAGTGACTTAATGGGGAGCCACAGGCACAGTTCCCCACATTGTGGGTGTGAGCATCATGTCTGTTCCAAGCAGTCTTGCACAGCTGTGGGTTTGGTGAGCTACAGGGTCTGACATTGATTTTATGCTGGCAGCCCTCAAGTAGCTTTGAGGCCAGACTCTGTGACACCTGTGTGCCTCTCATTTCCTTCTGGTCTGTCCCATGGAGGACCCTGGGTGCCTGGGCTATCGTCTTTCCAGCCCTCCAAGAGGTGGCCCTGGCTGTGGTAGCAGTAGCTGCTGTATGGACTATGTGTACCAGACAGGGCCTTAGCTTCACTGCTGATTCAGCAACACCCTGCTGGGGCGGGGCTGTGACTCCTGTTTTGGCAGACTGAGGCATGTAGAGTGGCTGAATTTGCTGGGGCTTGGTCCTGTCACCCTGATGTTCTTGATAGCCTGGCCCATCTGGTCTACTCTTCCCAGTCTGTCCAGTCTGTCACTTGCTCTAGCCTGTTAGCCTCTCTGCTGTGTGTCTTGTCAATGAAACCTTCCTTGGATTCCAGCTAAAGCTCATGGCTTCATGTCCTGATTGGCGAATTGCTGTGCCTGCCAGCCAAGGTGCCAGGTGTAGTAGAGGGAACAGTGTGCCCTCCCTGACCTCTCCTCTTCCTGTGCTATAGGTTGGATATGTTCAGTGTGCACGTGTGTTGTGTGATTGCGCCAGATCCTCTAAAGAAGTTCTTCCGACACACACTGGTCCAAATTCTCACGCACAGCCCTGTGCTGAAAGGTAGGCCAGCCTGCTGTACCTGTCCAGTGTGCTCCTTGGCACCTGGGTGATGCTCTGTTCACCCCATTTGTGGCTGTACCATCTTGGGATCCTAGGCTCTGAGTTAGATGGTGTGGTTTAACACTCTTAAAATGCCTCCAGATGGTGAAGGACAGTTCATCACTAATGTCCCTATTTGTAGAAGTCATTCCATGGCCTGGGTGTGACTCAGTGGTAGAACACTTGGCCCAGCATGTGTGAGGCCCTGGGCTCCATACCCAACACTATGAAAAAATATATGAAAGTAGTTTCTTTTTGAGAAAATTTAGGATTAAAGAAGAGAGGACAGAAGAATTGTCATCTATATTGTCACCAAAACAGAGCTATCTTTAACACAAAACATTTTTGCAACCTTTTCCTAAATGGGCTTTTAAGTGACATAGTCATACTGTAAATATCACAGTTTTATTTTGTATGTCATTATAAACATTTTCCTAGGCAGTTCTGTAGTTTTTGTAAGAATTTGATTTCATGTCTTCTGCCTGTGGGTGTCTTGTTGGCCCAGACACTAGGTTCTTTCCTGTCTTCCGTGGGCACTGACCCACTGCTTTGTCCTTGTCCACTGAGCTTATGTGGTCTAGGTGGCTGCAGGGTAGGATGCCCAGGACAAGGAAGGCCAGTGGGCACCTGACAAGTCTGCAGAGAGCTGGGCGTGGGGACTCCTACTCCAGGATGGCACCCTAGGGCAGCACCCTGGCTCAGATTGGTTTATGGACAGTTTAGGGTTTCAAAGTAGCAAACTGTAACTAATCCTTGGAGCAGTTTCCTCATGAAGGTGACACAATTACCAGGAGGGAGATAGGCCAAAGCCACAGAAAATCAGTGTAATAGAGTATGGTTTTCACATTGGTGAGTTCAACCAACTTTGGAGAAGTAGTACTGGAGGGAAAATTGCATCTGTACTAAAGGTGTGCAGACCTTTTCCCCATCATTTTCAAAAACACTGCAACAACTACTTACAAAACATTTATCCTCTACTAGGTGTTACAATAACCCTGTGCGGGGTGGGTGTGCATGCATTCTATGCAAATCATCATTTCCTGTATATGGGGGGCACAAGCACCTGCAGTGGGGTTTTAGGAGTCCTGGAACCAGAACACATGGATGCCAAGCGATGACTAGTAACAAACGGAAGCCGTGGACAATTGAAAAATATGATTTAAAACAGTTGTGCTCCTCACTGAAACTTGAAATGTAGCCTTTGAAAGCTGACTTACAGCTTACTCCTTCTTGTGTTTCCTGCAGTGTCAGATGCCATCCAGAGGCAGAAAGAGTGGAGCTTTGCGAGAACACACCCACTGCTCACCTCTCTCTTTCGCCGGGTAAGTGGGGCTGGTCTTATGGTTCCCATCTTTGTCCCACAGCCTGTGTGGATACCAGTGACAGAGGTTGTCTCTTTAAGACATGGTTGTTGCCACCAGGGCTCTAGCCCAGGGTTGGGGAGTGAACTTGTTACCTGGTGGGAGGTCAGGGGCAAGAGCTCCTTCAGCTAGTGCGTACCACTGTGGAGAGGACAGATGCTGTGCTTCTGTTGTCTCTACTCCTTGGTGTGTCCAGGCTTTCCAGTAGACAGTGGACTGCAGCTGAGGGAGGCAGGAACCTGCACTGTCTCTAGTGGCTGAGTTGTGGTAAGAGCGTAGCTTTCTTTTCAGCTCTTTGTGATGCTGAGCCCTAAGGAGGCAGTCAGCTGTCTGCAGGAAGTTCTGGAGGAGCAGGAGGTTAACTGGCAGCGTGTGCTGTCCTGCGTGTCTGTGCTGGTCACCTGCTTCCTCGAGGCAGGGCAGCTGGTGAGAGGTGCGTATGGGGAACCAGGGATGCTTTCTGAACTGGTGGCAGCGGAGCCCTGACACTTGAGAATGAGTCCATCTGTGAGACCCTTTCTGACCTGCATACCCTGTCCTGGCTGGTGCTGAACGCTTCCTCTGTGTGTGTCCTGATGGCCTGTGTTTGGTGCAAGATGGACACCAGGTCTTCTGTCTAGCACATCCTAGATGGGCCCTCAGCCATTAGCTGATTTCATGTCACCTGTGGGCTGTGTCATGGTCTCGCAGATTGGGTGGCCCATTTGATGGCCGTTGCCTTTGAGAGCTTCCACCTGGACAGCATGGTCACTGCATTCCTGATTGTGCGCCAAGCTGCATTGGAGGGCCCTGCAGTGTTCCCGTCCTATGCAGACTGGTTTAAGGTAAGTTGCCTGGGAAGTCAGTTACAGATGACAGTGCTTCCCACAGGCCAGCTGGCAGGGGTGACCAGTTTACCCAGGGAGTCGGTATCAGGCAGTTTGCAGAGATGACCTGGACAGACTTCCAGCTTGCTATGGAGGCTCTAAATCCCTCTGGTTTCCTCTTGAGGATTCTGTCCATTTTGGAGGAGTCAGGAAGTGATTGGGCAGGAACTAACACCGCCTGCTGTTCATACTGTTCTACAATATGAAGGGGGACCAGGTACAGACCCTGGTCCTCAGAGCCCTGTGGTCTCCCTATTACTCTGTCTGCAATATGCCCAATTTTTTTTTTTTTTCGGTACTGGGGATTGAACTCATGACCTCGTTCTTGCCAGGCAGACACTTATGCCCCTGAGCTAAATCCCTGGCCCAATATGCCCACCTTTACTCTGATACTTCCACAGTGGTCCCCAAACCCTGAGGCTCATCTGGAGAGGGCTCTGAAAATACAGGCACGGGCTGCCCATGTGGGCTGTGTTTCCCAGGGGACCAGCCAGTCCAGGCTGGAGTGGAGGCATCCTTGAGGCATCAACCTGGAAGGTTAGGTGCATTGTTATCCTTTTACGGTCTTGTATAAGTTTGCCATTGCAAAGCTACCTGGCTCTCTGTCAAGTGTGGGGTTTTCCGCAGGCTCTACTGTGGAGTTAGGCACTGGCTGTCTGGAATGGCATTGCGGCTGGCTTGTCTGATGAGTGTGGTCAGGGTGGCTGGTGGATGTATCCTTTGCTCTTCATTGCCTCTCAGCACACTGGGCCTGTTGCTACTGCCCACATGGCCTAAGCATCCACTGGGTAGATGGGAGCTGATCTCCCTGGCCCCAGAACTCACCTGCATCTGGCCCTTGACATTGCTCACCTCTGTGCCTGGTGAGTGTATGCTGTTTCTGCCACAGAGTCTTTGCCTTGTGGGTTGTGGGTGGGCTTGTTGTCTCTTGAGTCTGACTGAGTTGCCCTCGAGCTGGACCTCCTGAGAGGACTGTTGATGAAAAAAAATGCTGTGATGGTGTGGTGCTGGTTTCTTGTGCTTTTCCATTTATGTATTTCTTTTTTGTGAGGTGCTGGCAATTATACTCAGGATATTGCACTTGCCAGGGAACCACTTGTGCCGCTGAGCTACATCCTTGGCCCCCTCCATTTATTTTTTGAAGTCAACTTTTTCAAGCTATAATTTAAATAAAATGTAACCAATTTACATTTACAATTGGGTGCATTGTAATAAGTATTTGTTCAGAATCTGAAGGTCTGTTAGTCTGTCTGTTCATGTATATTCTGTGACAGGGTTTCCCTGACTAACTGAATTCTTGAACATAGCCATTTTGCTGCCTCATCCTCCCCTACCACCGTGCTCAGTTCTTTTTTTATTTTTATTTATTTTTTGTCTTTTTTGAGACAGGGTCTTGTGCAATTCAGGCTGGCCTGGAGTACACTTTGTAGCTCAGGCTGGTCTTGAATTTGCAATGATCCTCCTGCCTCAGCCTTTCGAGTGCTGGGATTATATGTGTGTGCCATCATGCCCAGCTTGTACTCGGCTCTTAATCTGTGTTTTTAAAAGATGTTAATAGGGCTTACATTTGGTAATTTGAGCCCTCTGATTAGTGATGTGGTTTGTAGCACATCACATTATGCAGCTACATACTTTTTTGTAAGAAGAATTGCCTTTTTCCAGAGTAGCACAATGATGGCCATGATCCAGCCCGGGGTATGTGTTTCTGTGTCTTTCAGAAGGCTTCTGGGAAAGGCAGGTCTCAGGCAGTGGGCTCAGGCTCAGTGTCAGCCCTCCTGTGGTTAGCATGTCACTGAGGCTCAGGTCTCACCCAGAGATGGGACACCTTCATTTGGGTCTGGGTCTTGGGTCTCCTTTCTCCCTTCTTGGTGGAGAACCTCCTTCGGAAGAGAGTGACCTTGGCTGGGGTTTCTGAGTCTTTAACCTGTCAGTGTCAGGTGACTTTCCTGGTATCTGGTGCAGACAGCTGATGTCTCTGAGCTTGGTTTTTCCCTAACTGTCCTTAGACACAGTTTGGTGTTACCAGTCTTTCCCCATTAGCCTGGTGTGTTTGAGGTGTTACAACATAAGAAGGAGTCGGCTGTTTCTATTGAGTGCTGTCTACTCTCAGGGGCCAGGATAAAGCTCCAGCACATGCTGCTATCCAGGTTTACATGCACTGGAGCCTTGTCCTAGTCCCTGAGGTCATGATGGGCCTGTGTTCTCACCTGGCCATTCCCGTAAACACATGGTCTCTCTGTAGGTTCCTTGGTGATTACTCAGGGCCAGTGCCAGTTCTGATCTCCTTCATTCATAATTGTTCTAGCCTTGGACAAGCCTTATCTTACCGTCTAAAAGCTGCCCTGGCATAATGTACTTATCTCATTCTGTCCTGTGGCTTTAGTGTCCCAAAGGTTGCATCCTTACCTTTGCCCACCTTGGAGGCATCATGCCAGCTCACACACAGGTTTGGAAGTTTTGGTGTAGTCAAGAGTATCACTGTCAGACAGTATGTTTGCTGAGTAAAGAGCTTGAACAGATTGTGCTTTTGGAGGCCATAGGACAGTTCCATAGTTACTGTTCCCTACAGCAAACTATTTCTAGCTTTGGTTTTGCTTTTTGAGGTAGAGTCTCACCTTGTAGTCTGGACTGGTCTTGAACTCACCGAATAGCCTGGGCTATCCTCAAACTTGACAGCAGTTCTACCTCAGCCTCCTGAGTGCAGGGATTATAGGTGTGCATCACCGCATCCAGTTCTTTGAAAAAACTCAGCTCATCCCTTCTCAGGAAGCAGAAATGGGCTCTTTAAGGCTCCCTTTTGATGGCAGCAGGCTTCTGTGTATGGATGGCACAGCTTGCAGGTTGGGTACCTGGTAGCAGAAGTCATGCTGTCTTCTTCCCTAGGCCTCCTTCGGGAGCTCAAGTGGCTACCACAGCTGCAGTAAGAAGGCTCTGGTCTTCCTTTTCAAGTTCCTGTCCGACCTCGTGCCCTGGGAGACCCCCCGGTACCTGCAGGTGAGGAGCTGTGTCTGTGCCTTCTATACTCCAGGCTTGGATGGCTCCTGCTCTCCCCTTTTCTAGGTGGCTATGGGAACCCCATTGTGGCTGGAGGGATGGAGAGAACAGAGGGGCTGCTTGCAGTCCACCCAGGAGTGGCAGGACAGGCCACACAGCAGCACAGTGCTCCACAGCCAAGGTGGGCTCAGGAAACACTGTGAGCAGCTGCCAGTTAGGGGCCCCCACTCTAGCTTTCAGAAAATTATATATTTAGTATATGTAAGGAGGAGGATCTGGAAGTGTGTACCCTGAGACTCCCAGTGGCTCTAACATCCAAGAGTGGAAGTAAAGAAATGGGACTTTATATTAGTTTATTACTTGAATTTTATGTGTAGTTTGTTTGTTTGAACCATGTAGCTCATATAGTTCATGTTGACCTCCAACTCACGGTGATCCTCCTGCCTTGGTCTCCGAGTGCTGGGATTATAGGCATGTGCCACCACATCAAGCTCTCAGCCTCTGTTCTTGTTAGACCTTTGTCTCCCATCCCAGAAAGGATCGGTGGGGCCTGTGGGCAAGTGAGGGCCACCCTACCATTCAGGGGAGGCCGGAATGGGCTTCGCCTTCCTGCTCTGAGTTCTGGGTCCCCTTCACTTCTGTGCTATTGTGCTTTTGGTTAAGTTAGGATGAGATCCTGTCTCATAGCAGAGCTGTGAACCCCAACTGTCAGCATTGGGCCGCTGAAACCTGGCTCTAGGGTTCGGCAGCCCAAGTGTTTCCGCAAGATCCCTCTTAGCTCTCTTCATAGACCCCTCCCAGAGCCTGGCCTCAGCCCGTATAGCCCTGGTCTTTCCCAGTATTCTGTGGTTCGTGCTGCTTTGTGCTTTGTCCCTTTACCAGGATGTGTCCAGGCTTTGTGATATGGGCTGCACGTGACCTATGGCGCCACCATCAGCAGTACCCATTTGCATGGGGCTCTTTGACTTCTGGCCTTTTTGTTGTGGGCTCTGCTTTGTTGGTGTCTGTCTGTGTTCAGCATTATTCTACCAACCCTGGAGGTGACTCACCATGCTGTGTCTGTCCCAGGCACACATTCTCCACCCACCATTGGTCCCCAGCAAGTACCGCTGCCTCCTGGGCGACTATGTCTCACTGGCTAGGACACGGCTGGCTGACCTCAAGGCAAGTATTTGCCCTCCCTAATCTGTCAACAGCCAGTGACTACTTTCTTTTTTCAGTTTTCATTTTTCTCTTCTGAAGGTTTCCTTGGAGAACATGGGACTATATGAGGATGTGTCCTTGGCTGGCGACATTGCAGAGGTAATGTGTATTGGTTGCCCTGTAGTCTTGGCTTGCTGCTCTGTGCTGTGACTTGAGCATTTATCTTTCAGTGTTATACCTGATTTGCGCCTGGTGCAGCTGGCAGCATCTTTCTGGGAGTGTTGTGTCCTGTGGTGTTGGCAGATGCATGACTGCTGGCTAGAAGGCTATGGGCACAGAGGAGCTTTTGGGTCTCCTGGGATAGTAAAGTGTCTGCCTGGTTTTCTTGGAAACTGCAGAAAAGTGCCAGCAACATTCATGGGAATCAGATGTCAGCTGGCCATGTGATCTGAGTGTCGCTGTGAAAACAACCTTAACTTTATGACTTTTAAAACTGTTAGTTGTAAAAGAATATTTATAGGTGCTGTTAGCTGTTAGTGTTGAGTGAAGAAGTATCATGCAGTTTTCCATTTAACATTTATTGCTGTTCAGAAGTTGCTGTTTCACCATTTTTTTAAATCTCAAAAATTAAGCCGACTGCTTCCTAAATGAGTGGTAGAGAGGAGAGGTGGGATGACCTGCAGACAGGCAGAGGGGACAGGAGAGTAGGAGTTTCTCAGGCATGAGGCTATCCCCAGGAGCCTCACAGGACCTGGCCCAAGTGTCTAAGGGCAGAAAGTGGCAGTGCAGTTCATCCTCGCTTTGCATGTGTTGGGGTTCATATGAGTTCCTTGTACCTTGTCCTCTTGCCCTTGATTTACCTTGTCCTTTAAACTCAACTGAGTAGAGACTTACGACTGCAAGGCCAGGCAGGCTTTGCCAGCCTCAGCTACTTCTCTGCTCCCTCTCTTCTTTCTCTTCTTTCCTGTGTCGGAACCAGCCCCATAGCCAGGCAGTCCAGGATGTAGAGAAGGCCATCTTGATGTTTGAACACACAGGGAAAGTCCCGGTTCCCATCCTGGAGGCCAGGTAGGATCAGGGTTCTGTGAGGGTGCTGGGGTGGTAGGCTCTTCTGAATGTGACTGGATGTGTTCACCAGTCTGTATGTATGAGGTCATAGTCTGTGGGAGACGGAGCTGGGGTGTGGATGTCAGGTCAGAGGCGAGGCTTGATGTGGTATGAGTTCTGGAACTGTGCTGCCAAAATTGCCTCCAGCTAGGGCTCCCCAGACCATTCAGAGTGGTGGCGGGAGGATGGGGGGCCTCAGACAGCTATGGTGGATGTTTTAGTTAATGCTTTCTTGGGAATCAGGTAGAGCTAGTACCAGAAATTAAGCAGCAAAATGATTGAATTCAGTGTGATCCCAGATATCTTAAATTGTGGTTGCTGCTAATATGGATGGACTGATTTTAACTCTGGGCATTTTGAGATTGGTTCTAAGGAGAAGGCCCAGATTGGCCCCAAAGCAGTCCTCATGGTTTTAGAATAGCCCAGGTTCTGTGTCCCAGCCCAGGATGGGTAGAATGTGGTCCCAATTTCCTGAAATGCATGGTTGTGGCAGTGCAGACTATCATTGCCAAAATGTGCCCTAGGACAGTGTAAAGGACTTAAAAACAAACATCAGAGTCATAGCTCAATGTGGTGCTGCACATCTGTCATCAGTACTCTGGGATGGCTGAGGTAGGAGAATTGTAAGTTGATATCCAGCATGGGCAATTTAGAAAGGCCTTGTCTCAAAATAAAAATTTAAAAGGTGAGGTGCAAGGGATGTGACTGAGTATGAAGGCCCAGTGTTGAAACAACAAACATTAGAGCATAGAGGCAGAGCCACCCCTCTGGGCTGTCAGGACAGTGAGTAGAAGGTGCCTTGCTCTTGCCTAATCACAACGTTGTCTGTCCCTCTGCTGCAGCATATTCAGGAGATCCTACTACATGTCGCACTTCCTTCCTGCTCTGCTCACACCACGTGCGGTGAGTTGTGTGTTGCCACGTCTGTGGGAAGGCGGCACACTTGTATGTGGCTCACTCGCTGCTCTTCTGCCCCCAGCTCCCTGAGGTCCCTGATGCACGGGCAATGCTCATCGAGTCTCTGAGGAGGTACACCAGGGCCTTGGGAGGTTGTGGTTTCCAGCGGGTGCAAAGAACAGTGGTTTTGATAGAGAAATGTATATTGAACATGTTTTATACGTAGAATATTGGCTGACTTATGAACTGGTTGTGATTTTTCTTTCTTGAGAATATTTGGGAGGATTAGTTGGCAATTAGAGTAAATGTTTTACTCTAATTGAGGAAAGGAGAGGTGGACAAAGAAGTGAGAGCCCCTCAGAAGCCCCAAGCTGCGAGTGTCCTCTCTAGAGAGTCTTAGCCATTTCACCTGCATTGTGGCCTAATAGTGGGAAGGTTTCCCGGAAACAGAAAGAAAGTAAATCCTGCTTTCCAGTAAAGTCTGGAAAGAGCACCTAGAAAGGAGTTCTTTCCTCATTTTACAGAAAGACCAATCTCTGAGGTCCTTTTTTTTAAAAAAATATTTACTTATTTTATTTGGTATTGGGAATCAAGCTCATGACGTCATGCTTGGCAGACATACACTGCCACTGAGCATAACAGCCCTTTATTTTTATTTTTCAAATATACACAAGAATACAGATAATATTTTTAAATACTTATTTAAAAAGCACCCACAGGCCTCTACCTATATTTTACTATCTTTAATTTAAAAAAAAATAAAATTGGGAGCAGAGTGTGGTAATGCCTACTCATGCCCAGCACTGGGCAGGCTGAACCAGTACAATTGTCATGAGTTTGAGGTCAGCCTGGACTGTATAATGAGATCCTGTCTCAAAAAAATAATAATCAGTACACAATTGGGTCATGGGGGTACATGGCTATAATCCTGCCACTTAGAAGGCTAGGGGTAGAAGGATCAAGTTTGGGGCCAGGGATTTAGCTCAGTGGCATAAGCGCCTGCCTTGTAAAGCAGGCAGTCATGAGTTCGATCCCCGGTACCGATAAAAAGGAAAAAGACAAAAAAAAAAAAAAAGTCTTAGCCAGGCCACTTAATGAGACCCTGTGTCTCAAAATGAAATTTAAAAATCTTACTTGTAGTCAGAGTTCTTGTAGTTTGGCTTCCTATTCCTGTCTAGGAAAACCCTTATCCTGACAGTATATGATCCGATCCTTTTCCTTTCTTTACGTTTCCCTTGCCTTTTCCTTTTCCTTTCCTTTGCCCCTGCCTGTTCCTTTTTCCTCTCTCCCTCCCTTTGTTTGTGTGTGTATTCTGAGACAGGGTCTTGCCATGCTGTTGAGGCTAGCCTTGAACTCATCATATAACCCAGGGTGGCCTTAAACTTTTCTGCCTCCTGAGTGCTGGGGTTACAGGTATGCACTGCCACAGCTAGCCACATTTATAGGATTCTTTCCTTTATTCTTTTAGGTATGTGCATTTACACCTGTAATTTAGGTGGATAGGCAGAAAGTATGGACATCATCAGATCAGGTGTTGTGCTTTTCAGTTGTGAGCAGTACCATGCATGTCATTCTAGAATTGTGTTTCCACTTACCCTGTCCATCTTGCGCTCATTCATTGGCTTTAACTGCTCTGAGGAGTTTTGTGTCCAGGAGCTGTCATGATCATACACTGCCTGCTACACAAATTGTGAGGACTGTGACTCTGCCTCATGAGTTTATCTACTCCCCTGTGGTTGAGCTCTTAGATTCTTTGCAGCTTTATGCTCTTAACAGTGCTTCAGTAAATATCCTTGTATTTCCATGAAAAGATTCTTGCAATTTTCAATGATTTCCACTGGTTTTATAGATTAAATTGAAGATAGTGGACTCTTATGATACTGAGTTTTGTGTTCTATTGTATATCTTTTTATCCATAAAGATCTTTTGCATCTTTTATTAGATTTCGCTAAGTAACTAGCTTTTGTTGTTAACTGTGAACAACATTTCTTACATTTTTTTTTTCCTGGTACCAGGGATCGAACTCACAACCTCGCACTTGCCAGAAATCCCTGGCCCCTCTCTGAGTTTTTTTGGTTGTTACTTCTGAAGTTTAAGTAGCCTGGCATCTAGTAACCTTGCTGAGCTTAGTCTAGTACTTTGCTAATTGGTTGGATTCCTTTCATAGATAATCATATTGCCTTTTTAAAAAATGCTGCACATAATAAATTTAATTGGCATTCACACTTAGGAAAAGAAAAGATTTAAAAACACAAGGAAAATTTTAGTTACTCAATGGTACCTTGCTTCACAAACTTAATATGTTCCACGATTTTGGAAAAGATGGCCATGTTTATTTGGGAAAGGTGGTGTTTGTCATTGATGCAGAGTTTGCAAACAGAAACCAGATTTTAGTGTATGCTACTGTTTATGAACTGAGATATCACTGTAAACTTGTATGAGCAGTACTATACATTGTACAAGATTAGAAGATATATTGCAAGCAAAAATACAGAATAAAAATCTGACATTCTAAAGCCACAGAGATTATCACGGAAATACTGTAGTTCCTTCTCAACATTTATGCCTTGTTTTGTTCTGCTATGAAGAATTTGTAGTTTAATATGGGACTGTGGAAGTCATAACCTTCATCTTTCTCTTCACTGTAGTGGTGGTAAGCAGTTCTCAAGTTGTACCATGAGTTGTGGCATCTGCTGTAGTCTGTTGTGTGTGTGCCCTGTGTCACACTGAGAGATCCATCAGTGGCCTTATTGAAGATTTGAACCAGAATATGTTCCAGGTTCCTCATGCTCTTTTCCCTCATGCTGTCCCCATGGTTGATTGATTGCTCTGGTAGATTCTTTACTGGATCAGCCTGTACTTGGTGTGATTCTTTTGCCTAATGAGCTGCTGATTTGTTTTCATGATGATCTGCACCTGTGTTTGGACTCTTGCATGATGCTGCTTTGGCATCAAGGCTTAGCACCTCTGAATGGACTGGGCGGCCATCTCGCTTCTCTGGAATGGTTTGTGTAAGGCAGGGATTCTCTGTTGCTGTAGTTGTGGCAGAGGTAGCTACAGAACGTCTAGTCCTTGTGACTTTTGTGGCATTAGAGACTGGGCCAGTGACTCATTTTCATGGATGGTTACTAGATTTTTAGCTCTTGAGACTATGTAGGTTTCTAGAAATTCACTTTGAGGTTTTAAAATTCACTGACATAGTGTTGTTCACATAGTGACAAAGAGCTAATGAATACCATCTCAAAGAAATAAATGTAGCACAGACAACCCTGAGAAGATGGTACTCTGAGGCTGCCCAGGTTTCCCTGCAAACTGAGGTCAGCAGGACACAGAAAATGGTGACAGTGCTGTCCTTTAGTGTAATACTCCACATGAAGGATCTGGGCCAGTGTTGAAGCTGTAGGTGGGTGTTTTTCTTAGGATTGCTCATTATTTATGATTAACAGTGACAGAATCCCTGGAATCCATACATATGTTTAAAATCATGCCTAGATTTTTTTTGTTGGTACATGTTTGTAGTACATTATAATTGGTACATGTTTGTAGTACATTATAATTACATTTACTATGGAGAATTGGTACACATACATGTTTTTAAATTGCTTCCCTTCCCCTGCCTCCTATGTTGTTTTCCTTCTAAAACCAAGATTCTATATAGTGCTGCACAACTCATTTAAATTTAATGTATATTATTTTATAACAGCTTTGAAAGTATGGACTTGAGAATTGACTTGGATATTGTGTTCTGATCCAGGGCAGACAAAATTCCCCCATCTGTGTATGCCACCTACCGTCAAGCCTGTGCCACTGCTGAGAAAGAGAAGCCAGAAAGTGAGAATCACAACCCCTGTCTGCTGTGACTCTGAGCATCTGTCACTTGAAGCCTGTGTCAGTGACCTTAGGCTGGGTCATGTGTGCTTGGGTGGGGGAGTGGAGCCTGCTACCACATGACACTAGACTCTGTCATTGTACCCCAAGGGCCAAATGAGACAGTGATCCTTAGGCTTGGTAACCTGAAGACAACTGACTTGCACTTTTCAGGGTGTATTGTGCTTTGGAGGCCACTGTGGGGGTCAGGGGCAAGTCCTAGTGGGCTGCAGGCACTACTTTCTGAGCATTTTGCTAGGGATATGAGTGGGGGTCTTTCTGCCCACAGAGAACAGGAACTTAGGCCTGAGCTGGCTTCCATAGCTCCATTCCTAGGGCCCTGGCTCTGCCAGCTACATGGTCCACAGTGGCAGTGCTCTCAGGAGCAGGTCTGTTTGCTGATGATGGCGCTTCACTTGCAGATGCTGGTGCCTCCCAGGCAGCTGTGTGGGTGCTGCTGTTTTAGATTCTCTGCCACTTGAGGCCTAGCGGGCCATGTGGCCTGTCCTGACCAGTGGCAGTCCTCTTCCTAGTTCTGCTTCCAGGTGCCTCCTTCTTATAATTAGACCATGTCCCACAGCCATGGAGACAAGACATGTGAATGGGCAAAGAATGACAACCCTAACCTAAGGATCCATGTGCTGACATGTGGAGAGGCCAGGGCCACAGGTTGAGTGGGGCTCTAGAGTGTCCTCTCAGGCTCTAACAGGGGTCAGGGACAGAGCACAGAACCTGGTTGTTAGTTTCATTTTTGAGAAACCTCCACACAGTAGGACACCGTGAGCTTGTGCCTTTTCCAACCACCTGGGACTTGTCTTGTTCTTTATGTATATGTGGTGTACTTTCCTTTTAATAATGAGGGCCATGTGGTTGGCTCTGGGACACTGCCCAGATAAACCATCCTCCACCCTTGATCCTGACTCTGCCCTTCAGCTTTCAGGACTACGCTAGTCTTTTTTTTTTTTCATTGTGTATCTGCTCTTCACAGCTGTGGAAATTGTGACCATAACGTACTTTTTCTTAAACTTGTTTATAAGTGTGTCATTTTGGTGGAAATGGAACCCAGAACCTGGTGCATGCCAGGCAAGTGCTCACCACTGAGCTGCACCTAACCTAGAATGCATTGATTTTTGCTGTTATGTGGACAGCGGTCTCAGAGATTTAATGTTTCTCTTCATGGGCTTGTCGAGTCTGTAGCTGACATTTGTACATAGTTGTAGGCGTTAGGGTTTGCTTCCCCCATCCTGAAGTGTCATATGGACAACGTTAAGGTTTCCCATCCCTCCCTCAGGTGCAGACCCAGGAATGGGGACAGAACCTGGCTGTGTGGAAGAGGCCCTGGGACCACTCAAGGCTGCACTAGGACAGCTCACAGCCTTGATGACCAACCCGATGCAGTATGATGGTGAGGACTCAGTGTCTGATGGGGCTTGTGTCCCGGGTGTGTGTGCACAGCTGCAAGGGGAGCCGATGAGGATGTCTTCCTGTGGTCCAGTGTGCTTGCCTGTGGCAAAGTGGCTGCTGAGGTTGAAGGGAGTTGGCCATGGGAGGCTGCTACAGCCCTCAACAGGAGCTGAGTGTGCTGCTGTTGGACATCCCCAGAGGAGGAACTAGGGATAGTCAGGGGAGGTGCAGTTTTCCTTCTTAGCCTGCCAATGGGTGTGAGAAACAAGTACAGTGACTATTGTGTAAAGTAGGGTGAAGCGCTTACCTGTGGAGTGGGAACATGTAACCCCAGACCATTGTGTTCCCAGCAGTGCTGATCTGAATCTCTGACTTAGGCTTCATGAATTCTTTTCAATATGATATATGCAGGATGTTAAAGAAGCTCCATTTTCACTGAGCATATTAAACACCTGAAGCTGGATAATTTGTAAAGAAATGAGATGTATTCATACCACATTTTTGAAGGTTTACAGTCTGAGATCGGCAGTCCTCATAGGTTTGGCTGCACCCAGTATAGTGGAAGAGTGGGATCTTACTGTGAGACAGAGGGTAGAGGCTGAGGAGGGTCAGTCTGGCTAGGAGGACACCCTCTCAGTACACCTAACCAGTTGGTCCCTTCTGAGAACAACATTCCCTTACCATGTCACCTTGCTCCAAACTTCTCACAAGTCCCACCTCCCAGCACCACTGTCTGAGGACCAAACCACACCCAGGCCCTAACTTTTTTTTGGGCTTTTTGAGACATGGTCTCATTGTACAGTTCAGGCTGGGCTTGAATTCACTTTATAGCCCAGGCTGGTCTCAAACTTGCAAGGATCCTCCTGCCTCAGCCTCCCAAGTGCTGGGATTACAGGCATGTGCCACTTTGCCCAGCCTAGGCCCTAACTCTTAAGTGTGACAGATCTTCATTTCTTTTTTTTTTTTTTTTGTCTTTTTCCTTTTTATCAGTACTGGGGATCGAACTCTCGACTGCCTGCTTGCAAGGCAGGCACTTATGCCGCTGAGCTAAACCTCCAGTGGGCAGATCTTCATTTCTACTGGATGGGTTTCATTCAACTCTCGGTAGCCTGGTGTATGTGGGGCAGTGCTTGCCTGCTGTGCCCAGACCATGTACACAATGACAAGAGTGTGACCTTTTAGAGTTGTACTCAGGCAGAATGTGGTGGTTATTGGTTGGGTTTTTGTTTATTTCATTTTGGCCCTATTAGGAATCAAACAAGGGGCTTTGTACTGAGCTGTAGCCCCCCAGCCCTTTTTGTATTTTACTTTGAGACAGGGTCTTGTTAAGTTGCTCAATCTGAGCTTGAACTTGTAGTCTCCTGTGTCAGCCTCCCAGACATGCTCCACAATGCTCAGCTTCCAGCTCCTGTTGTTTTGAGGGTGAGTTAGGATCTTACTGTGTTGCCCAGGCTGGCCTCCAGCCTGCAACTCCAGAGCTTAAGTGACCCTCTCATTTTAGCTTTGAGGCTGCCAGGACTGTTGTGCCCTGCACCCACTCAGCATGTGGGGTTTGGAGCCTTAGAAACAATTTCACTGAGGGAGCAAAGGCTAATGAGTTGTCAGGTCACCCTGTTTCTAACAGCAGTGAAGCAGGTTTCATGCTGCAGTGAATTTTGACTGTGCATAGACCCCAGAATAGGGTGTCTGGGTGGTTTGTGCTAAACTGACATCCCATGTACAGAGGACAGTGAAGGCACTGTCAGCTCTCAGCCAGTCCAGGAGTGAGTAGTGGTCAGGCCTGTGTTGCCCACAGTATGTACATGGTACCCAGTAGCCTGTGCATCAGGGGTCTTCTCACTTGCCACAATGGTATGGATAAACAGGACTTCCACTGCTGGGTTGGGCTCATTGGGTGAGTTCCCTCTGTGTGCAGGGGCTGGAGATAGGCAGAGCAGCCTGGCTTTCCTTGTGCCATGTGCCCCTGGGCATCATTCCTCATATTTCCCACCTGTCTCATGGTTCCTCTTTATACAGCTGTGTCTGCTCAGATGGCTGTGATTGCTGAAAAGCTTGATGCTGTCTTGGGTCGCAGGAGAGATGATACCTGTTGTGAGGAAATGAAGATTCAGCTCAGCACCTTTGCCCCAGATGTCCCACAGCAGTATCAGGTGGTGGGTATGGGCAACAGGTAGCTGTCGAGGGCCTTGGTACACTCTGCTGGGGGCTGGCCAGGCTACCACAGCCTGTTTGTATAGGTGTATTCTTTTTCCTTTTAGGGATTTTCAGTCAGAATTGAACCCAGGGCCTTAGTCATGCTAGGCAAGCACTCTATCACTGAGCTGTATGCCTAGCCCATTTTTCAGTTTTATTTTGAGACCTGAGCTAAGTTCCCCAGGTGATGAATTTGTAATCTTCCTGCCTCAGCCTCCCAAGTAGCCGGGATTGTAAGTGTGCACCACCATGCTAGATTCCTTTACATTTTAAGGAAGTATATGTGGTAGAGGGCACTGGCAAGCTCAAAGCTTAAAGTATTTGCCTTCTAGTCCTCTATTGTCAAAGTTTGCTACACTGACACTACTCTAGCAGGGTCCAAGGTTGAGGATGGCCATCCTGGGACCTGCTTGTCCTATGATTTCGTCTGCCCCTTTCGGCACAGCTGTACTCTGGTGCTGCATGCTCAAGGCTGTAGCCTCAGGTGTCTATGTCTCCTTCAGGTTGTGGATCTGCTGCTGACAGCTTTCTGTCAGGACCTGATGGCAGCCTGCAGCTTTGTCCCGCCAGAGAGGTGAGGGCACAAGAGAGTCACTGAGTGGTCATGGGGGCCAGGCAGCATTTTCTCAGACAGGGATGCTTTGAAAGACTTGCCTGTCCATGTGCTGTGGGGTCCTTGCAGAGGTGTCCTCTACTGGGGTCTGTTATAGGAGGCTATGTGGGCTGTGAGTGCCAGCGTAGTGGTCTCTGCTCTACCTGCAGGCAGGGCCCCTGGGCCACACTCTTTGTGAGGACTTTGTGTGGTCATGCATTGCTACCTGCAGTTCTTGCCCGGTTCTGCCAGCTGCTACGTCACCAGGTATACTATGCCACCTTGGTCTGGGCTGACCTACAGTGCCTGGATAGCTGTCATAGCTCTGCCTCTTCCCTGTCTCTCTTTCAGGGCCCAAGTCTGAGTGCTCCACACGTGCTGGGCTTGGCTGCCCTGGCTGTCCACCTGGGGGAGACCAGGGCTACACTCCCAGAGGTGGACCCACACCCTGCTGTAGCCACCCACAGCCTTCCTGTCCCCGAGTTCCTCAATGACCTCTTGTCCTGCCATGCCGGAGAGTCTGCACTGTTCTGCCTAAAGTGAGCTAGTCCTCACTCCTCAGTCATGGCCTTCCCCCATGTTCCCCTGCACCAAATAACACTTGCTTACCAGATAAAATTACAGGAGACAGGCTGGGGTGCAGAATGGTAGAGCTTGTGCATGAGGCTCTGGGGTCAGTCCCTAGTAAGCAGAAGAAGCTAGGCATGATGTCTGCCTTTGCTGAGGAGGGAGTTTGTGGAGACAGCTGAGCTGGGCTGAGGCTACATGAGAGTTTTTCTAAACAGTCTAAGGACTGACCATCACACCATGCAGTTACAGAGTACACTAAATTCAGTTTTGTGCAGTTCACAGTTTCCTTTTATCCCTGCTGGTGGTGGTGGTTTTTTGGTATAGGGGTTCAACTTGGGGCCTTTGCACTGAGCTTAGAGACGAGATGTTTTTAGTCACTAAGTTGCTTAGACTAGGGTTGATGCAGTCTTTCTGCATCAGCCTCTCGGAATGCTGACATTACAGGTGTGCTTCATCATGCCCAGCTCATCCTTATTTGACATGGACCAAGTTGTGTATTATGCCCTGTTCCCTGTTGTGGATCCCATGTGGCAGGACGTGGGGATGACTGTGATCAGACCTTCTCTGTCACAGGTTCTGTACAGCAGCAATCACCTACTCTTGGTGCAAGTTCTCTCCTCGGCCCCATGGGGCCCTGCGCAGCTGTTTACCTCCAGGCCTTATCAAAAAGGTGGGTCTTAGGTGCAGCTTTTTCCAGCCTGGGAGTCCTCCACGTGGTAGCACCCCATCAGGTTGGCTGTGGACTGCCTCCTGTGCTGGGGGCTGCTGTCCCTTCACATTTGAGTAACCGAGTAACATTACAGCTTCAATCATGTGTCTGCTCTTTTAAAGACATGGATGCTGTGGCAGGGTTGTTAAGTCAGCAGCACAGTACCTGCCTGGCAAACCTATAGTCCTGAGTTCAATTCCAGATCCCCCCCCCCCCCCCCCTGCACAAAAACACATGGTTACTGATATGCAGAGGGACAGGTCAATTCAAAGGTAAGTGCTTGTAAAAAGTAGCTTTCCCTTTAAAGAAACATTCTGATTTCCTTTCTCTAGTAGTGCTTGTTGCATGTATCAGAAGGACTTAAATTTAACGAGTATCTGGAACCCTATATTTCAAAAGTGACAGTAAAGTTACAGTACCAACCAGGGTTATTATTTTACAGGTCTTTTTTTAGTGCTAAGGATGGAACCCAGGGCTTCAAGCATACTGGGCAAGCAATCTTAACGCCAAGCCACTCCAGCCCTGTTTTCACTGAATTCTAATGAACACCTTTGTGTATGGAACAAGTGATTTTCAATTCCAGGCTTCACATTAGAATAAACTGTGAGAGGCTTTGAAAGTCTGGGCTCCTAGGCCCTGCACTGATAAATTGAGTCCAGGCTGTACTCACATTCTTGTTGCCTGCTTTCAGGGATCTAGTCTTGGTTCAGGAATGAAGAAAGCTGGTGAAGTTAGGAGAGACTTGCAGGTTTCCCACAGACTCCTTAGGGGACCCAGGGCCCTTGAGTAGCCACAGGCAATTGCCCTCAAAGGATAGGATAGGGAGGAACTGTCACAATGAGACATTTGGCTTGTCCTTTTGGTACCTGTACCAAAAAACTCAGTGCTGGAGAGCATTGGAGGGCACTAGCCAGCACGCAGCACTGCCAGCCAAGGTTCTAGGTGTGGCAGAGCACCTGGCGGGATCCTGGGCTTTGAAGCAGGCCTCCTGAGGATTGGTTGTCAGTACAGCTCCTCGCCTCGCGAGAACTCATCCTCTCCTATCTCAGTTTCAGTTTGCTGTGTTCAGATTGGTTTCAGAGGCCCGAGAGCCTCACCCTGTGCAGAATGAGGACAGCCTTCCCTGGAGACTTTTGTGCCTTCCTTCTGCAGAGTGGCAGAACGCTGTGCTTGCTCTGTGGCGACAGAGCAGCTTCCAGGAGCTGCTGGCAGAGCCGGAGTTTCGGGTGGGTCCCTGTCTCCTGTGTGACATTGTCCCTTGGATCTGTGAACTTCTGTGTCTGGTTGAGATCTGGTTGCGATCTTCCTGGATCACTGTACCTTCACATGTAGCTCTAAGAAACTGCAGGAGGACCTTGGTGTGCTCTGCCCAAGTTTCTCAGACAAGTTTTAAGACAAATTTGCAGACAAGTTTTAAGGGTGAATAAAACTAGTTTGTGTGTATAGTTTGTTTGGTTGTTTATTTTTGTTTTCTTGAAGTCTTGCTATGTAGCTTAGCCTGGCCTTGAATTTGGTTTGATATGCAGCCCAGAATGGCCTTGAATTTATGCAGTCTTTTTGCATTAGCCTCCCAAGTGGTAAATTACAAGTGTGCACCACATCTGGCTTTTTTTGTTTTATTTTGTTTTTGTTTTTCTTGAGGCAGGATCTTGCTAATTAGTTCAGGCTGGCCTCCTATAGCAATGCTCCTGCCTCAGCCGCCTGAGTGCAAGCACCAGACCTTGTGATAGTAATGCAGCTTCTGCACTAACTAGCCCAGGCTTGTCCAGGAGATAGTCTGGGGCCTGCCTGGTACTGTTACCCTACAGGCGCATTTATCTTGTTTATTTCCCAAGTGTTTATGGGTTGTTCAGTTAGGGGAGTCTGCAGACTGCTTTGGCACATTTTTTCAGTGGTGTCCTTGGTAACTGTGAGGTTTTGAGATTAGTCCATTGCAGTTTGTGGATCTGTTCTAAGAACTGCAAATAAGAAAGAAGCTACCATGAATATTTGTAGCTGTTTATTACAGAAAGAAATTACTTATTCCCTGGTATTGGCTGTATAATCCCTGACAGGGAATGGGTTTGTAGATGCCGCAGAGTAATTGAAAACCAGATGATGTGTTATTTTTTTGTGTGTGTGGGGGGCATTGAGGCAGGGTCTCACTACAACTCAGCAGTTCTCCCTCAGCCTCCTAAATGCTGGGATTACAGGCATGTGTCACCACACCTGGCTCCATATCAGTGTGTATTTATAAGTACCTGCCTAAGTGATATCGGTTCAGTTCACACCAGGGTTTGTAAAGAATACTGATGTTTCCAGGGCTTATTGGTTCTTCATTTCTTAGGCATAGTGTGAAAGGCATTCCATAAAAATGACATTTTCCTGCTGGGAGAAAAGTGTCTAATGGTTGAGCATCTCTTTTCCAAGAAATTCTAAAGTCTGAAACATTCGACAGCATTCCGAGTGTTGCAGATGCAGGAAGTGCAGCCTGCTGTGCAGATGTCCTTGTGGCAAAAGCATTCAGGTCTCACAGCAGAAAAGTGGCATAGGGTAGAGACTCCTGTAGCTGCAGCTTCAATAGAAAGTGGGGGTCAGATCTTTGTTGTTAAGATACAATGACAGAGCTGGGGATGTAACTCAGTGACACAGCGCCTGCCTGGCTAGTGCCAGATCCTGAGTTTGACTGCAAGAATTAAAAGAAGGGGGGGGCGGGGCTGGGGATTTAGCTCAGCAGCATAAGCGCCTGCCTTGCAAGTGTGTGGTAAGGAGTTCGATCCCTGGTACCAGTGTAAAAAAAAAAAAAAAAAAAAAAAAAATTTGCAAACTGGACATAGGACTTGTGTGTTTTGTCTTCACCACCCTGGAGTGCCCTTTGTTTCTAGTTGACTTACAGAGACTGGCTACAGCAGGAATTGGAGGTGTCCGCTGGAGCTGATCCTCTGTCAGACACAGAAAGGTGAGTGCTATGGGGAGCCTGGCACAGCAGTAGCATGGTTTTCTGCATTGTTTTAAGGGCTGTTTCATCATGTCCTCAGGGGAAAGTTTGGGCAAACCATATCCTTTGAGCAGGATTTTAGTTATTTGTTCTTTTGTTCAAGAAACATTTATTGAGCTCTGACCATGTGTCAGGCACTTCCAGAATGTTCTGGGAGCTGGGGGCAGGGTAAGGAGATGAGCCTGTGTGCACAGCACCTTTGTACAGAGGGTAGACGCAGCACACCCAGCCCTTTGCCACCTGGGCTTGGGTGTAGAGCTGTGCTCTGCTGGCTCCCCATGAGGAGGATGGAGAAGGAGGGCTTTAAAGGAAGGGAGAGCCCTGCGAGACAACAGAGGGCCGTGTGAGCAAGGGCCAGGTTCCAGGAGGGAATATGGGAGCCCAGGCACTAGGGACATCAATGCCTGAAGTGCATGGGTGTTGTGAGGAGTGCCAGGAGATTCCTTAGGTTTGAGAAGTGGAATTGAGGGAGAGAAATGTGGAGAATCTGTGAGGGCAGGTGACCCCTGGAGCAGCCGCCCCATCCTTGTGGTCTGAGATCCTCTGCACATGCACAGTCCTGTCCCCATGTACTGTGGCTACAGCATCAGGTTCTGGGTAAACTGAAGAGAAATAACAGGGCAAGAAAACCCTAGGGAGAACAAAACTTGGCTGTTCCCCAACAGAGCAGCCACTTTGCCCTCAGGTCTCTATGGGGCCAGTTTGGCTAGTGGTTCCTTGCATATTTGGACACTCTAGCAGTGGGGACAGGGGCATTACCTAACCCTGCAAGTGGCTGCTGCCATGTGGTAGTCTAGATGCATTCTGGGATTTCCTTACACTCAGCTAGGTGTCGCACAGATGGAGATGGCCCTAGCCATTGTCACCCAGGTCCCAGGTGCTCCTGACTGTGTGGTTGTTTAGGGTCTCACTTGAGATTGGCTCTTTGTATGCAACAGACTGCAGTAACCAAAGTTTTGAGACCCTTTCCGTGAACACATGCAGTGCTGCCTGATTTGGTGGCTGCCTATGGTCCAACTGTGGCCCTGTTGGTCAGGTGCACTCCATATGCCAAGTTCACCAGGGAACAGCCAGTGGCCACCCAGTGGGATGACACCTGGCCTAGGCTTCAGCTGATAGTAGATGTCACCCTCGATGTGTCTTTTCTGAGTCCTGGGTTGTAGTCACCGGAGATGTGTGGTGCTCCAGGGCACAGAGAAGCCCTGCACAAAGCATTTCATACAACTGACCTTGTTTACTGTTGCAGGCAGGAATTCCACCAGTGGGCGATCCATGAGCACTTCCTCCCTGCGCCATTGGCTTCAGGGGGCTGCGATGGGGACCTGGAGGTAGCATGTGCGGGTCTCATCGATGTGTTGATGGACTTCTACCAAAGGTCAGCCTGCAGTGCCACAGTATCTTCATGACAGTTCTGAAAATGTGCCACATTGGTCTTGATGCAGTCACATGTGCACACGTGCATCACTGTCAGGGCCTGTGGAGTGTGCGCAGTGCAACCACCTAGCCAGCAAGGCAGGGTATACAGCTTTGTACACATAGCACTGACTCTGCTTTGGGTCTTGAGTTCAAGGTGTGCAAATGCGGAGGACAGAAAACACAGCCTGACCGGTGCTGTACACATGAGGACACAGGTGATAGTACATAGTGGGTCTTAAAGCAGTGGCCCAAGGTGGTCCCCCCTCCAGTGCCACACTTTCAGATTGCTGTTTGGTGACATAGGCATCAAGGCGGGGTTGTGTTGTCTGAGACTAAGGTGATGTGTCATATCATAAAAACCAAACCCTTTTGTTTCACCCTCCAAATCGTGATGGGATAGCACAGTATATGTGCCTGTTTGTCCCACTGCTGACTCGTCCCCCACAGAGGTCTGTGTAGACACCATCCAGGCAAGGAGCCTGTTTAAGCTCAGTGTGTCAGCACCTTTCTGTTACATTTCCATATGTCCAGCAAGGTTAGAAGTTACTCCTGCCGATGTGCAGTGCCCAGAACCATGTGGGCCAGGAAGAGTGGCTTTTCTATTTCCCCTTGGTCTTCCAAGAGCAGCTGAGGAGGGATGGCCGGAGTGCGCACGTGGCTCAGCTGTGAGTGCACTGTGCTGGCCTCCAGCCTCTTGTCTACTGCCTGCTTGTAACACTGCCCATTTGGGATGCATGGTCTAAGTAGTACCATGTAATTCATGGTCCTTTGTGTCTGAGTTCTTTCACTAAGTAAAATATTTTTGAGGTTGTCTGAGCTATAGCATGGATCAGTACTCCTTCTATGACTGAATACACCTGGACCGTTTTGTATGTCCATGCATTCACGGATGGATGTGTGTTATTTCCAAGTTTGGGCTGTTTTGAATAATGTTGCTGTGAATGTTTGTGTATGGGTTTTTGTGTAGGCTTGCACTTTCTTTTTGGGGGAAACATGCATAGGAGTAGAACTGCTGGATCAGCTCCATTATGTAGCTGTCTTCCAGACTGTCTTCCAGAACTGCTGTGCTGCTCTCCATTCCTCTCTGTAGTGAAGGACAGTTATCTCCCCACCGTCACTGCACTGTGATAGTTGCTCTGGCTGCTTTGTAAGAGTGGTCCAATTCACTGTGGATTTTATTACTTTTAGCTGTCCTAATCTCTGTGTTAGTTCATTGTGGTGTTGATTTGCACTTCTGGATAATTGATTATTAATGTTGAACATCTTTTCATGCACTTATGTTGTCTTTGGAGAAATGTCTGTTCACACCCTTTGCATGTATACATTATATTAAAAACGTGTATATTTTGTGTATTATATGTACAACCTCACACATGCTAGAATAGCCTCTACCACTGAACTATACCCTCAGCTCCTTTTGGCCACTTTAAAACTAGTCTGTCTCATGGAGTGTTATGAGCCCTTTCATTGTAAGTGTAAGCTCTCAGCAGTACGTGGCTGGTACATAAGTTCTCCCATTCTGTGACCTGTCTTTTTACTGTCTTGATAATGTCATCTGATAGACAATCTTGGTGAAATCTAATTCATTTGTTTTTACTTTTAGCACATATTTTAGGGTTTTGCTTCTCTTTTTTTTTTTTTTTTTTTTTTCTTTTTGTCTTTTTGAGACAGGGTTTCAGGCTGAATTTGAACTGACTTTGTAGACCAGGCTGGCCTCTAACAGAGATCCTCCTGCCTCAGCCTCCGGAATGCTGAGATTACTGGTGTGCGCACCACCACTCCTGGCCGTTTGCTCCATTTCACCTTATTCTGGATGTGCTGTAAAATAGGGATCTAATGTCATTTGATTTGTATGTGGTTGTCCATTTGTCCATTCATTTTTTGAAAAGACTATTCTTTCCCTGTTGAATGATCTTGGCTTGCTCAACAAAAATCTGATGACCAGAGGCACGTGCAGTGGCATGTATCTGTGACTTTCAGCATGTGGAGCAGCTTCAGAAGAGGATTACATTTCAGTGATTAAGCAAGACCTATATCAAAATAATAATCAAAAAAACGAAGTCCCTGGGTTCTCTCCATAGTAGTGTTCAAAAAAAAAGTTGAGCCTTCATGTAAGGATTTTATTTCTGAACTAGCAATTCTATATTGGTCTCTTATCCATTCATATGCCAGTTCTGCATCTTTTTGATTACTGTAGTTTTGTACTAAGTTTTGAAATTGGGAAATATATGAGTCCTCTAATATTGTTATTTATTTATTTATCTGTTTGTTTATTTGTTTATTTATTTAGTGAGACAAGGCCGGAGATATAGCTAAGTGGCACAGCACCTGCTGGGCAAACATAAGGCCCTGAGTTCAATTCTCCATACCAGAAAAAAAAGCTTTATGAGACACAGTCTTGCATTGTAATTCAAGCTGATCTTGAACTCATTAGTGTAGCCCAGGCTGGCCCTGGTACTTAGAGCACTCATCCCATCTCAGCCGCCTGAGTGCTGGGATTACAGGCATGCTCCTTTGCACCTGGTAATTTTGTTCTTTTTTTAAAATTTCATTTAAAGAAAGACTAAACAAAACAGAAAATAGGTAGAAATAATACATACATTCAGAGAAAAAAATAAACAGTAAGAAATCACTAGTGGATGTTTACATATTATTGTTTTACAAATAGTTGTTCAAGGTACAAGAGTGGAACATGTAAAGTGGGAATTCAAACAGTGAGACTGCAAACAATTCTGTTCAACTGTCCAACAAAAACTTAGTAACATGGTTGTCAATCCTATACACTTAAACATACATGCAGTTATCCATATCTTCATTTATGTTGGGATTAAACAAACTAAAGCAGGCTAAAGTCATTCTGAACAAAGAATAATACTATTGCTGGATTTCACATCATGACACTCCGTGATCAGCACTGGGTACTGTAGTGTCTTTTTTTTTTTAATTTAATTTAAAGAAAGACTAAACAAAACAGAAAATGGGTGGAAATAATACATAATTTCAAAGAAAAACAGTAACAAATCACTAGTTGATGATTACATATTGTCTTCTTACAAATAGTTATTCAGGATACTAAAGTGGAACATATAAAGTGTGGATCAAACAGTGAGGTTCCACCCAGTTCTGTTCAACTGTCCAACAAAAACTTAGAAATATGGTTATCAATCCTATACACTTAAATATACATGCAGTTATCCATATCTTCAATTATGTTGAGGTTGAATAAACCCAAGCAGGCTAGTATCACTCTGAACAAAGAATAATACTATTGCTGAGTTTCCCATTATGACACTCCAGGATGAGCACTGGGTATTTTAGTGTCTCTTTTTCTTCAGAGTATCTGTTCATTTCATCATGGGTCATAAGATCAGTTCTCATAAACTGTTCATAGATTCTACACATGCATGAGACTTAACATGTATTTGTATCCTTTCTATATTAGAGGGAGAAACAAAACAAAGCAAGGGAAAACAAAACATTCCTGGGCCTGGGGATTTAGCTGCATAAGCGCCTGCCTTGCAAGCAGGCATTCGTGAGTTCGATCCCCGGTACCGATAAAAAGGAAAAAGATAAAAACAAAACAAAAAAAATTCCTATAACCATATGAAACGAAATAAACATGTAAGACTGTTGTACAAAGAATTCTACCATGGTTCCTGTGTTGTCTCTTGTTATCTCCAGTAGAACTGGCTATATCATCAGACATAGTATAATTGAATATATCAGTACATAAGAGTATTAATAAAAACACAACTTTGCATATAGTATAGAATTTCAAAAACCGGCAGTTATCAAACCAGAATGTGTATCGTAGAGTTTTGTACTGTCAGACTTGATCCTATCAATCATACCAGTTTTGAATAAAATCTTCTCTGCCTCATTTCTATTATGCTCTTTTTTGCCACCAGTTGTCTGCTTATCTTCTTCATTCTGTTTTCTGCTCCATTCATTGAGGCCTCTCTGCCACTGTTTCTGGAATCCTAGTACCTTTCTCTCTCTCTAGAATGCCCTGCAGTATTCTCTGTAGAGTTGGATTGGTGGTTGCAAATTTCCCAAGTTCCACTTTGTCTTGGAAGCCTCTTGTTTCTCCATTAATTTCTAGAGGCAGTTTATCAGGGTATATCAATCTGGGCTGGAGGTTATTTTCTTTCAGGGCTTGGAATATTTTGCTCCAGGCTCTTCTTGACTTGATAGTTTGTGTCGAGAAGTGTGCTGTTATTCTGATGGGCCTTCCTCTATAGGTTATCTGTTTCTTGTCTCTAACAGCTTTTAATATTCTGTTCTTATATTGAATTTTTGGGATCTTGATTATTATATGCCTGGGTGTTTGGTTGTAGGTGGCTGGAGTTCTGTATGCCTCATATATAAGAATATCATTTCCTTTTCCTATGTTTAGGAAGTTTTCCTTAATTATTTCTGTGAATAACCTTTGTAGCCTTTGTTTAAATAAAGAATGTCATTCACATTCTTTATTCTCAAGTTATAGATCCTTTTGTCATCTTCTAACCTTTGTATCATTACTGCTTGTTTCCTTGTTATTTTTAAAAAGTTTTCCCTTTCATACTCCCACATTGCAAAATTGTCCTCCAGTTTGGATAATCTATCCTTAGTTTCTTTCAAGCTGATTTGCCATCTTTCCATAGACTTTTTAATTTCCTGGTGATCTCTTTGAATCTGCTTTATGTATTCTATATTTTTAAAATATTCTTTATCAAATGGTTCTCTTCTTTGTTTGAGTTCCTCCCTCCTTCCATCTGTGTCTGCTTGAGGGGTACTTAGTATCTCTTTTATTAATTTTCTTATATCTTGCTTTATTTGGTTAAATATTTCACTTGTGAACTCATCTATGAGGTCCCGAATGTATCTCTTTATGTCCACTGGTGCTGTGTCTGATATTGCATGTTTGCTGTTCTCATTCTCCTTTGTGTTTACCTATCCTGGGTCAGTGTCCTCAGGGTTGGGACCTGGGGACTTTTTGTTGTTGCTTCCTCTTCCCATCTTTTTTGCTTCTTCCAGGAGGCCCCAGTTTCTTTCTTTGTTGGCAGCACGCTGGCTAGATGATGTTTCCCACTGCCGAGGGCTAGTGAGTTGCAGACAGGGACAGCGCATGATGCCCCCTCGCCTCCAGATCAGTCAAGTGCTGTGGCCTGCACTGTATTTCTTTGAGCCGCCTCCCATCTGGGGGGTGGTGGCTGGAGCATGATGGCAGCGGCAGCATTGGTGGTCTTTGCGCGGCCTTCCCTCTGGGTCGGTGTGGTGGCTGCAACAGGGGCAGGGGCGGGGGCACCCGGTGGGCACTGAGTCCCTCCCAGGCCTGTGGTGACAGGTCTCACCAGCGGGCGAGAGGTGGTGGCTGGAGCGCAGCAGCGTGGGGATCAGTCAAGTTGCTGTGGCATGCACTCTATTTCTTTGTGCCACCTCCCCTCCGGGTCAGTCAAGCTGCTGTGGCCTGCACAGTCAGTCAAACTTCCAATTTTTTTCTTTTTAAAAATTGATTTGGAGTTGGGTGTTGTGGCGTATGCCAGTTACTCAGGAGGCTAAGGCAAGATTATTACAAATTCAAAGTCAGTCTGGACAATTTAGCTAAGACCCTGTCTCAAAAAATAGAATGGGGGCCCTAGGCTAGAGTGGAGTTCAGTAGTAAAGCACTTGCCTGGCATCCACAAAGCCCTAGGTTCAATTCCTAGTACTGGAAGAAGAAAAAGAAAAGCTTGATTTGGCTCCTCTGAGTTCTGTGTGATTCCATCTGAACTTCAGGATCAGCCTCCCAGTTTCTATGATGCCTGCTGAGACCCTGATAGAAACTGCATCTCCTCTGAGATCACTTGGGAGTTGTCATTTCAACATCAAGTCTTCCTTTCCATGATCATGGGGTGCCCTTGCATTTTTTGAGGACTTCTTTTTTTCAACATTATTTTATGGTTTTTATTTATTTATTTTGTCTTTTTCGTTTTTATTGGTACCGGGGATTGAACTCACAACTGTCTGCTTGCAAGGCAGGTGCTTATGCCGCTGAGCTAAACCTCCAGCCCCATATTTTATGGTTTTTATTATGCAAGTCATATTGCCTTGGTTAAATTTATCCCTTTGTATTTTATTTTTTTATTACTGTCACAAATGGAATTATTGTTTGAATTTTGGTATTATTCATTTTGAAATACTATCATTTTTTGTTTTTGATTTGTAAAATATTTATCACCTTCGTTTATTTGAAGAGCAGAATATATTTATCGAAAGAAAGCTGTCAGAGAGAGTGACAGAAAGGAGCCTGAGTGGGTTGTCCAACTTTTTATTTTTCATTATTTTTAAAAATTTATTTTATTTTTTTTGTAGCAATACTGAAGATTAAACGCAGGGCTTTTGTGCTGAGCTATATTCTCAGGCTTTTTTTTTTTTTTTTTTTTTTTTTGTGGTTCTTGCTAACTTGTGAACCTAGCTCTAATCTAGATCCTAATCCTAACCTGTGATCGTCCTGCCTCAGCTTCTCAATACTGGTATTTCTGATATGTACCACCACACCCTGCTCAAAAGTAGTTCAATTCTAATAGCTGTTTTGTGTGACTTCTTTAGTGTTTCCTGTATGTCAGCTCCTGTTATCTGTGACTAGAAATGGTATAATTTTTTCCTTCCCAGCCTGGATGCCTGTTATTTTCTGATTGACTTACCCCAGCTAGTACTTGTAGAGCAGTGTTGAACAGAGCTGGCGAGAGGGGATGTCTTGGCCTCGTCCTTGTGGAGCAAAAGCTTTCCATTTTTGATTGTTGAATATGATGCTGGCTCTGGGTTTTCGTATGAGTGTGCTGCAGTCCTTGTTTATTGAGTTACAATAGGGCATGAAATTTTTCTCTAGCACTTCTTTTGCAATTATCGCTGTTACGTGGTTTCTATATTACAGCAGTCAATCCTTGGAAACCAAACCAAAAAGTTTTGCTGGGTTGGGGCTGTAGCACTGTGGGTTCTGCCACCCCTGCTGGCTGCTGCTGGCACAGAAGGGTGCCAGGTTGTACTTAGCAGCCTCAGCTTTGTTTTCTTTCAGTCCGAGGAACTGTGACCACACCGAGAGCTCTGACTGGCCCCGTGGTGGCCACAAAGGCAACAGCGACCTGTTCTGCCGGCTACAGGTGAGTTAGAGGACACCAGGCCTCAGAGTGTCCACTGCTGAAGTTCACGACACATTTTTTCCATAATGGCGCCCAAGCCTGCTGAGCAATGTGGAGACTCATGTTTCTCACCCTGAGGCTGAGGTCCTGAATAGTAGTGTGTGGCCTGTGATTTGCACCACAGGCCAATATCATGAAGTCCCAGGCACAAATTCTTGTGCCCACCTCCTGCAGGAGGATCTTGGTGAGTTTGAAGCTACCTCGGCCTACAGGGTGAGATCCTGTCCAAAAAAAAAAAAAAAGACAATGAAGACAGAGGGCCCCAGGCCTGTTTCCTCATCAGCTCAGATGGCAAACATCACGAACCAGGGTTAAAGCTGGAACTGAGCCAGGCACAGTATTTCACATGCCTAATCCCAGCTGCTGAGGAGACTGAGGTAAAGGAGGATGATGTAGAGTAAAGGGCAATTCTAGGCAACAAAGGCAGTGGGCATCACAATCCCAGACTTGAAATTATACTACAAAGCTACTGTGATAAAAACAGCATGGTACTGGCAAAACAACAACAACAACAAAAACCAAATCAGACCCAAGGGTAAATGGAACAGATGAGGAGATGTGGAAGTAACTCCAGATACACTTAGCCAGCTTATGTTTGATAAAGGTGCTGAACACATGCATGGAAGACAACCTGTTTAATACATGGTGACTGTGTGCATGCTGAAGATTAAAATTGGACTTATATCTTTCAACATGCACTAAACTAAAATGAAATGTGTCAAAGACCTAAATATTAAACCAGAAACATTAAAAATCTGCTGGAGGATAGAATATGTAGAACTCGTAAAGACATGTGTAGGCAAAGACTTAATAATAAAACCCCACTACCACAAAGAATCAACAACTAGGGTCTTATCTTATTAAGAAGCTTTTGCACAGCAAGAGAAATCACCAACAGAGTGAAAAGACAACCCACAGTATGGGAAACGTTTTTTGCTGTTCCTCAAAGGATTACTATCAAGAACATATTACTATCAAGAACATATGAAGAACTCAAAAAAAAAAAATCAGATACCTCCAAATTTAGTTTCAGTTCTGATAATTTTTCATTGATTTTTTTTTGTCTATTTGATCTGTGCATTTGTGATGGTGGGGGTTATTGAGAGCCCCCAATACAATTGTGTTAGTGTTTATTTGATTTTCATGTCTGTTAATATTTATTTTATATAGTTGGGTGAGTGAGTATTTGGTTCATATGTATTTATGGTTGTTATTCTCTTCCTCTTGGATTGTTCCCTTTACAAAGATATAGTGACTTTCTTCATCTCTCTTAATCAGTCTTGGCTTGAAATTTACATTGTCTGCAAATAAAATAGCTACCCCTGCTTTTTTCTGTGTTCCTGTCACAGAGTATTGTTTTCCATGTTTTGATTTTCAGCCTACGAATTTGTTTTTTGTTTGTTTGAGATAGGGTCTTACTGTGTAGTTCAGGCTGGTCTCGAGTTCACAATATAGCCCTGGCTCCCCTTGAATTCATAGTATTTCTGATGCCTTTCCTCCCAAATGCTGGGATTACAAGTGTGTGTCAGTATGCCTGGCTGAATTGCTTTTCGAAGCAAATGTGTTTCTTGTATGCAGCATATTGTTGGATCTTGCATCTTGAGCCATTCTGCCTTCTGTTTCTTTCCTTCAGTCTTTGAGATAGGGTTTCATTATGCAGTTCAGGCAGATCTTGAACTTGAACTTGCAGCGATCCTCCTGCCTCAGTTTCACAAGTGGTATTACAGATGGACACCACCTCACTGATGGGTGAATTGAGATCATTTGATGGGTGAATTGAGATCATTAACAGTCGTGGTTATAATATATGTATTGACTTACCCTTGTTATTTCCTATTGTTTGCTCCCCCCCCCGCACCCGATTTAATTATTTGCCTTACCTGGTGGATTCTTTCTGTTGCAGTTCATAGAGTTGTAGCCCTTGTTATCTCTTTCTGGAATGTCCCTCAGAACATTTTGTAGTGCAGGTTTGGTGTCCATGAATTTCTTCAGTATTCTTTGTCATGGAAGTATCTTACTTCCCCATCAATTTTGAAAGATAGTTTTGTGGGGTACATAAATCTGGTTTGGAAGTTGGGCTTGAAGCAACTCCAGGCTCTCCTTGACTTGAGAGTTTTGTGCTGAGAAGTCAGCAGTGTTTATGATGTCTTAGTTACTTTTCTCTCATTGCTGAGACAAAACGCCTGACACTCAAAATGAAGGAAGAAAGATTTATTTAGCTTAAAGTTCTTGGAGGTTCCAATCCATCCACATCTTGATCCAAGACAGGGTGGTGTGGCTGAGGGTCTGCCATTCATGGTGGTGTGTCAGATCTGAGAAGAGACTGGAGCAAAAGGGGCACAAAGGGAGGAACAAGCCTCTTTCCTCCTTTATAGTGTGTGACCAGTATTTGCCTGGGTGGGCACAGCACTCATACTGCCAGACCCAGCACTAGACAGTGAACCAATCACAAGTATTAGATTCAGCTGCTTTGAATGGCCTGCCCTGCGCAAGACTTTGGGGGAACGTCCAAACCCACATCATAACAGGTGATTTTTTTTTTTTTCTTCCTCTAACAGGTTTTAATGGTTTACTCTTGTGTTGGATTTCTGGAATCTTGATGGTGATATGTCTTGATGTAGATTTTTTTTTGATCATGACTATTTGGAGTTCTGTATGCTTCACTTATCTGTAAGTCAAATTCTTTTTCCTTGCAGAGGTGTTTTCTGCCATGATGTCTATGAACATGTTTTTTATATCATTTATGCTGTTTCCTGCTTTTTAATTGATTTCAGTCATCAAATTATTGTTTGTATCATCTCTGTCAGCTGCTGTATTGATTTCTCGTGGTCCCTTGCTGTTTTTAAGAAATTTTCCTTTTCATGTTCCTAAGTGCAACCCTGTCTCAATGTTTGAGAGTTCTGTTCTCACATTGGTTTATTCTACTGCAGATACATTCAATGGGATTTTTGTCTCTTGGATATCTCCTTCAATCTCACGGGTTCCATTTTTTTCTTATTTTGGGTATTCAGAGTTTCCATCATTTTCCTAAGCTTTTTTTTTTTTGTTTGTTTGTTTCTGAATCTGCTCTAGAATCACTAAGCATGTTTTTCATTTCGGTCACCATCTCTGTAGTTATCTAAGAAATTATTTCTGAATTGATTTTCTTCTAGAGTATCATTCATTTACTTCAGAGAGTCCAGGTAGTTAGCTTTCAGATTGTCCCACCTCATTGCCCCCTGGATATGCTTTTGGTGAACTGGATGTCTAGGGTAGCATCTTGTTGAAGTGTCTTCTCATTGTTTTCCTTTTTGTTTTTTCCCAGTTTAATTCCTGAGTTGATGTTTGTAAATTTCCTAAGGTGAGTTCCTTTATTGCTAGTACTTAGAACCCTTCGGAAATGACTGCTTCTCAGAGGTGTCTTTCGGGTGTAACTGGTTTTTGAGTTTTGAGTCTGTTGCAAGATCCTTCAGTTTATTGGGGATGAAAAATTGCTACCTGCTTGGCTTAGCCCCTGATTCTTTAGCACTAGCCCACGGTATTTTCTGTGATCCTTAGAAAAACTCAATCTTGGTATACCAGAAAGCACAGATAGTTAGAACAGTTATGTCACTTAAGCTAACGTGGTACAATCAGCAGTAACAACAGCATCAAACACAGCCTTGAAATTGACAGTGTGAAGTAACCATTAATTTGCCACCTTTTTTTTTTTTTCCGTCTTTTTCATTTTTATCGGTACCAGGGATAGAACTCATGACTGCCTACTTTCAAGGCAGGTGCTTATGCCGGTGAGCTAAATCCCCAGCCCCTAATTTGCCACCTTTTACCGTATGAGCTAGAGTTGTGTTTATATAACAAAATTAAAACAAATCAGAAAATTGTATGCAATAAATAAGCCCTGTGTGACAATTATACCCTGAGGGGAGAACATTTAAAATGATTTCTGAGCAGAACATTGTAATACACAATTTCCATGGTGGCTTCTCCCCCGAACCCATTTCTTAGGTCTCTGACTATGGCTGAGGACCGTCTGCTTTCATTCTTGGGGATGAAAAACATACTTGGAAACCAGAAAAACTTGGAAACCAGAAAAAGGCTTGTGACTTCCTGGCTTTGCTCTCTTCCAGGAGATGGCTGCCGACCTTGAACTTGGGTGTCCTGTCTCTCAGGGACACTTTGTCTTTGGGGTGTTTCACAGACGGCTTGAGGCCCTGTCAAGTGAGAGAGGTGTGGCTGACAGCCTCTGGAGACAGCAGGAGATCCTCATGTGTAAACGGTTTGTTAACTTTTCATTTCTGAGACAAAAACCTTACACTCAAAGAAAGAAAGGGTTATCTCACAGTTTGTGTCTGTTTTAGTCCCTAATTGGCTGTGTCCACATGTCTCTACATGACTTGGAAAAGGCCTGGGCCAGGGCAGTGGGCTCTACAGAGCAGAACTCTGGTTCTGACAGAATCGAGGGTCTCAGGGAGCTAGGGAAGGCATGTGGGGTATGCTGGGCCCTCACTGCTGCTATGGCCCTTGCTTGCCAGGCTGCTGCTCCACCTGCCTCCCTCTGTTCTCCTTGGCAAACTACACGCTGAGGAGCCTGCCATGCCCAGCTGTGAGGAATTCTTCTACCTGGTCAACTCTGAGCTGGTGGGTGCTGTGCAGGTAGCTGTGGGGCTGGGGAGAACACCCCCAGGTCTGAATGTGGGTTGGGGAAAGGAAGCCCAGGGGGGCCATGCCTAGAGCGCTGAGAGCTGAGAGTTATGTGAAGAGTCCTCTTCCGATAGCCCAGCCAAGGTGTTGGCAAGCCACAGCTCTGGGCTGAGATGGCTTTCTTCAGTGTCTACACCTCCAGGGAATTGCCCTAGGCTTTTAATGCTTTGGACTTGAGGTATTTTGCTTGCTACCTGTTGCTTTATTTCCAGTTCTGATGAATTTCACCTGCCACCCACCTAGAAGCCTACCCCGTAACCCTGATTCATTCATTCATTGTAGACATTGCTAGTGTAACCTGCAAAAGAAAAGGCACTGCCCCATCTTCACTGTCAGAGATGAGTGTGTCACAGCTTCCTGCACTCAGGGAAGCAGTTTCTGCAAATGATGAACTTTTTCCTATTTTAAAGTCTACAAGTATAGCCAGGCAAGGTGGGGTTATGCCTATAATCCCAGCTCTCTAAGGATCACAAGTTTGAGTCCAGTTTGAGTTATTTAGCAAGACTCAAAATACAAAAAAGCTGGAGTTGTAGCTCAACATGAAGGTCCTGCAAATTGTCAATAGTACCACCACCCCTCCAAAAAATGCTGGAGCTCAGGCTACACTTCAGCTGTGCATGCAGCACTGAGAAGTTAGCAGAAACGCAGAGGAAAAGAGATCAGTGAGAGCCTTGAAAATTCATAATAGTTTCTACATTCTCAATGTAGGTTCTTTGCCTTAACACTCAGAATGGGTCGTTTGAGTGCTCAAGTGAGAAGTGTAATGCCGGATTAGCAGAGTCGGATGAAACAACAGAGCTACCCTCCCCAGCCGCCTGCAGCCCTGTCCGAGGACCACAGTGGTGGGCAGGGTGGCTGTAGGCTCAGCAGCACTGGTTGGGCTGAAGGCCAAGTCCTTCAAGAGCCTGGAGGCACGCTGCTGCTGGCCTAACTCTCATCCTGCTAGCCCCTCCCTCACAGCCTTGTTGATATGCTTCACAGAGAAACTTCTGCAGCCACGGTGGCGCCCTGAGCCTGACCCATGACATCACCGTCCACTTCTTTAGGGTAATATTTCCCTGGCATCCTGCAGATCTCCCCAGAGCCCTATGGGTTCAGACCCAGCTGTGTGGGCATCTGGCATGTTCCCTGCCACAGGGGCTCCTGAACACCTGCTGCCGCAGCCTGGATCCCTCACTGACTGTCAACCTCACCCTGGCCAAGTGCCAGGCTAGATGCCCTCTGATGGTGACCTCAGCACTGGTAAGCCTGGCTGTCTGGGTGGACTCCATGAGAAAAGCTGTGGGTCATTCTGCGCTTCTGTTGTCTTTGTATAAGATGTGGGGCAGCTAGAACGTGTGCTTTAGTGGGACCATGTCCTCTACTCACATTTCCACCTCCCTGAGTCTGTCATCACTGCAGATAGCACAGAGCCCATGGGCCTTGATGTCACAGCCTGTCATGTACTGAAGGCTACATGGCTGTGGCCTCACTGCCCCCTGGAAGCAGCCACCTGTCTGTGTGTGCTATCTGCGTACTCCACATCTGGGCACAGGCTTTAATTCCCTGTCCTCCTATTGTAGCCAGGCATCCAGGGGCCTCCTTTGAGGTAAGGTAGCCAGGTCCAGTGGGTCCCAACTTCCTTCTACCCAGTGGGTGTCTCCCTGTGTTTAAGACACCAGCTCTCTGTGGTGTGTGCGTGGGGCCTGGTGAACCCATCATAAATGGGGTGGGTGCACATGGAGACTGGGCAGGTTAACCACAGAGTATTGCATCAGGTAGGGCCCTTCCTGTCCTGGGGAACAAAATACCCCAAGGAATTGTTTTGAGGCTCAAATGAGGGCAGGAAGACACTGATGGCTATTAAGTGGTGGGATCCCTGGCCTGCTGGTGGCAGGCTCTGTTGTGATGGCCATGGGTGGCCACTTACTGAAGCTTTTCTGATCTTGGGAGCTGGAGCTGGTCCAAGCACAGCCGGATTAGCAGCCCTAATCCAGTTCCTGGTGACTTTTCTCCAAGTTGTGGTGGTCAAGCCTGGAGCCAGTGCTATGCAGTCGTTGGCGAAAGTTTGGCCAAGGCAGGCTGCCTCACGAACTACAGAGGCTGCAAGAGGCTCATCAGTTTGCCCATAGGTAAGTGCTAGACATAGGTAGGTCAGCAGCCCAGGCTGCTCCTGGAGCTAATCTGTTTACATGTGTGTCTGAGGTTCTAGCCTCAGATCTGCGTACAGGGGAGGACTTGGCCAATGGGCTCTGTCTGAATAGCGACTCAGGAATGCTGGTGCACACTGGCTTCAGCAGCTCTTGCTCTAGAACAGCTGACCCTGGGCTACTACCTAGCCTAAGGGCCCAGGATGGGCGGCATCAGTGTCAGGGTGCCAGTCCTCAGCCTTCCTGTGAAGACAGGCAGCTGCCCATGCTATTTGACTTGCTCTGCCAGGAACGCCTTCCTTGGTGAATGGTTTCAATCCCTGATGCCTCTGGGACTCCCCAGGAGTCAGGGTGCCTAAAACCTCAGCAGGCAGAAGGGAAACGGGTAGGCCTTGCTTGACAATCTAAACTCATAGAAACAGATCAGACTGCTTAGTTTCTTAAATCCTTGAGATCTATTTCATATTTCACCCAGCTCTTACCCTGCTAGAAATAGGGGCACCACACATGGTAGAGCTGTACCCACTTTGTTTAGTCTTCTAGATCTGACCCAGTCAATCTCCCCATAGTAAGCTGTCTAGGACTGGACCTGCCTCAGTGCAGCATGTCAACCTGCCTGCCAAGTCCTGCAGAGCCAGGGCTCTTGAGGAAGCCTCTTTGTGCTCTCTGCTAGAAGGATGGCCTCTTGCTGCCAGGCAGAAGTGTGCAGAGCCAGTGGCAGGCAGGGGACAAGGGTCAGTTCCTCTGAAGTGGCTATAAGGTCCTCCAGTGATAGGTTCTGTGTCCCAGCTTCTTCTCCCCAGACTCGACTTCTGCTGCCCCCACCCCCGCCTGGGTCTCTGCTGCGGCACTACACTTTGAAGTCCAACGAGTCGGGAAGGACAATGCAAGGAGACTGCTGAAGAAGCTGGACTGCGTGAGAGAGGAGGCAAGGCATGCCATACGTGTGCATTTTTTCTTTAGCAAGCCAATCTCTTTTATCAGTGCACTTCTCAGTGTTTTCTTGATGGGCTTTGCTTTTCCAGGAGCAGACAGGAGGTTCAGTGTTCTCAACACTGTATTTGGAAGTAAAACTGAGTTTATAGTGTGAGTAGGGCTCAGGTGTCCTAGTATGCTTCCCCTTGAAGTGGCCTGTTGAGCATTCCTCCACCAGCTGTTGGTGTATGGACAGGGCACCATCCTGTACCCCAGGGCCACTCAGCACTGGAGCTCAAGTTGTGAGGCAGCACGTATGGACCAGTGTGGGAATGAGGAAGGGGCTATTCCCACCCGAGACAAGGACTCCAACCCATGCATTGGCCCCAGGAGCCCCACTGCACAGAGCCTGAGTCCTCTGTGAGGGGCACAAGGTGCAGCAAGGACTTCCTGAGTGAAGGTCAGAGAACAGGATGTACTATCAGTGAGCACAAAGCAAGCTGGGGGTGACCCAGACTGCTGAACACAGGATGCATGTATCAGCCCAGTTAATGCTGCAACCCAGAGCCAAGGTCTGTCCCTAGAATACACTCTGGGATGGATCCATCTGTGGTTATGATCAGGCTGCTGTGTGTGCTTCTGTGAGTAGCAGTTTCTGTGGCTCTCGCCAGGCCTGTGTAAGACATCTGGGCTCATGGTTCCAGCAGAAAGGCTTACAAGGCCCCCAAGTTCACCTATTCCCACTCTCTGCTGGCAGTCATGGGTTCTCATGCTGTTTTCACGTGTGGCCGGGCTTGTCTCCCTAAGCAGCCTGGGGTGCTAGCTCCCAAGGACAGGCTGGGCTCACTGGAACTGCGTGCTTCATGCAGTAACTGGCTGTTTCCTCTACAGCTCTTGGCTCCTTTCTTTTTCTTCTCCTTGCTCAGCCTGCTGTCATCACACCTGATCCCAAGCGTAAGTCCGATGCTGCGGGTAAGGTAACCCTTGCTCCACACCTGGTAGGTCAGGCTGCTGGGACTTGTGCCAGACCCACTTACCTGGAGTCAGGTATCACAGGGGACGTGTCTGCTGCTCAGCTCCTGCGTCATATTTCAGAGTTTGGTGCAGTGACCTGGGTGTGTGCACCTCAGTGGCCTGGTGGTCCCTCTGACCTAAGCCTCTTCATTCAGAGCACAATGTGACACTTCCCATAGGTTGTCACCAGTTTCTAGACTGAACAAGTGATGCACACCTATAATCCCAGTAATCTGGGACACTAAGGCAAGGTGGGTCACAAGTTTGAGTCATGCCAGACAACAAAGCAAGCACTTGTCTCAAAACAAAAATATTTAAAAGGATGGTGGAGCTGAGGACATAGCCTGGCATCTGGGTTCAGTCCTGTCACATGAACACGAAGGGCTTCTTGTTCTGTGGGTCACAGGCCATAGCTGACTCACTGATGGCCCTGGAGGTCTGTGCAGAGATCCTCGCTTGTCTGGAGAGGAGGAAGCTGCCCTGGCTGGGACTTTTCCAGTTGGCTGAGACAGGTGAGAAGCCAAGTGAAGTCTGACATAGAGGGGCATGTAGACAGTGACTGTCACTGTCCTTAGGAGTGAGGCCTTGTGGTAGATCCCAGGAGCATAGAAACGGGGAGAACCTTCCTTAGGCCTGATTTTGATTTATATACTTTGCTAAGTTTATGAACTGCAGCTTAGCAGGGGTACACTCAGTGCCTACTTATTCACAGCAGAACCCCTTGGAGCACCGTGAGGCCCAGGGCTGCTGATCATCCCATGCAAATCCACATATACACGGTGTGGGCATCCAGTGTGCTCACTCTAGTCTCTGCCCTCCTATGGGACATCACCCCCATCTTCCTAGTAACTAATTGGTTGTCCTCAGCATGAGGACGCATCCCTATGCTATCACCATACAGAGCTCTGAGTGTTCCTGCTCTTGCAGATGCTGGGCTGGGTCACCTCCTCCTCCACTTGGCTCCTGATCAGCATACCAGGTTGCTGCCGTTTGCCTTCTATAGGTGATGACCTGCCACCTGCTCCTCGAGGGATGCAGTCAAGCATGGGCTGGGGGTGGGCATGCCCGTGGGAGGGGTGGGTACCTGTGCAGTCCCAGCCAGTCCTTGCTGACCTTACCAGCAACTGGGCATCTTCTCTGTCCCAATGGCTCCTGGCCTGGTCACACAGTCCTTGTTCTAGGCTCCTCCCCTACTTTGATGAAGCTGCTACTATCATGGATGAGGGCTTCCTGCGTGTTGCTGTCGACATGTACCTCCAGCTGGTCCAGCTCTTCGTGGGAGGGGAGACCACTGCAGTGTCAGCCCTAATTGGCAGAAGCTCACAGCTGCAGGGCCAGCCTGGGCCCCAGGTGAGCACCCAGTCTGGGGCAGCTCCTGCTGGAGAAGGTGGGTGCTGGCCCTGACCTGTGACTGCCATTTTCTCCCCAGGGGAGCTCCGTGGAACTGATAGCCAAAGCACGACTCTTCCTGCTGCAGATAATACCCCGGAGCCCACAAAAGAGCTTCTCAGGCATAACGAAGGTAACCCAGACACCCTTCTCTGGGCTGGGACACACATCAGGGCTCCCCTGCTGTCCCAGGGATTGAGCAGCAGTCTTTCCTCTCACAGCTGCTGGCTGGCCGAGCAGACTGCGACCCTGAAGTCACCAGTGCCCTCCTGCACAGGCACCAGTCTATGACCGGCGTGTACCAAGAACCCCATCTCTTTTGATATGGACCCATTATAGGACCAGCCTTGCTCCTTTGTAAATAATTTATTACAAGCATCACAAGGAGCTCCTGTTGTACTAGAAAGTGGATTACAAGTCTCCTTGATTGCTTTAATTGGTAAAAGGAATCAATTATTCATAATCTCTGTCTGGCCCCAAATAGCCAAGTGTTATAGGAAAAGAAACAGCTGGTCCCAAAGCAGAGAACAAAAAAGCAACATGAAGCACAAACCACACCCACCTGCACCACAGAGTATGGGAAGCCCTGACTCCACAGAGCAAGCAGCAGGGAAACATCTTCAGAGCTAGTGTCTTGCCCGAGTTCATACTACTGGACGTGCCTGCTGCCCACCTGTAGTCAGTCCTCAGGTGGGCTCTGGCTTCACTGCCTGGCCTTCCGTGATCCCAGGAGGGCTTGGGGGCCCAGGAGGTGGCTCTGCCTCCAAGGACAGGGTCTTGTCTTGTGTCTGTGTCAGAGGGTGGACCATGGACATGTGCACATTGAGATTGTGTGCCTTTTCAAACCGCCGGCCACACTGATCACAGGCAAAGTCCAGCTCTGTCTCTGCCTTGTGCTTGGTCATGTGATACTTGAGGGATGCCCGCTGCCTGCACTGGAAGCCACAGACTTCACACCTGTGGGGCAGAGGCAGTGAGGAAGGCCACTTGTGTGTCCCAGTCCCCTAGAGGAGCCCTGTGCACACTTACTGCAGTGGCTTGGCTCCTGAATGGCGCATCTGATGGACAAGAAGGTGCTTCCGCTGCTTGAAGGTCTGCCCACACTCATCACAGATGTAGTTCCGCACCTCTAGGGACAGAGAGGGAGTGAGCCTAACACTCACCCTGGAAGGGGCAGTGGTGGCAGTAACAAGAAGCAGTCTATGACATGGCCCCAAGCAGTTACAGATAAAAGACTAATGAAAAGACTTCTAAATTTCATTAAGAAAGACTTCTAAAGAGCCTAAAAATATTGAAACTAAAACAGACAAACCAAATTTAGAGAGAAACCAAATTGCAAAGTTTAAAGATCACTGATCCCCTCAGCAACTTTCTGGCCACTTGGGGCTGGGTAGCCTACTAGTTGGAAAGCAGCCCCTTTGCCTTTCTCAGTAAACCTATGGCCATGCCCTAAGGCACAAACCCATGATACCTGTGATGCTTTCCATGCCCAGGTTTTGTGCTATAGCATCACCTCTTTAGAAAGCTAAGCTGTGCATGGTGGCACATGCCTGTAATCCTAGCACTTGGGAGGCCAAGGCAGGAGGATTGTTGTGAGTTCAAGACCAGTCTGGGCTACACTTTGTAAGGCCAGCCTGAATTGCAGAGAAAGCCTTGTCTCAAAAAAGAAAACTAGGGGACTGGAGATTTAGCTCAGCAGCATAAGCACCTGCTTTGCAAGCAGGCAGTCGTGAGTTCGATCCCTGGTACCGATAAAAAGGAAAAAGACCAAAAAAAGAAAACTAAGTGACAATGACTGTGGCCTAGCAAGCATCTGACCTAGAGAAATCCTTTTGGGGTACTAAAAGTAAAAATTCAGAAGTAACTGGAGAATAACGTGACAGGAAAATGGCCCACAGCTGGTTTAGCTGAGAAACCCCCAGGTACATGATCCACCAACAGATACGAACCACACTCACAGCTTGTGTATGGAGCACAGCTGCTGGCCCCAAGCACATGGCACAGGGTGCAACAGTGTGTACTTGGGCTTGGGCCAGAGGTGGGACTGTGATGAACACACCTGCCCAGGTGGAGACACACAAAGAAAAAGCTAGAAGAACAAATTCTTCAGGGTGGACAGCAGGGTGACTGCAAGGCTCTGACACCTGTGTGCTGTGTTTGTCACCATTTCTACAGTGCACACCAGTTTTTATACTATGAAAAGGTCTTTTTTTCTTGGTTGACTAATGAAACCTTATAGTGATCCTCCTGCCTCAGCCTCCTGGGATTATAGGTGTGGGCCCCCAAGCCTAACTATTGTTTGGAAAGACACCAGGAATTCTACCAGTCTGAACCTTCGCATCTTGCAGAAAAAACCGCTCCATGTGGAAGGTGTCTGCCCACCAAACACCTGTGGCAAGTACACACCTCCTTTCCTCATAATCTTGCAGCACCTGAGCTCATCTGCCTGGATACAGCCTCCAGCTATCCACCTGCTCCTGGGGCAGGGTTTCGATGGGTGCAGCAGGTGTTCCCTGTGGCTGGACGTGCTAGGGTCCCATGCCACCCACTCGGGCTAGGCCTCAGGGGAACTCCCTGGGGAGCAGGCACCTGTGTGGATAAGTTTCACGTGGCGCTGCAGGTATCTGTCGATCATGAACACCTTGTTGCAGCCAGGGTGCGGACAAGGCCTCTCTCGGACCTCCTCGTGATGCTCCTTGATGTGCTTCTGCAGGGGGACAAGCTGGCTGCTGTGTCTGGACCAAGTCTCGCCTCCCCAGGAGCTGTGAGCACCCTTACAGAAGGGTAGGTCCCACTCTGCAGTCCTAGTGCCCTAACCCAGGACCTCATGTATGATGTGCAAGTGCTTTAGCACTGACCTCTTCAGCCACCACTGGCTCCTCAAAGCTTCATTTAGAAGCGGCTGGGCTTCCAGGGAGCACCTCCAGAGCAGATAGCTGGCTCCCCATTGCCCAGGACAGTTGTGGCCCTGGCTGAGTCTCTATCAGCCAATGTGCACAAAGGTCCTCATGCAGCACCAGTCCTGCCTGGCCTTCTGCCCTCATACTGCCGGCCCACATGGTGCCCACCACTTACCTTCATGCCATCAGCCCCCCGGTACACGGCTGTGCAGCCCTGATAAGGACACTTGTAGATGGTGGGTAGCTCCTCCCTGTGAAACAGCACACGTGGAGGTGCCACCCTGACACACAGGCCACCCCCACACAGCAGCCCTCACCTCTCACACCGGAGCTTTTTCTTCCATCCAGGCTTGGGCCCAGGTTTCTTCCGCATTTTTGGTTCTTCAACCTTCTTGGCTTCTTTGCTTTCACTCTTCTTCCCAGAGATCCTAAAATACGAAGGAAGCACGCAGGTTCAGTGACATTTTCGATTTCCATGCAGCTGATTCTCATTTTGTACACCCCACTCCAAGCACTGAAGGATTTCTTAGGTCTGTGAAAACTGCCTGGGCCGTAACTGTTCCCACAGCACCACAGTGCAGGGCACACGGGCAAACACTGTTGCTGCCTAGGGCCAGTGCTGTGTCCCTACTCTGAGCACCAAGCATCGCCTGGAGACATGATGGGAAATAGCAGTCAGGAGCTCTAGAGTGGGCCTTTTCCCAGACCACCTCCCACCACAAGACAGTATCGTCTGCCTGCAGCCAGGGCAGAGCCATTGCCATGATGAAAAACTCAGTATTAGCTTGCTAGCTACCAGGCCAGCCAGGCTGGACTACAGCTGTAGGTGTCCTGCCACTGAAGAAGTTAGTAACGGAAGGCTGGGGGCTAGCTCAGTGGTGCACACGCAAGGATCCGGCAAACCTGCAGGATACAAAGATCACATAGTGGTAGTGTACACCTGTAATCCCCACCCTTGAGAGGCTGAGACAGGAGGATCACTGTAAGTTTGAGGACAGCCTGATCTACATAGGGAAACTGTTAAAAAAAAAAATGCTTATTTCTACACATTGATGAATGGTCCAAAAGAGAAATTTTATAATTTCTGGTGACAGCATTAAATTTTTAATTTTTGTGTGCTGGGAACTGAACCCAGGGCCTATGGTAGGTAAGTGCTCTACTACTGGGTGATATTCTCGGTTCTGTTATTTTTGTCTGTAGTTTTCTGCATCTAAAATTGTATCAACTGTTCTTCTGGTTTCTTCTTGCTGAACTGTTGGTCAAGAACCTTCACTACTATATGGAGAAACAGTGGTGAAAGTGGCACCCTGGTTCCATTCTTGACTTTGATGCTTTCAGTGCTTCAGCACTGAATGTGATGTCTACTCTTGGTTTCTGTGTGCTTGTCTTGTCTAGGAAATTTCCTTGTGGTACTGGCAGATTCCTTAAGTCACAGTGTCTAAAAGGAGAAACAAGTGTATACGTCTCCTTGTGCCTGGAGTGCACAAGGGTGGGGATTACAGGTGTGCACTGCCACTATGTGATGATCTTTGTATCCTGCAGGTTTGCTGGATCCTTGAGTGTGCACCCCTGAGCTAGCCCCCAGCCTTCTGTTACTAACTTCTTCAGTGGTAGGACACCTGGGTTCAGAACCCAGTACTGCAAAAATAAACACTTAAAACAGCCTTTTTAAGCCAGATGTATAAGCACATGCTGTAATTCCAACTCCTCAGGAGGTTGAGGCATAGGATAGTGAACCTGAGACCAGCCTGGGTAATGTAGAGTGACCAAAAAGAGAAATTGCCAGTGGCCCTATGTGATAACACCTGCCTGAAACTCCAGCACTGTGGAGGCTAAGGCAGAAAGACTGCAAGTTTGAGGAAAGCCTGGGCTAAGTAACAATCTCAAAGCCAAAATGAACTACACGGCAAGACCCTGTCTCTAAGGAGTGGGGGCTGGGGATGTACTTCAAAGCTAGGAGTGCCTGTGGTGTAATCCCCAGTACCACCAAAATAAATGACTTTCGTGTACATGTGCGTATGTGGTGGTACATGCCTATAATCCCAACATTTAGGATTCTGAGGCAAGAAGATTGCAAGTTGAAGGTCAGCCTGAGATACCCAATGAGATACAAATCCCAAGCTGGAGAACTCAAACTGTTTCCCAAACTTACTCCAAAGGTATGCTAGTTAAAACTGTTGGTGGTGTTAAACACAGGCAAAGTCCCATGGACTAAAGGAACTGAAACCAACAACACTCACACTGTCTCCTGAATCTCAGTGAGGACTCTAAGGCCATGTGCCTGGGGAGAGCCTCACCTCTTCGGCTGTGCTGAGGAGACTGGACATTCATATGGAGGAAAACCAAGCTGGGCTACTGCCTCACCGACACACACAAATTAAGTGAGTCAAACATGACCTAAGTCTAAAGGCTGAAACCTCTAAAACTGTTGTCTTTATGATACTGGATTTGGCAATAATCCCCTAAACATGGTATCAAACTCACAGGAAACAAAAGAAAAATAAGCAAACTGAACTGTATCAGTAGTTAGTGCTTTAATGCTGCCAAGATAGCGAATAGAATCCACAACTGTAAACCACATGTCTGATAAAAAGGGTCCTGAACACAGAAAAACTGCCCCAGCGAGGCTCGGTGATGCCTATAGTCTAGCTGCTCAGGAGTCTGAGGCAGGAAGACAGCTACTCAATGACTGCGGCTACTTCATGAAACCTGATTCCAAACACAACAGGGCATGGTAGCCCAAACTTCTAATCCCAAGTACTATGAGAGGCTGAGGCAGGAGGATCCAACTTGGGTGATTTAACAATTCAGCACAAACGTTTCAAAATAAAATTTTAAAAAAAGGCTGGTGGTGATGTACCTCAGCACAAAATCCCTGGGTTCAATGCTGTAGTAACACATACACAGAACAACACTCCCACAGCTCAACAGCAAAAAGCCAACTCAATTTAAAAGTAGACAAAAGAAGCCACTATGATGGAGCAAGCCTGTAATCCCAGCCCTTGGGAGGCCAAGGCAAGAGGACCACAAGTTTAATTCCAGTCTGGAAACTCAGTGTCTTAGCTAAGACCCTGTCTCAAAATTAAAAGGTTGGAGGCATAGATGTAGCTCCTTGTGATGATCCTGGATTTGATCCTCCATAGTAGGATAAAAGACTTGCTCTCAGGCATTATGTACTCTCTTCTAACCCTAGCAACACAGGAGGCTGAGGAAGAGTACACATTTCAGGCAAGCCTGGGAAACTTAGCAAGGCCTTGTTTCACAATAAACGGGGCCAGATGGGATGTACCTCAGAGGTAAAGCACCCTTCATGTCCTTCTCTACTACCAAAAACAAGAAGAACCTTGCTAAACTCTTTGAAGTAGCCATACAGATGACAAGTGGCCAGAAATCACAGGGGGAGGGACAGTGACCGTCAACAGTCATTGTGACCTGCAGATCACAACAAGGAGACAGCAGTAGAGTAACAACCAACAAAAGCAGGAAATGAGCTGGGCGTGGTGGCGCACACCTGTACTTCCAGCACTCTTGGAAGGCTGAGGCAAAAGTATCACTCTGAGTTCAAAGCCAGTCTGGATGAAGTAGTGAATTCAAGGCCAGCCTGAACTACATAGTGAGACCCTGTCTCAAAAAGACAAAAAAACACAAAAAAACAAAAAACGGGCAATGCTGACAGAGATGTAAAACCCTTTTGCACTGTTGGCAGCAAAGCAGGATGGTTCATTCCTGTGGGAAACAGAATGGTGGTTTCCCAGTAACTGAAACAAAAAATTACTATGTCATCTGTAACCTTTCTATTTTTTTTTCTTTTTTGGAACAAGGCCTCCACATGCCCAGGCTGGCAATGCCCCTAGCAGTGATGCCCCTGCCTCAGCTTAAGGAGTAGCTGGGATTCCAGGTCCAGCTCACAATTTCATTTAAAGTACATATCCTGAGAGTAAAAAAAGGGACTCCTGTCTGCACACCACTATTCTATCATGTTCACAGGAGCCAAAGATGCAATCCCAAACCACAAAGGAATGGATCAACCAGACGTAATACACATATCTATGCATATTCAGCCAGAAAAAGGAAAGAAGTTCTGAGACATGCTACAATACCGATGAACTCTAAGGTATGGTGCCAAGAAGCCAGCTGCAAAAGGGCAAATGCTGTGGCACCTAAAACGGACACTTAGATCAGTGGCTGCCAGGACCTGAGGAGTAAGGAAATTGTTGACTAATGGGTACAGTCACTGAGGTAATGAAATGTCTGCAAACCGAACAGTAATGCTGTGAACATCTGCCCACTTAAAGATAAAGCAATTTAAAACAAATGTTTTAAGGAGCTGTTGTATTCCTCAAAGGATACTAAAAACCTTTTGGGTGACATGCTGGCTGCTCCTCTTCTGTCTAGACTGTCCACTGTCCCCTCCTGGCCTGGCCTTTCCTGTCAGGGACTGGCCAACTCCTCCACACCAGACCACGTATTTCTTGAGCAAGAGGCTCCAGGAAGCCTGCAGGCCCTGTGCAGGGGGACACGCACCACCCCCTGGCTGGCCTGTTCCCTCAAGGTGCAGGCCCGGGTCTTCTCTGCCTGGCAGCACAGTGCTCAGACCAGTGTATCACAGAAGGCTCCGTCTGCCAGAATTCTGTCTCAATTTGGAGACAGGAAGAAGACAGAAGAAGACACAGGCTGGGGCTGTTCAGGGACTTGTCCTTGCAAGTTCCCATCTGGTACTCACGATAGCATTGAGGGACCATGAAGTCTCCACCTCAGTGCACATTATGGTCACTATAGGCTTGTGTCCACAACTCCTGGTCCTATCTCCTATAGGGTGCAGTTTTCACTAAAATAACCCTTTCATAAACCTCGTAAATGGGTCCCAATTCAGGGACCAGAGATTTAGCCCAGAGCATAAGCACCTGCCTGGCAAATGTGAGTTAATGAGTTTGATCCCTGCTATCCTCCACCCGCCCCCAAAAGAAAAAAAGAGTCCTAGTTCAGAGCACATGTCTGTAATCTCAGCTACTTGGATAGCTAAGGTTAGATGATTACAAGTTCTAGCCTAGCCAAAGAAACTCAGGAACACCCTGTGTCAAAATATAATTTTAAGATGCAGATATAGCTCAGCACATGCGAGGTTTAATACTTAAAAAAAAAAGAAAAAAGAAAAAGCAAGCTGGTGTCTGTCTGTATCCTAGAGATCCCAGAAAGGCCAGTGAGCAATGCACCAGAGCATGCCATTCTCCTCAGCAGCAGGGGCTCAGCAGAGCACTCCCTCAGCCTATCCCTGGAAAGGGAACCCAATCTGATCTCTGGATGCCAGTACAACCACTTCAGCCACTTCAGACTGCTGGCAGCAGAAACAGACTCCAGACTGCACCAAGACTGACACTCAGTCTACATCTCTTCATGGCAGCCCAAGTCTGCAAACAGCCTTGTGTCCTGGGAACAGGCCTCAGCTGGCACTGACATTGCTGCTTGGCTTCCAGCTGGTTTATTGTCCACTCCAAGGCCAGCGACAGCACTTCTGGCTTGGTCCTGAGTTCCTCTCTCCCTGTGTCTCCTCCTCTCCATCTCTCCAGGAAGAATGTGTGTACATGAGTAAAGGAAGCCAAGCTTATCTCTCAGTCTTTGTTATGAGGCTTTTGTGACTGACAGCATGGTACCCAGCCCCTCTTGCTCTCTGAATTTCCCAGTACTATGAAATGCTCAGGAGCATTTGATGACCAATTCAGTTTATCACCCAGCTGTCATGTATTTTGGGCCCTCCTGGCACAAGGTTGAGAGGAGAGACACAAATGAAACCTAGCTCTCTTTGCCAGGACTCTATATCTGACTGGAGGAAAGGAAATCTGAAAAGGGAAGGTCAAAGCAAAGTTGCATAGTAAGGAAGCAGACTGTAGCTGACTGACTTTAATGCTTAGTGTGAGTCAGAGTTGAGTGGTTCCTGGGAAGAATGGTTGGGGTGGGGGCCCAGGAAACACTGGGAAAAGCACTGGCATAGGACCACAGCATTTTTCTAGAGTAAGGCCAGATCTGGTCAGCAGGGCTGCCTGCCATGTCATGGTGACTGGGAACAAGCTGTGAGCTGACAGGAGGACTCTGCGTAGCCAAGGGGACTTCTTTCATGGACTCTCACCTGGCTACATGGCTCTGCCATCCACCCTCTTGGCTCACTCAGAAGCTCACTTACTCACTGGGCTTTTGAGGTTGCGCCAAAGAAGCAACAGGAAGTGAACTAGACTGTAGACCTGGATGCAGAAGTCCACAACTCATGCTCAGCTCCTAGTACCAATCCTTAGGCTTCCCTCTAAGGTCCCACCCGATCCTATGTGCCTGTGGCAGACAGAACAGCACCCTTACTTTTTTTCTGGGTAAGGCTCAAAAGACTCATCCGAAGACTGTGCATTTTGCTTCTTATCATTTTCATCTTCACTCAGGAAGTCTCTAGGAAAGATGAGAGAACTTTCAGCAGAGGCTGTTGGGCTGGACTGGGCAACAGATCCAAACAGAACTCCTAGCTCCCACAGCCATCTCCTGAAAGTGTTATAAAACTCAACTTTCTCAAAACTCTAATCCCATTTCCTAACAAAAGTGCAAGTCAGAGTCACTAAAACTGAACAAGCTGATAACCACCCGCCGCCCAAGGCATGCTCGCCTAGAGCCAGGATCCAAACAGCAAAGAGCTTTCTATGGGGCCAGGTAGATGTGGAGATTCAGAGGAAGTGGGCTTCCAGGCAGGTGGACTTTGATGTCACTACTTCAACAGGAATAGGACCAGGACCAAAGCACCTATTAGGCTGACAGGTTCCTTGGCAATCATTTTACCGTTCACAAAGGCAGCCCAGCGCCTACCTGGCAAGTGTGAGGTCCTGAGTTCAATTCCCAGTAATAAATAAATAAATAAATAAATAAATAAATAAATAAAACAGGAATTGCTATTTGGTCCCTGTTGGGCAGCAGGCAGAAGTAGGCTATCAAGCCCACAGTGACCCCAACAAGCCATGACCTGCCTGGGCAGAGGAAGGCCTGAGGCTGCTGGCAGTCACCCTTGGGTCCCCCAAATAATAAGGGTGCAGCTGCATCCTGCCAATGCCATAGAGCAGGCAGACACCAATCCCGATGGCTCTTGTTCCAGAGCCAACAGATTCTGATGCTGCCCTTCCCTTCTGAGTGAGATCTGCTTCAAGTCCCAACAGCACCACCACCAAAGGGTAGAACCTTGTGTGCTCATCCTAAAGATATCTGCAGTGGACACAAAAACAAAGCCTTTAAGGAGATAAGCAAGTGGTAACAGAGGACCCAAGCCCAGGGCTCTGACTGGGCTAGGCTGGGCTGTACTCCCTTGCAGTGGCACGAGGGGGGAACTTCAGGACCCAGGAAGCTCCAGTCAGGACAAGGAGCAGCCTTTCCTCCCAACCTCAGAGGCCAGCAGCCCTGAGGGTAGCTGAGTCTGGTTTTTGAAGAAGAAATATTAGGCTATTTAAACCCACTCTTCTCTCACCCCTCAGAAAGGTCACTGAACTCGTCTTTTACCCGATCATCCGAAGTTGAAGATGGAACCTGCTTCTCACCCAATTGCCCTGGGAAACAAAGAACAGACTCCTGTTACCAAAAAGAGCACACGAGTGCCTCACCATCAAGGCAGGCCCAGTCTGATGACACAGCCTGCCTTACAGTCCAGGGGTCACTCCTTGGCCTCAAACATCACACCATCCTGGCCCAACCCCACACAAGCCCATGTACAGTATCCAACCCACTGTGCCACCACCATGTCCACAGACACCAGTAGCACTACAGAGCAGGAACCCTGAGACAATTACCCCTTACTGACTCAGGTCATCATTCTTGAGGGGCACACTGTTCTTGATGTGGATGCTTTGAGACATTTTTAAGGTGATTGTTATCAAAATATCATACACACAGCTGACAAAGCTAAGTAATCCATAGAACTCCATCCCCGGAGGTCCTCTCTGGAGCTGGGGAGTCTCATCTGTACACCTCTGTTTAGCTCAACACCTGGGCACCTGCACACAGGCCAAGTGAGCATCTGCAAGGATAGGGACAAGGAAAGATGCACACAGAAGGCCAAGGAGGCAGAAAGCCAGGCCTAGGGCCTCTAACATGATGTCCATGAGCAGCTGTGCACATATCACAATATGGTGCAAACAGGTGGGGTCCACCCTTGCCTCCTCTCCTCCGCCAGTCAGAGGAGCTTCCACCCTGGCCCCCATCAGTTCACTAGCCAGCTGGCCAAAGCCCAGTGCATGACCTGCAGCTGGTCCAAAGCAGCTCTCTCATTCTCATCCCCCATGTCCAACAGGGTCCCATTCTTCTCTCTCAGTCCCCTCTGCCACAGTATGGCCTTAGAGGTATGTGTCTTTGCACAAACTGAAGCAAGGACCTGTGTCAGAGGAGAGGACTGGGTCAGCTGGAGGCCTCACCTGCCCTCAGATGCTTTGAATATTGCAGGCTGAAGAAGTACTGAGCCCTGGTGCTCACACAGCACAGCTGATCCCTAGCACGGTGAAGACAACTCTTCTTTGTTAAAGAATCAACCCCACTCATGAACGCGAGATCCTGGTCTAGCACAGACCAAAGGTATCTCCTACCTGGGGCCTCACTTGGGGGGAGGCTTGGCTGAGGTGGTGGGCCTGGCCTAAGCCCCACAGAGCTGCCATCTGAAGGTGGAGCTGTATCCACACTGGGCAGAATCTTGGTCTCAGTCCCAGTCATGCTTCCTCTGCCCTGGGAGATCTGGGGGACAGCCCCAACAGGGTCAGACTCCCGGTTCTGGATGAGCCATGGTGCTGTCTCCTTGTCCCACGGCCACTTGACTGCCAATGCATTGTCCAGCAAGAAGGCTCTGCAGCTGGAATCGGTATCCATTGTGTAGTCGTGGCCCTGATCGCAGCCCCATACTGCCTGGATGATGCCACAGTACTCGGAGGACAGTGTTCTCTGAAGGCTGGGCAGGGCCCCACAGCTGGCAGCATGTCCGTGTACCCACCCCACTAAGCCATGCAGGCACCGGGGAGTCGAGGTGATCAGATCCACTGAGAAGAGTCAACAAGGAAGTCAGCCCCTGGGTTGGCCAGCTCACAGCCCACCCCTGGAACTCCCACACCAGAACCAGACTCACCCAGACACACTCCCTCCTCCGCCGCCATGGTGGGCTGAGCACCAACCCTGCAAAGGATCAGGGCGGCTATGAGGAGGAATCAAAGGCCCATAGAGTGTCTTGTCTATGAGCCTCTGGAGGTCTCAAGTCTCCCTAAGTGTCTCCACTGGAACCGTCTACCAGGAGCCCTGTCTCCTTCCCTTCTATGGCTGCCTTTAACCCAGAGAACCCAAAACAACCTTGCCACCCCCAGCATCTACATTCATACTCATCTACCAGCAGTACTGTGTGTGGGTACTGATGCTGGCTTCTACAGAGTGGACACAGCCTGTCCACCCAACCCTGAGGTTCCTACCACAGGACATCCTGCCCCTAGAGCAACACTCAGCACATAGGGTGCTCCTGAATGATCCAAAATATGCCTACTTTGCATAAGACTTCCGCTGGGCTGTTGGGGACACGTTGACCCTCTGCAAGAAGGACCTGAGGAGGCTGTGACACTGGTAGAACTGGGCATGGCAGCTCTTGCAGACAAACTGGGACAAGGATGGGTCCTGGTGCACAGCCACACCCAGTAGGTGCTGGAAGTCCCTGACGAAGACAGGCTCTCCTGGGGAAGGTTTCTCTGAGCTGTCCCCGGATGCCCTGTCAGAGATGCTGCGGAGACTCCGTGAGGAAAACTTCCCGTGGCAAAGGCGACAGTGCCCCGTGGCAAGAGCCCGGCCTGTTCCTGGGCAAAGTAAATGTCAAGAGTTGCCAAGTGAGCCTGGTTACTGAGCACAGGACACTCATACAAGTTCTGGGTCGGTTTGCGCTTGCACCCTGAGGCCCATGCTCCCCAACCAGCCTCCTCACCTGGAGGAGACGTGCCCTCCCGGGACCACCCTGGTTCCCTCAAAGTTAGACCTTAGGAGCTGGGTTCAGCACAACATTCTGCCTTTGGAGGCCCGCTGGCTCAAGAAACCTTCCAAAGAACTCTAAGTGCCTTTATGATGGTGGACTCCGTTTCTGCTCACACCATCCTTATGAGGCCAGAAATAAAATCGTTGCTTCCAGCCCAGTTGTGCTGCCCACCCTCGGTTTTCTATCTGCCGACTGTGCATGTCATCTCTCTCCTGCCTCTAGAACTAAACGTAGTGAGCGCTCAGAAGCAGTCCGTAAGCGGCAAAGTGTTACACAATGCAGGGGAAGGGTACTGCGCTAGCTGCCCCAGTCTGCTGCTTAGACACACAGCTCGCGTAGCCTTCCGCACATCTTTCGGGCTGCTTTTAACCCAAAAGAAACAGGTCCAAAGAGACCAGGCAGCGATGCCAAGAGCACACTCACAAAGAGGACCAACCCTATACCTGTATAGCTTTCGCTCAGGCTCTGAACCCCAGCGAACTCAGGACACAAAAAGACTGGCGTCTGACCACGGCCGTGGCTAGAGGGGCTGGGTATGGCTCAGAGCAGCCCAGTCGTGCGTTACTTGGGCGCCAATGGCGCAGGCTCGAGGGACGCTGGTCAGACTCACCTGCCTCGTCTGCGCCGTCCTCGACGGGATCCCCGCAGGCCCGTGCCGAGCCCCAGCCAAGCCGCGCCGCCGCCGCCAAGGTCTCCGCACCGTCGCCACGGGCTGGGCGACCCCGCACGCGACCGCTGCCCGCTCCTCCGCGCTGCCGTGCCAGCCCTGGCGACAGGAAGCGGCCGAGCCGGTCTCGCTTCATGGCGGCTGCAAACGCAAGAGCCGGCAAAGGGCTGCTCGGGGCAGCTCGGCTCCGCCCCGCTATGCTGGCTCAGTTCCGCTCAGCCCCGCTCAACGGTGTGCGGCTTAGCTCGCTCGGCTCTGTTCGGCCCCACTCGGTCCCGCTCGTCTGCTTGCTTGGTTCCTCTCGGAACCGTCGCATCTGCCCGCTCGGTTCCTCTCGGTTCCGCTCGGCCCCTCTCAGTTGTGTCCGCTCAGGAACGTTCAGTTCTGCTCGATCCACTCCGCCCTGCTCGGTCCCAGGTGACTACGTGCCCAGAGGGACTAGACCCCGCAGCTCGGCGAACCTCAGCGCGCCGCGAAGGGAGGGCGGGGCGCGGCAGAGCGGAGAGCGCGCCCTCTCAGGCCTGAGGGTGACAGTGCCCGCGACCGCCGCCCGCAACGGCCAGACTCTACTAGCTGTCGCCACGAGCCGGCGAGAGAGGGGACTTGGTCCGCTCTGTCCTTACTGCGGCAAGGCTGGGTAAGGGGCGACAGATGCCAATCCCAAGGGTGGAGAGACACGCGAGGCAACTGCGGGAGGTTCCCTTCGCCAGCCTCCCAGCCCAGAAGCGGAAAGGGTCAGCGCCAGCCACACAAGACCCAGGCCCCGCCTTCACGCCGTGCAGCGTCTACCTCCCCGACCCAGATCTGCGTATTTCGGAAGTACGCCAGCCGGAAGTGCGTGCGCGCCCCTACGTTCTCGGCGCCTCGGGTGATCCCCCAAGCCGGCTCACACTACGTTCCGCTCCGCCCCGCCCCTCGTCGCCACCTCCCCCGCCCGGCGCCATGGCCGCTGCTGCGGCCGGGGACGGCCTGGCCAAACCGCTGCAGAGCGCTATGAAGCTGGCCAACGGAGCTATAGAGCTGGACACCAGCAACCGGCCGCGGGTGAGAAGGCAGAGCGGGGTACGCCGAGGGAGGGTAGGGCGGGCGACTCCAAACTCGGGTCTCGAAGCCGCTCTCGCCCTCGCTGCCCTGTCTGGTCACCGAGTCAGAGCGTCAGATCTGAGGTTGGCTGCAAAAGGGCTCAAGGCGGCTCCGAGGCAGCCGCGGGACAGACAGGCCGGTGAGTGGGCGCGCTGGGGTCCCAAGCAGACGGCGGCCGGATTGGGTGGCATCCTGAATGGTCGACTGTCGCGCCAGGAGGTCACTTTCGAGGAAAGCCAGGCGGGAAAGGGCAACAGCCGCCCGACCCAGGGCAGGTGGAAAAACCCGCGGAGCCACCCGGGCTGTCCACTACCGGGCTGTCCACGGGGGAAGAGTCCGCGTTCACTTGGAAAAGCATCCTGTCCTCCCAGTTGCTTTTCTAGGGCAGCAGGTCCCCCTACAAGTCAGAAATCCTGCTCGAAATGCATGCTGTGCTTTTCACAAAGGTACAGACTTTTATCGCTGGGCTAAAGCAAAGCAAACACACCTGCTGTGGTTCCCGATGCCCTAACTCTGCTGGAGCTAAACAGAGCCTCCACATCCTAGGAATACAGGATTCAGGGTTCCAGGCTCCTGTGTGCACAACGAATCCTTTTTTTTTTTTTTTTTTTTCCTTTTTATCGGTACCAGGGATCGAACTCAGGACTGCCTGCTTGCAAGGGAGGCACTTATGCCGCTGAGCTAAATCCCCAGGCCCTCACAATGAATCCTTAACCTGGGGGTTCGGCAGAGCGATTCCCCTTAACCTAAAACAAAACAATCCTGAGATTTGCAGCCTCACTTTCTGTCTTCTCAAGAAAAACTTTCTTATGTCATGGAGTGAATAGTCCCTGAGTTACATTAGAAGGAAATTTGTTGCACAGAGTGAAAAACAAGAATTGAGGCTGCTTCTCTTGTGGCCCACTAAATGAATCTAAGATAGGCAGTAAGAGGAGAAATTGACACCTGTGTGGCCTCTGCTCTAACCACCCAGTGTGAAAGTTGGGGGAAAAGTGCTCTGACATCTTTTCCTTCAAGTCTGGACACTGCAGTTACTGTCTCCGCCCCTGTACTCACCTGCCCACCAGGCTGGATGTCTCTGAGAAATGAGCAGGCACTGCTGTTCCTGTGTTTCCCCGCAAGGGCACCAGGCAGATATGATACAACCATTCCCCTCTGCTTGCCTAAGCTCTACCATTTCTCTTTCCTGGACACAGGAGGCATATGTGGAATACCTGAGGAGCATCCATTACATCTCCCAGGTGCTACTGGAGGAAGTGGAATTGACTAAAGGTGCGACAGCCTTGCCGTTGCTGTCCCAAGCTGGGTGGGGGGATCTTTTATGTCCTTCCAGCCTGGTCACTACCAGAAGGTGGTCCATGAGCTACAATGCCAGAGTTTGATATTAAGGGGATAGGTCCTAAAGTGGAGCAAGATACTGACCCAGGGCAGGAGACAGTGAGCTGCACAAAGACAGGGGTGTTCCAGCACAGGGATATGGGCAGGATTGTGTACCTTGGGTGAGTGAAAGCAAGGCTCAGAACTCTGTGAGAGAGGCCAGTATAGGGGCAGAGGTTCAGGATGCTCTGTAGGGAAGACAGGACCTGCACCAACACCAGGGAGAAGTGAAGAATTTGGGGTGAACAAGCCTTGCTGGGGGCTGGCGGGAGCCACAGGGCCAGAGGATGTTCAGGCAGATGATGGAGTCAGTGTGAAGACAGGAGTGGACAGTTATCATGACACATTAAGTCTGGGGAGCATGTGCTTCTCTACATCCTTGTTTTCATCTCAGCAAGAACCTGACTCACAGTGAGGCTGACAGTAACCAGTCTTTTTATCCCTGCCCCAGATGCCTGGGAAACAATGCCCCCTGACACCTCAAAGATGCTAAAGCTGGCTGAGCAGTGCCTGGAGCGGGCCCAATCAACAGCTGCCAAACTCGGTGGGTGCCCAGATAAGGGAACTGACCTGGGTACCCCCAGTCTTTGCTTGATGGGACAGTCCCTGACTGGCTGAGACTGGCTGTGCATATGGCTTGCAGGGAAGACTTTCCTGAAGCCAGTGGTGCCCTTGGCTGCTCCAGCACCGCCTACTGGCCGACACCGCCGGGTGTGCTCAGATGAGGGAGGGAAGCTGTCTCCATTCCTGCCTCCTGAGATCTTCCAGAAGCTTCAAGCAGTAGAGTCCCCAAACTCCAAGAAGTAAGATGGCAAGATGGGTGGTATGCAGAGCCTGTGGTTGGGTTTGGAGGCTAAGAAAAGCTAGCATCCTATGGGGAACTCAGTTAAATGAGTTACAGAGGTGGAAGGTGTAGCTCAGTGGAAGTTTGGCTAGCATGCTCAAGGTACTGGGTTCAGTTTCCAGTACCTGCAGATTAGAAATACCTGTTTGCCTGGCAGAGCAAATGCAAATCTTTTTAGGAAGTAAAAACTTTGATCTCTCATAAAATTGGTGACGTACAGAGACAGCTGAACACAAAAAGAAGTAAGAAACTACCAGCCTACTTGGCAACCTCGAAGTCAAGAGTTCAATGAACTCATGAGTTCAATCCCTGGAACCAAAACAACAAAAAAAAAGAAACTATGAGACAACGTTAGTAGAAACTGAACTGCAAAGCTTTCTGGTAGGACGGTCAGGCATATATTAAACAACTGTTCCCTGATGCTGGGCGTGGTGGCTCACACCTGTAATCCCAGCACTCAGACGGCTGAGGCAGGAGGATCCTTGGGAGTTTGAGGCTGGCCTGGGCTGCAGAGTATGTTCAAGACCAGCCTGTACTGCATAGTGAGACCCTGTCTCAGACAAATAAATAAATAAACAAGTGTTCCTTGTACTTAGACAAACAACAGGCAAGTTTGAAACCTGTGGGCAGCAATAAACTATAAAAAGCAGGCTAGCAAATAAAGAACCAAGTAGAGATGAAAGAAACAAGAGACTATAACACTAAAGTGATTTTTAAAAAACTAGTTGGAAACAAAAAGAATTTATATTGTCCAGTAGAAATGCACACACACACATACCAAAATGAATAGACAAGTTTATAACAGCAGAGTAGATCTGGCAGCAGACAAAATGAGTAAGTCGGCAATACAATCCGAATTTACCTAGCATGTATCACAGAAACAGAAAACCCAAGAAAGAGAACATCTAACATACACTTTTTGAAGTTCTACAAAAAGGAAAGAAAATGAGAGAGACATATTATTGAAAGATGACAATTTTCTAGAAGTAATGAGAGATACTGATACATAGGCAAAAGCCAGTAGCTTAGGACCTGCTCCTCCTGCCTACTGCTAGGGGTACCCAGGCACCTTTTCTGTATCTGTAGTGTCAGGGCAGGGCCAGGTGTGGACTACCGTCTTGATCCTCCACCTTTATCTCCACTCCTTTGGAGGGCTATTGCTCCAGGACCTTACACCCCAGGAAACAGGCAGAGTTCTCCACTTTACGCTTGCAAGCCAGTCTCTGGCTTGTTCCAAGCCTTTGACAAGGTTCATGTTGGGGTTTTTATAAAGTCCCAAAGGTCCAGCTTTTCGTGAGAAATCCAAAGTCCTAGTATTACTGAGGCTAATGTTATGGCAGAATACAAGGGGCAGGTTCTTGCAGCCCATCCAGACTTTCTGCATTTCCTTCCTGCCCTGTCACCACCACCTTTTCCTTCCCTGGTCTCATAGCAAGGTCAGAAGGGTACAAAGGAGGCCACTGGGGTCACAGGAACACTCCTGGGCTTCCTGGTCTGGGTAGCAGCCTGTCACCACTTCCAGGGAGTTAACACCGCTGGAGGAGGCCTCCCTACAGAACCAAAAACTGAAGGCTACCTATGAAGCCCGGATGGCCCGTCTGGACCCTAGCCAGGCCATGCAGAAGACATCACTGGTGAGCAGAGCCTGAAGAGGGTCCAGGCTGTCCAGAAAGGGCCCAGACAGTGGGAAGAACTGCCTCACTCTTGCCTTGTCTCCTAGACACTGTCTCTGCAGCGGCAGATGATGGAGAACCTGGTGATCGCCAGAGCCCGAGAGGAGACAGCATCCTTTCAGACCATTCCTGTTGTCCTGAGGGAAGAGTGGGGAGAAGGCTGTGGGAAGTATGTTTTTTAGGGAAATAGCTCCCTAGGCCCTCCATGGGCTCTGGTCCTCCACTCAGCACAGTGACTGCTTGTTATCATCAGGTCCTCGGAGATGGGGCTGTCCTGGGGCCTCCCCTGGGAACTGCGTCTCCTTTGTCTTCTGTCCCTCTGGCCTTGCCCACTCACTGTATAGCTCAGTAGCAGCTGCATCTGCCACTAGGATACCTGGGATATGGAGGATGCTGGGGTGGGAGCAGATAAGGGTCCAGGAAGTGGTAGGGAGAGCCCAGGTCAGACATGGTGGCCCCTTAACACCGCCACCCCAGCTGCAGCGGAAGATGGAGGAACGCCGGCTGCGGCTCCAGGAGGCCACTAACAGGTGCAGCTCCTTCCTGTCTTGGGCCAAATAGGAAGGTCTGGTGGTGGTGGGGCTTCTGTGCTTGCATGTCCAGCCCTGGGTCCCCAGCCTGTCCTTCTTTGCCAGGAGGTTCTGTAGTCAGGTTGCCTTGACCCCTGAGGAACAGGAACAGCGGGCCCTCTACGCAGCCATTCTTGAATACGAGCAAGACCATGTGAGTGTTGGGCTGACAGGGTGGGCAGGGGATCCAGGGTCCTGTGGGTCTCCTGGTGTTGGCTCCTCCTACACCCTGGGGAGGGTAAGGGGCATCCCATTGTGGGGACCCACTGTGCTTTCCTCCAAGGTCCCTTGTCCTGCAGGACTGGCCAAAGCACTGGCGGGCCAAACTCAAGAGGAGCCCGGGGGACCTGTCACTAGTGACCAGTCTGGTTTCTCACCTGCTCAGGTACCCCGGTCCTCCCTACTGCTTGCATGCTGACATGGAAGGGCAACTAGAAAAGAAGGAGATGAGTTAGGAGGGCTGAGAAGGCAGCTGTAGCTAGTGAAAGGCCATAAGGCGAGGGGCTCCCACAGTGGGACTCAAGCTGTACCTCAGCTCCCCTTTGCACAGAGGGCTTTTCACTGACTTCCTTCATCTTTCCACATGGGGCGAGTCACTCTGTTTGCAACATTTGCCAAAAAGAAAGTGTATAGATCTCTTTTGTGGAATCTTTGACAGGGAGGCAGCTCTGTAGATAGGCAGTTGTCAGAGACAAGGCCATGAGGCTCACACAGGCCAGGTTCCTCAGCCCCCAGGCCAGAAACCAGCAAGTACACTGCAGTTCTGTGCAGCTCGGGCATGAGCAAGGGTGCATGGCCTCCTTGTAGCCAGGCTGTGCCCTGCCCAACAGCTGCTTCTCTCCTTGCAGCCTTCCTGATCATCCCATCTCACAGCTGCTGAAGAAACTGCAGTGTGCAGTGTACAGCACACTGTATCCTGTTGTGAGCCGGAGTAGCATCGGCACTCTGTCTGCCCCTGGCAGCTGCTCCTTGCCCCCAGATGCCAACAGGCTACTGGCTCCTGGGAGCCGGCGCCTTCGCACCTCCCAGAGCCTGTACTGCATGCTGTCTCCCCAAGAGCCCAGTGTGACCCCATGGCCCCAGGATGGACTGCCTGCCACCCCCTCCCTCCTCCCCAGGCCCCTGGACAGAGGAACAGATGGTAGCCCAGCCAGGCCCCCCTCACCCTTGGTGGATACCTTGTCCCACCTGCCTGACAAGGACAGCTCCTTTGAGGACCTGGAGCAGTTCCTGGCTAAGTCAGAGAGGTGGGGCTGGGGCTCTGGGGCACAGGCTGAGCCACAGGTCGAGGTGACACAGAGGGAGCCCTTGCTGGAGTATCTGAAGAGCACGGTGAAGGACATTCACAACGCCATTGGTGAGCTGTGGGTGCTGCCCTGCCCATGGCCAGGCACTCTGCTGGCAGCCCAGCCCCTCACGGTGGCACTCCTTCTGTCCCTAGCCGTGCCTGCCCTGGACCATATGGGGCCAGGAAGTATGCCCACTCATTCCTTGCTTGTTTGTCCTAGCACATTTCATTGTGATAGTTGACTAGGATCTGTGGTCAGCAGGTGGTCTTGCCTGTGCCACTGGGCTGGGCTTGTAATTTTGCAGCAAGAAGACTCTGCACCGTTTACCCTACTGACTGTGGCTGCCTCCAGCCTTCCCACTTTGGTGCTAGGCTGCAGGTGGCTTGTGAAGCCTTCTAGGGATGCAGGGTTTGGGCCCAGTAGCCAGAAGCCACAGTCTCAAGTTCTCACTGTGGTGACCATGCTCCCTGCCCTGCCCACGCCCCTTCCCATGATTCTAGAGTCCTTTGGGCTCCTGCAGACCTGATGCAGGTTCTTTCAGGAAGGAACCCTCTTTCCTCCTCAGGCTCCTTAGAGGAGTGGGGAGCTGGGGCCCCAGGCCACATGGGCAGGATGGGCAAGGGTTCTCTTTAGGCTTAGCCAGGAGGGCCCTCATGGAGTCCTCACTCTGCTCCCGGCAGACAGGCTGCTCTCACTGACTCTTCTGGCCTTTGAGAGCCTGAACACAGGTGCTTGCAAAGATCGCTGCCTGGCTTGTCTTGAGGAGCCCTTCTTCACTCCACTGTGGCCTCTGCTACTGGCACTATACAGGTACAGCTCTTGCCTGGCCACCAATCCTAGGCCTGGCATTACCCACTGCTGTCTCTGAGGCTTGTCTGGGTACTGACCATGGCCTGCTCGCTTCCTGTTCACTGAGGCTGTTCCCAGAGGTTCTGGTTTGTGGGTGGGCCCTGCCCACTCTCCACAACTGGGGCCCTCATTGCTAGCTCACCCAGGCTGAACCCCACATCCAGCCACAGCAAGGCCTCAGTCTCCAGGGTGGGGTCCTGGAGTGGCTGAGCCTGACCTCTCTGCCTTAGAAGTGTGCATCGCACCCGGGAGGCCGCCCTGAGCAGGAGCATGGAACTCTACAGGGATGCACCCCCCACGGCCCTGGGCATCCCCACCAAGCTCCTCCCTCGGGACTCTGAGGGCAAGGGGTCTGCCAGCTACCCCTACTGCAGCGCTACACAAGAGCTGGGGCTGCTGGTACTGGAGAGCTGCCCACAGAAGAAGCTGGGGTGCATCGGTATGGGAGTTTGGGGGGCAAGCAGGGCTGTGGTCAGGTACAACAGATGCTCTCCCCTCTGTGCTACAGCCCCACTGTGAGGGGCATACCCCTAATATGATGTTGATGCTCCCAAGAGGGGTGGGCTGTCCTGGTAGAAAATGCCCCATGCAGCCAGCCGCATTTCTATGCCACAGTACGAACCCTGCGAGCCATTTGTGTTTGTGCCGAAGACTACTGCCGCACCCAGGAGTTCACACCTGAAGCCGGACGCCAAGCCCCTGCAGCTGCGATGTGAGTCCTATGACAGCTGTGAGGACACTAGTCCTGAGGTTGTCCCACAGAGGTCAGGGTAGGAGAGGACAGTCCTGCTCTGTGCCTGACCCCTGGATGATCTGGTCAAAATAAGGTTGTATATCCCAGAAGCCTGTATTTTACACCATTTGTAGACTTTGAGGGAGCCCTGGAGGGATACTCCTCCACTGACTGCCCAACTGGGGGTTTCTGGCATGTGCTAGGGGAGGAGGGCTGTCCCCACCTAAGCCATGAAGCTCTGTGATGTTTCATCCTACCTTGAACCCCACCCTGGGCTCAGCTGTGGTTAGCTCTGCTTCTGGCTGCCCTACCCAAGAATCAGGGCTGGCCATGAAGACGTTTGTCATTGTGGGTGCAGGGGTCCAACCTCTGCCTGGCTTAGCCTCAGGAGAGGTCAGCACTGTGTGGTGCTCCTCCACACAGGGGGCAGTGGCTGCCCTATACTGGGTCTAGCAGCAGATGCCAAGGAGACAGGTGCTTGCTCCAGACCCCTTTACTACCATGAGTTTTGGGCTAAGAGTCTACAGGTCCCACCTTAGCCTACCTTGGGAGCCATCGGGTGTCCTGCCCTGTGAGTCAGTCAGCCTTGAGCCTTGTACCTGACTCGACTCCTTGCTCCTCTGAGCCTTGCAGAAGCTGCTGGACTGAGTGCCATGTGGCCTCAGTGCACATGGACCTACCTAGGACAGGTATGGAAGTCTGGTTTTGAGCTGAGCAACCCCAATCTCAGGGGCAGCCACCCATGGCCTGGAAAGGACCCTGGGAAGAAAGGACACCCAGAAGCTTGAGAGGTCCCAGGAGCAAAGGGGCAGGAGAGCACCACATTTCAGACTTGGCCTTGACACTCTCATGGGCACTCTTGCTGGTGTCTTGCACACTGGTGGATGGGACAGTGCCGGGAGAGCAGCCAGCTAGGCCAGGCTGGCCCCAGGAACCACAGGTTTAGGGAGCTGATGACTACCCTAGCCTTAGAGCCCACTAGCCATGGTGCTCCTGCTTGGCAGTGGCGCGGATGACCTGCTGCCCATCTTGTCCTTTGTGGTGCTGAGGAGCGGCCTTCCCCAGCTGGTGTCAGAGTGTGCAGCCCTGGAGGAATTCACCCATGAGGGGTAGGAACCCCCAGGTGGTGGGGCAGGGATCCCTACAGGAATACCTTGGCAGCAGGGACCCTACCCCTGATCTAAGCTGGTGGTTGGCAGATGACAGGTTTTATGTGGAAAACTGACCCCAGCATGTCTCCAGGCCCCTAGACAAGAGCTGAGGGGCTTTCCCCAACAGCAGACATGTCCCAGGGCTGTTCCCCTGCCCTACCATCCAAGGATGAGAAAGGTGGCAGGGAAAGGCCTCCTTATAACCCTAGCTGTGGCCCCTTTGGCCCAAGTCCTAGCCTGTGGAAGCATGGGGAGGAAGAGTCATGTCCCCTTAAGGTGACACCTGTCCCTTGCATGCCTGTTAGGTACCTGATTGGAGAGGAGGGTTACTGCCTGACATCACTACAGAGTGCCCTGAACTACGTGGAGCTGCTGCCTCGGGGTGCACTGGGCAAGTAGTAGAGGCTGTACCCCAAGGGCACCTCAGTACCTGTTGAAGACGACTCCTTGATCTCCATGCTGCTCTGCACTCAGGTGCCAGGCACCAGGGGCAGCCAGCTATGGTGGAGCCCAGCTGTGGCCCCTTTCCTGGTCTGCAGCTGTCCCCGAGGCTCAGGGCCGCATCTTCCTGCAGCAGGATGGGCACATCAGTTCTCTGTACCTGCTGTCCTGTGCCAGCCTCTGAGAGGCCTTGCGAAGGAAGCCTTGAGCTGCCCACCTTCAGGAGCACTGCACAGAGGGACCAAGAGTCAAAGGCAAGAGCTGCCCTTCCTTGCCTGAGCCTGGGCACATTGGGGGAGAACTTGCTGTTTATTTATTGAGCAGTGGCTGGGCTGTTCCAGTCTGGGCTTGGAGCTACAACCTCTCCCCAGCAGGAGACCTCTCCCAGACTCATTGTGGCAGTGGTTAATGGATGTTCTGGGCCCTGGCCAACTCCCACCCTGTCCTGCCTTTCCCAGGTCAGGGTGAGTCCAAAGGTTCCTGGCCATGTGGCTACCAACTGGGCCCAAAATAAAGAGATCACTGCAGTTTTCCTTGGTGTGGCTCCTCCATCTCCACCCACGCATGGGCCCAGGCTCAGGCAGCACAGCTCCCTAGACCCTCTGCCCTAGAACAGGGTCACAGAGCCAGGATAGCACAGTCTTTGCCAAGACAGCTAAACTCTCCTTTAGAGTGCCACCTGGGGGCCTCTCAGGATCATCACATTACCCAGGGACACAATGATGTGCCGTGGTTGTTTCCCACAGAGACACATGTCCCATAATATCCCACACACAACAGTGTTCCACAACAGCTGTGTGTTCCACCCATGGGCATGCACTCAAGTAGCCCCACTTCTGCCCATGCACACGAGGGTCTTGAGGGAGCTCTGTGTCCCTCATGGGAGGACACAGGGCCTTAAGATGGCCACGTGTGTCATGTGGGAGGACACAGCCCCGTGTCCTGCGGTGGCAGCACTCCACATGTGGAGAGGCCCATAGTGCCCAGGTAACAGGGAGTGGACAGGCAGTGTAGCATCCTCCAGGATGGCCTGTGGAACAGAGAGGCAGGAAACGGCCCTGGAAATTCCGGGTATAGAGGGAAACAAGGTGGCCGAGCACTAAGGACACAGGAGCTGGCTATGGGGTGATGACATCCCTGCTCAGGCTTCATCACTGACTAAAGCACTGCTTTGCAAACAGAATAGGGGATGATGAGCTCTATACTGCGTGAGCCTGCACATACCACCCCTATGCAGTGGGCTTCTGTGTTCAGGTGCTGTGTCTTGCCACATGACTGCAGTAGCCTCAGCCTTCCTCAGACTGTTCTCACTGGAAATCCTGCAAGTCAACAAGACTGGAGTCTCAATTACAAAACTAGCAATGGCTACAGACAGGCTGTGTATCTAGAGGAGAAAACAAAACACTAAGAGGGCCATGAATGGTGGTGCACACCTATAATCCTAGTAGGAGGCTGAGGCAGGAGGATCACAAGTTCAAGACTTGGCTGGGAAGTTTGAAGCTTAGTGAGACACTGTCTCAAAATAAAAAAGGGCTAGGAATGTACTCAGTGCAAAGGTCCTAAGTTCAGTTCCCAGGGCTACCAAAACAGCTTCAAAATCACAGCTAAACTAGTGTGGTAGAGCATACCTGTAATCCTAGCATTCAGGAGGCAGAGACAGGAAGATTGCCACAAGTTCGAGGTCAACATGTGCTATGTAGTGTGCTCAAGTGTGGTCAGAGTCAGATGAGGACAGAGATCAAAAAGCTGTTTACGTTTATTGGAATCTCAGTGCAAGTAATGAGCTTGCGAAGGGAAAAGAGAAGCCAGACTGGTCCGCTGATGCACACTTGTATTTGTAGATGAACAGCAAGCCATTCTAGCGTAGCCTTCAGGACAGCAGCTCAAAGACAGTAAATAACTGCTTAGCAAAGTAATTTAGGCAAGAACTGTACCATCAGCTGCAGCACTGATTCGGGTTTGAGGCCCCAGGGCAGCACGGACTGTTTGCTGACTTTCGCTCTGGCCGGTGGCCTGGGAGTGTTTCACCCAAGATGCCAAAGGGAACCTCTCTCCCAGCCACATAGACCTTGGACTTTCTCCCTCGTATTAATAACTGCCAGTTGTAAATTAATCACAGCCTCTGCTGCTCAGCCTCAAGGTGGTCTCCCGCAAAGAAATGCAAGTTAAAACTAACAAAAAACAACTTCATACTCACTAGAATCAGGAAGATTTTAGAATGCTGGACAATGGTGAGTATGTAGTGGGGCAGCTATAGGGTGACCTGGGAACTGAACAACTGGCACCTCTGGCCTCAGCTGCATGTGGCTGGAATCTGATCTTGTATGTCTGCCCTGTGAGTCCACAAGGGTGATGGTTTCCACCAAGAACAAGGAAGGCAAAGGAGAAAGTATCTGTCCTCGGTAGCTGTCCAGGTGGAACCAGTCACACGATGCCATTCAAGTGTATTTGCAAGTCTTCTACTATTTTCCTCCTTATCTCCATCTGGGCGGGTTCATGGGGACAGCTTGTGTTAGGGGCAGCCAGCCACATGCCTCAGGGAGACTTGCCTGCATGGTTACAACATTTATCAAGTTTCCTTTGAAACCTCTGGAGAGAAGGCAGACAGGCACCTTTGGCCAGGCAGGTCTCATGGGGGTATGCGTTGCTGTGGTTGTAGCCTGGAGAGGAGAGGAGCAGGGCTGCTGAGAAGAGGGTGTAGTCTAGCAGAATATGGTTGCTAAAGCCAGGACCCCAAGAGCTTCCTGAAGGCCGTCCCTCCTCCACCCATGGAACAAGTGGAGGGGCCAAGCAGGGAAGATCACAGCTAGGGAAAGAAAATATGTTGTAAGCCTAGGGCTCAGAGGAAGCCTGGATAGGGTCCGATTTGCAGCCCTGGATCTGACACTGGGCAGTGACCTAGCCCACAAGGGAAACCCACCTACCCTAGGTTGGTTGTCTGGTTGTTTTACACGTCCCTTTTTATGTCATTCGGTGCACTGTGAATGGACCCTACGGCTTCTAATGGAGTCTTTTGTAGCTAGGGAAGCGTTGTGCCTCTGGACCACATCTCCAGCCCGAGGATGCTTTTTAAATATTTTTCTGATACTGAGAACCCAGGGAGCACTGAGCTACATCTTTAGCCCTTATTTATTTTGAGATAGGGGTCTCGCCCAGCTAGTGTCAGTCTCAAGATCCTCATTCCTCAGCGTGCTGAGTAGGGAATCACAGGCGTATGGCAGCACGCATGTAACCCCAGCTATGTGGAAGGCTGTGGCAGACGGCTAGCAAGCTCGACCCAGCCTGGGCAGTTAATTTAACAAGATCTTATCTCAAAATTTAAAAAAGAACAAAGAAGTTCTGGGATACTTAAAAAAAAAAAAAAAAGGAAGCGCTGAGGCCCCAGCCCAGGCCGCCTTGCCTCTGGCCAATCTCCGACCCGGAGATGCTGCTCCCTCACCAGGCGCCAGAGTGCTCCGAGGGTCGGCACGAGCAGTCCACGTGGACTAAGGTCAGGACGCTGACTGAGCGCTCCTGGATACCTGCAGCACTGAGAAGTAGCACCCCGCGAGGACAACGGACTGCGCGGTGACAGGAACCGGTAAAGGAGCTCCTGCAGGTGTCCCGCAGGATAGGGCTGTAGCTGGCTTCAGGACCTTCCTAGGGATCGCCAGCAAAGCCTCGGAGCCACCAAAGCAGGCTCCAATGGCGCCGCGGGGCGGTCCTGACCAGGCCACGCCAACACCCGGGATGCCCGGAAGCCAAAGTCCCGCCTCCGCCGCCCGGGCGGTCCGGAGCCAGGCCCCGCCCCGACGTTGCGGCCGCGGTCTGGGGGCCGGAAGCGCCGGTGGAGGGAGCCTGGGAGGCTCACCGTGAGCGGCCTCGGTACCTCGGGGACAGTGGGCACCGAGAGGTAGCACCGCAAGCCACACGCTGTCCGGTGGGCGTGGGCACGGCCTCCGGCAGGGCGCGAGTGTCGTGGGGAGGCCCGCGCTGACCCGCTGCCGCACCAGGATGGGCAGCAGCTCGCTGTCCGAAGACTACCGCCTGTGTCTGGAGCGCGAGCTGCGGCGCGGCCGCGCAGGCGTGTGCGGGGACCCCTCGCTGCGCGCAGTGCTCTGGCAGATCCTGGTGGAAGACTTCGACCTGCACGGCGCGCTGCAGGACGACGCGCTGGCGCTGCTCACAGACGGGCTCTGGGGCCGCGCCGACCTGGCGCCCGCGCTGCGCGGCCTGGCGCGCGCCTTCGAGCTGCTGGAGCTGGCAGCTGTGCACCTGTACCTGTTGCCCTGGCGGAAGGAGTTCACCACTATCAAGGTGCGAGAGCTCAGAGGGTTTCAGTGGGCGCAGATCTGCGAGGGCGCCACCTGATAGGGATCTTGTCCTTCCTCAGTGTCCTCGCAGCCCTCGTGGCTGTGGAAACCCTAGGGTGGGCGCACAGGTCGAGGACCTATAGTCATGGTGATCCCTCAAAGGTCTGGGCTGCGCCCTTGGCAGCCCAGGAGGGCGCTGAGACTGGGACGAGAACTACCGGTGGGGTCAGGGGATTGCCCTGGGGAGGTAGGGCTGCCGCGCACCCTGAGCTCATTCAGAAGAGTGGGAAGGTGATAACGTCAGAGCGCACGCATGTGGGCGAGGTACGCCTCCGCCGGTTGTCATGGCAGTAACAGCCTCTCCTGCCGTGCTAGGAAGCCACCTGTCCCGCGGGGACACGTGCTGGTCCGGTAACAGGGCTTCCATTCATCGTCTAGACCAGATTGTAGGGCCCACCAGGACAAGAGGGAACAGATGGGCCAGCTCTGGGTACCCACAGACTGGGCAAGGGCAGGGGCAGGCCTTCTTCTGGCTTTGAGCACGTTGCCTAGTATCGCTGAGCCATTTCCTCTAACAAAGGGAAACAGTGGTCCAGTTCATAGGCTTTCGAGAGAGGAAGTGTAGCGGCTGATGCCAAATACCTGGCAGGTGTCATCCTGCCAAGGGTCAAGATGAATGCTGCAGGGAGCCGAAAGTCTGAAATGCTAGGTCGGCCCTGACGGTGCTCTCCAGCCTTACAGGCTTTGTAATTTAGAAAGCAGTTTCCCACCTGTTACTCCTGTACTCACACCAGCTGCACGTTGGTCTCTAGAGACCTTTTAAAAATGGTTCATCCACACGGTACAATACCACGCTGCAAGGGAAAATGCACCACAAAGTCTATCCTGGCAAGGAAACCTCTGAAGGATTGTTGCGGGGAAAGCCCAGAGTAGTAGTGTTTAAGAAACTGCCTGTTTTGCTGGGTATGGTGGTGTACCCCTGTAATTCCAGCACTTGGGAGAGTGGGGCTAGAGGATCACTGTGAGTTGAAAGCCATTGTAGGTTACATAGCAAGACCCTGTCTCAAAAACCCATAACAAGGGGCTGGGGATTTAGCTCAGCGGCATAAGCGCCTGCCTTGAAAGCAGGCAGTCGTGAGTTCGAACCCTGGTACCGATAAAAACCAAAAAAGACAAAAAATAAATAAATAAATAAATACCCATAACAAACATAAAAAACAGCAGCAGCAAGCTGTTCTGTAGTCCCAGCACTCTGGGAGACTGAGGCAGGACGATTGCAAGTTCCAGCCTACCCTGGGCAATTGAGTGACTTACTGAAATCTTTTCTCAAAGAAATGAAAAGAAGGCTGGGGATTTAGCAAAAAAGAAAAGATATCTTCAAAGAAATGAAAGAGCTGGGGATATAGTTCTGGGGAAAGGCCCATTCATATACATGTACACACACAGAAAACCAGAAACAAAAAAGAATGCCAAATATAGGGGAACCATTAGAGTACAGGTGGCCAGCAGGCCCTGAGAACAGAACTTCTCAGTGCACCATTCTTTACTTTGTTCTGCACTGTGAGCCATCGGAGTAAGAAGTCAGTTTTGGGAGAGCTTTTATAAGTCAGATGCATTTGTAACCCAACCAAGTCAGTCCATACAGGACTCCTGCAAAAGTTTACAACTCAGATGTTTGTAAGCCAGGGACTTAACTGCTTTTAATCTTGAAATCCCTGCCATCCAACCTTCCCCAACAGACCAGCCCAAGGGCGGGCAGTAGATCACAAGCTGGCTATGGTAGCAGCATGGGTTGCCAGGAGGGCAGCAGTTGACCAGGCCCTCTCTGCAGACCTTCTCCGGGGGCTACGTGCATGTGCTGAAGGGCGTGCTCTCCGAGGAGCTCCTCATCCAGAGCTTCCAGAAGATGGGCTACGTACGAAGGGACAACTATCACCTGATGGTCGCCACCCCACCTCCTGCCTGCCAGCTGGTCCAGGTGGCCCTGGGCTGCTTTGCACTGCGGCTGGAGTGTGAGATCCTGGGGGAGGTGCTCACCCAGCTGGGTACCAGTGTGCTGCCAGCTGAAGATCTGCTGCAGGCACGTCGGGCCAGTGGGGATGTGGCCTCCTGTGTGGCCTGGCTGCAGCAGCGCCTGGCCCAGGACGAGGAACCACCACCCTTGCCCCCTCGAGGCCACCCTGCCACCTATGGGGCACCCCTGGACCTGTACCGGGACCTGCAGGAGGATGAGGGCTCAGAGGTCAGTCTCTACACAGAGCCCTCGCCTGGCCCTGACTCACCCCCCGTGGAGCTGGTCTACCGGCCACCACTCTGGGAACAGAGTGCCAAACTCTGGGGCAGTGGAGGCCACACCTGGGAGCCCCCAGCAGAAGAGTTGCCCCGGGCCAGCAGCCCACCCTATGGGGCTCTGGAAGAGGAGCTGGAGCCTGAGCCCTCTGCCTTCTCATTCCTCTCGCTGTGCCATGAGCTGAGCAGGCCTGGGGACTTGGCTACTCCCGAAGCCCCTGGGAGCCCAGGGCAGTCCAGCCCCAGGCTTAGGCGGGTAGAGAGCACACTGGCCTCAGCCTACAGCTCTGTCCCTGAACCCCCTGGGTACCAGGCACACAGTTGCCTAGTGCCTGGTGCCCTGCCCACCCTATGTTGTGACACCTGCCACCAGCTACATGCTGCCCACTGTACTGCACTGCCTACCTGCCGCCCAGGGCACTCGCTGCGGGCACTACTCAGTGATACTCAGCAGCGCCTGTGGCTGCAGCGTGCCCAGGTGGACACCTTGCTCTTTGACAGTCCTGGGGGCCGACCCTAGGCCGGACTGGCCGGTGGTTCCAGGCAAGTTTCCATGGTGCTTCTCAGGGGATGGCAGGGGCCCTTGGCTATCCCTTGCTGTCCTGGACATGCCCTGCATGGTAGGAAGGGGCTCTGTCTCTGCTAGCAGAGGCTGAGCTGGGCCATAGGGACTTCTCTTGTATCTCTCTCAATGCCCAGCCCACATGTGCAGTAGGAGGGTCAGCCTGTCTGTCACAGTGTCCAAACCTGTCCCCAGGAAGGACCCTGCCCTTTAGAGGCCCACTGATACCCACAGTTCCTGAGAGTTTCCTGCAGTTTGGGGTTCAGGGCAAATTGCCTCCTCCCATGTTTGGGAAGGGTCCCCTACACTACATAGGTCCACCTGGGAGGCTCCACCAGGTGCACAGCTGACCTGAGAACTGGGTCTCTCCCAGGGCATCACAGCCCGGAGAGTTTGCAGGCTATTCCTTGGCTGGGGAGGGGTAAGAGCCCTTGGTTCCCCAGTGCCTGTAGTTGATCCAGGCAGTGGGCACAGCGACCCCAGAGGGAGTCATTCTGCTGCTTTCTGCCTACGTGACTGGATGGGCCAGGTCTGCCCTGTCCACTTGGGGGTAGGCACAGCAACTGCCACCTGTGCCCTATCCTCACTGCCTCCTCTCTGAATCTCCCTATCCCAGCCCTGCCCAGCACCCTGGGGATACTGTCCTTATCACACAAGTCAGAACTCTGCAGTACATTAAACAATGGTGAAACCACATATACTTGGAAGGCTTTTATCTCTTTATCCCAGGATGGGTGTCCATCATGTCACTTCTCCCCTGCCATCGTCCCCACCCCACCCCAGGCCCCTCCTCCCACCTGGACTCTGGTCAGCTCTGCCTGAGGTCATCAGAGCCTGTTTGTGCCCTAGGTAGCCCCAGAAGACCACGATGACCCTGGACTCAACTGATTGCCAGCATTCTCCCTGGGTTCCGTGCAGCAGCGGCATTAACAAGCATGGTGGCTGTATGCGACAGTAGGTGGCGCTACAAGGCCCCAGTCCTCCTTGTAGGCCACAGTCCAGCCTGCTGCTGAGCAGAGGCTCTTTGATCTGGAGTCCGCCCATAGCCACTGTCAGGGTTTGCACCGCTTGCTCTGGCCTTCTGCAGTGCCTGGGGCAGCCCGCTTGTTGCGGTGGTGGGGGAAGGTGGGCATGAGCTCCGGCTCACAGGCTGCAGAAGAGGGAGACCCTCTGGTGGGCTGGGGGTGCACTCCCAGTCTGAACCCTAGTTCACTGAGGCTCTAGCCCAGCTTTCCTCATCTCCTAAGGGGTCTGCAGAGAGCCCACCCTGGCCCCCACAGACAAAGGGCTGCCACTCAAACCCAGCCAAGCTGAGCCTGAAGGGGTAGGGAACTCACGTAGGGGCTTCTCCTTAAAGTAGGAACTCTCCAGGCAGTCCCCTGCTGTCGCCCTAGAGAAAGACAGCCTGTTAACAGGACCCTTGGCCTCAGGGAGGCCTGTGTGCTATGTGCCTAGCCCAGCTCTGCAACCTCTGGGCCAAATGTCCACCAACAGAAGGGGAGATGATAAGTAGGGGTCTGCTGCCCAGAAACCAGTGGGTGCCCAGGGTGAGCCTGTGAGTCTTCACTGAGCATCTGACCCCAAGTGCCTGGCAGGGCTGTCCAGATAGCAGTGCAGCCTGTGCTCTGGGGAACCATCTTCAAGGAAGTTTGCTGTGTTCATGGTGGAGTGTAGTTAGCATGAACAGATGCCAGAGTCTGTCCCAAGCACCACAAATAATGAACACGGGATTTGAGTTGAAGGACCCTCCATTCTGCACAGGCGGGCACCCTCTCAGGTACAGGGCCCAGAGCAGTCTAAGCAACAGGATCACCAGCCCCAGCCTGATCTCCCTGTGTACTAAGCCCCAAATCTAAGCAACAACGTGGGTATGGTGCTACAGGTGGCGCCCACACCTTTTCTTGGGATCATACATGAAGAGGAAATTCAGCAGGCGCAGCCCAGCCTCTGAGAGCCACGGAAACTTGTGCTTGAGGTTGTTGTATGGCTGCTTCCTCAAGCTGTACTGGCTGACAAGTGGCAGCTTGGAAAAGCCCTGCAGAAAGTAGGGAGGGAGAGCTGGAGCCCCTGCGGGGACAGGCATGGGGCCAGGCAGGCCAGGGATGGGTAGGGGCACAAACCGGCCAGATGTTCTCACTAGGCGTCCCCAGCAGCTGCACAATCAGGTCAACTTGGTGGATCTCAGACGTGCCAGGGAGGAGGGGCTTGTGGGCCAACAGCTCAGCCAGGATGCAGCCCACGGCCCTGCAGGGGAGGGGTCACAGATTTCCCTGAGTACAGTGCTGACACTGTGGTCAGAAGGTGCTGTGGAGGGGACAGACACATGACTGTGATGAGGATGGACCTGCCTCCTGCAGACCTGAGTGCCAGAGGACAAGCAGCAGCAGTGTGATGTCCTCACATGGCCCCTCACTCCTGCCCCATCCCCCCAGGGCAAGCAGCCCTCTTACCACATGTCGATGCTGGTAGTCTGGGTTGTGGTCCCCAGCAGCAACTCAGGGGCACGGTACCTAAACACAGGCACCACTCAGCTCTGCTCCTAGCTCTGCTCTGGGCCTCAGCCCATCTCTCGCAGGGCACAGCTACCCTGAGGACTAAGGCAGCCTCAGAAACAGGATCATCACTCCCAGCCCTAAACCCCAAACCCAAGTGACACACACATACAGTGCTGCAGGCAGAGTGCCACATGGACAGTGGGGTCCTTGGGTCACAAACTGCTGCATCCTCCATGCAGCACTCAAGACTGTCAGCCTGTTCTCCCAGGGGGCGCCAAATGACACTCAGCAGAGGCAACACAGGCCTTGGTGTCCTGTCCCTAACCACCACCCTGTTCAGCCTGCTCTGTGACTACTGAAAGCTACCACCCTTCCCTTTGCAGGCTCTGGCTGCATCAGGACAAGATGGGGCCTCATGTGTGAGACAGATCCCCTGCGGCTGCATCGTGTTATCCTTTCCCTGGGACAGAGATTAGCTCCTACAGATTCAAGACATCCACTCCCAGGGGCTCCACATTTCTGAGGGACTTACCAGAGGGTGACCACCTTGGGGGTCATTGGTTTCACTGGGACACCATAGGCCCGGGCCAGGCCAAAGTCCGCTGTAGCAAAGGTAGAGAGGGAAAGGCTAATGACTGGGCTTAGAGCTGGGCTCTAAGGTGACAGGCAAGCCAGCCTGGCCTCCAGGACCCCTCGCCTCCTCCACACGTACACATGCAAGCACACATACACGTGCATGCGCACACACATGGCCAGTGCCAGGTACGCACCTGTCTTCACACAGCCCTTGTCAGTCATGAGGAGATTAGAGACCTTCAGGTCCCTATGACAGAAAGAGAAGACTAGTGTTCTCAGGAAGCAGCCCCACGGGGCACTAGATTAGACTGTCACCATAGCACTCCAGGTGGTTCTTGCTGTATCAGCGCCAGTGGGGGTGAAGCACACACAGCAGAGACTGCAGCCCTACACATGCCTGGGCCTGGGTGTCTACATGGCCCAGTTCTCCTAGACAGAGCAGGAGTACATGGGGCCTTCTCAAGTTCACCTGGTCCTGGACCCCTCCCCACAGACAGAGGAACGTGGGGTGTCCACTGTTGTCCTCTAGCATTTGGAGGGCCACCTGGCCCAGATCCTCATGCCCACCTCCAAGACACACCCACAGCACAGATCGTCCATCCTAAAACATGGGATCCCTTGTCCTGGTTCCTGCCCACCTGTGGATGATGAAGTTCCTGTGCAGGTACTGGAGGCCCCGGAGCACCTGCAGCACAATGCACTTGACCTGTGTGAGTATGGAGGCCTTGGTCACACCAGCCCACACTGGGCCCTGGCCATACATTGGTCCTGGTCATCAAACCCAGCAGTCCCCAAAGTAGCCTCAAGAGCCTGGTATGGCTGAGAAGTGTTGCTGTTCCCTCTGCTTCTCAGTGACCTGTGCGCTGTGTGGATGGTGGGAACCCAGATTCCCCGCACCCCACATGTGTGCACAGGTAATTCCACATTCTCAAGCTCCCTGGCCCAAAGGTCAAGACCACATACCTGGGCCTCAGAGAAGGGCGTGGGCATGTTTTCCAGGAGGCTGGCCAGGTCCTGCTCACAGTAACCCATTACTAGGAAGATGCTGTACGGAGGCAGTCAAGACAAAGCCATGCTCCCTCCTGTGTCTCCTGGAACACAGAGCCAGGCCCACTGGTCTCCCAGGGAATAAATTGGGACATGCACCTCTCCAGGTGGTTTCCTACCACCACCTCCTTTAGCTCCACAATGTTGGGGTGGCGCAGACGCAGGAGCAGCGTGATCTCCCTCAGGCTGCTGATGGGGATGCCTATGACAAAGCAGCCATGTAAGCACCATGTGTCATGGCGTCCCAGCTCCTCACACACTCCACAAGAAGCCACCACCATCCCCAGCACCAAACCTAACCCTTCATCAAACAGCACCTCCTGGGCCCAGCAATGTTTGTGACAGTGCACCCTGCAGGATGCAGGGCAGACCTGGGGCTTGGCACCAGGGAAACAGCCAAGCTGGGATAAAAGGGGGCAGTCATGATAGCAGCAGGACAGCAGCAACAGAGAACCCACAAGTCCTGGGGGATAGAACTGGGGAGCTGAGGCCTGAATGGATGACAAGTGCCCTTTCATCACTATGCAAGTGCCCTGGAGTGGTTCAGTACGAAGAAAACCTTAGGTAATGGGCACACTGTTGAAGTGTGCTGAAGTCCAACCAGAATGGCTCACACCCTTACTTCCACTCACCGTCCTTCTCCTTGTCCATCCGCACCTTCTTCAGGGCAACAATCTCGTCTGTCTTTGTGTCCCGGGCCCGATCTAGAATGGGGACTCATCTAGAGTAGTCTACTCTAGACCCTGACCAAGGCCCCTCAACTCCCCAGGGCCCCTTCTCTTGATGGCCTAATGCCTAGTGACAATTAGTCTTGCTCTGCACATGCAAATCCTCAGCTTGAGACACAAGCTAGCCAGACCTTCCTCTCATACAAGTTGGGCAGAGTGTACCTAGCTTTGATCTATGTGCTGAAACCTGGCTTCAGCCCTACCTGTGCATTCTCCTCCTTAGTGTGTGCAGTGCTGCTGTGGGTTTGTTTACTATATCTAGAAAAAGCAACCGTTATTTGTGCAAAGATCATTTCACAAAGCATTTTGTCATCTTGTGCAACTTCCAAGCACTTGATAGAATGACTCACATTCCTGGACCTGGACATTCCAACTGCTTCAGGAAGCTCTACACGTTATCACTCTGACAGTTCCACCCCTCTGTACTGACTGTACTGGTGTGCTGACCCTCTTCCTTACCAGGACAGACTGTGAAGCACATGGAGTCGCACCAGCAAAGAAGGCTCCCCAACCAGCCTAGCTCCGGTCTGTAGTACAAGGACACAGTCCCATCCAGCCCAGCGCAGTGCCACGGCAACAGCGCACCCACTACCAGCTGAAGCCCACCTGAGGCTCTATGTCCCAATGTCAGCCACTCACAAACAATGCCATAGGTGCCCTCGCCGATGCGGTTCAGCTTCTCAAACTCCTTCACACTCCGGCATCGTCCTAACTGAAAGAGAGGTGCCACCATGGGGCGCTTGGAAGCTGAAGGGACAAGCAAGATGGGAATTTCACCCGAAACTGATAACAAGCGTGTGCACTGCACACCAAAGAGAAAAGCAGCTACATTTGGCCTTTCCAGTAAGAGGATGACGACGCCAAGCCCACAGTGAAGGACACTGAGAAGGGGCCCACTCACTCCCCCTCAGCCTAGGCTCCATATGTGTGCTGCTGAGGCTGGTGCTGTCACAGACAGCCCTTTTGGGTAACACTACAAGGGCCATTTGGCCAAAGAGAGTGAACCTCCCTTGCAAGCTGAGTAAGAGTTTAACGCTGAGTTAACATCTTCAGTCCTATTTATTTATTGTATTTTTAACACAGCAGTTAATGCTGGCCTCGAACTCAGCGATCCTCTTGCCTCAGTCTCCCGAGTGCTATGATACCAGGTGTGCACCACCATGCCTGGCTGGTCTTTTTAATTTTTTTTTTTTTTTAGACTCGGTCTCTTTTGCTTGTTTAAACCTCTTGCCTCAGCCTCCAGAGTAGCTGGGACTAGGTATACTACCACTCTTTTGACTAACCCAGCTGCTTTTGCAAAGCCGTCATAGGCTCGGAACTGAAGCCCCTGGGCCCGCGCGCCGCCTCCCCGCGTGCCCCCGCTCCGCACACCCCCCGCTTCCGCGCCGGCCGCGACGCCGATTCCCTGGCCGCTTCGATCCGGCCTGCGGGTGGCGAGGCGGACAGCGCTGCGCAAGTGGCACCCAGTCGCACCCTGTGTTCTGGAGGCACCGTGAAGAAACCTTCCTTACGGATACACTTCAGGCGGATCTGCTCCGACTCTGGGTCCGGATCCGCCATGCTTAGCGCCGGCCACGCTCTCCAGGGTGCGCAGGCGCACGATCTACTTCCGGCCGCTTGGTCCTTAGCAACGGTTACTAAGGACTCTCCCAGTGCTGGGTTCCTAGGGTCAGTCCAGACTACAAAGATTGCGGAGAAGCGGACCGGAGGCCGCGTCGATTATCCGCGTGGGGGTCGGGCCGTCGGCCTCAGCGGGCACAGTAGCCTCTGCCAGGCAGCAGGGGGAGCGGGCTCTCCGCTTCTGGGCGAGCCCAGCCCAAGCTTCCAGAAAGCGTGAAGACTGCAGTCGCCCGGGGCTTCTGTGCTGCAAGCTCTGCCCTGCCCTGCAACAGGAAGAAAAGTCTCGTTGGTTTACAAAGACAGGACGTCGTGTCACCTCCTTTGACTTCATTGTTGAAATCCAGGTGAGGTAGCGGTGCTCAAACGACTGCCCACAGCCAGACTTAGACTACACTCGGATTGTTCTAGACCCGCTAGAAGCTGGCTTGCCTGCTAGCCTCTTTTCCCTCCCCACGTCGCAGCTTGTAGCTTCCAAAAGATGTTTAAGTGACAAGGTCGATGCCAGCAGATCAGCAATTGTCCCGGTGCTTCGAGGTCCTCCAAATGCAAGCTGCAAGTGAGAGCTATTCTGTGGCAGCTGCTGTCAACCTGAAAGCAACCTCTAAAGAGGAAAATCCCGCGTGAGGCCAGCCTCCTTCTTCTTCAGCCAGAGCCAAGGGTTTAGGCCTCCTAGGAGGGAGGCAGGGGGCCTGCGATTCAAGAATTATTTAAGAATTGCAAGCCCAGACCTCCCCCTCCACTCACATTTTCCTCTACAGTTTGGGAAGCTGCTTGGCTCTGGAGCCAGCTGGGAGGCCTGATGGGAGAGAAATACCGTATGGGCCACTGAAGAGCTACTGGGGAGACAAGGAGTCCCAGGGGGCGCACTCAGTTCAATAGGTGGTATTTGATGGCTTGTGTGGAGGGTTGGAAAACTAGGCTGTTTGTACTCCTGGATGTCCAGAACACAGACCCATCTGGGCTGCAGTCGCTTAGGTTAATGCAAAGCAGATTTTCAGTAACAAATCAACACCTGAAATAGACTAGGAAAGCATGAGGCCATATCCTCTAATCCCAGTACTTGGAAGACAGAAGCAGGAAGATTGTGTTTGAGACCAGCTTCAACTATGCAATGGGACCCTGTGTCCAAAAAGACTAACTAAATAATTTAAAAATTAGGCTTCTAAACCGGGCATAGTGACACACACCTATAATCCCAGCACTCGAAAGGCTGAGGTAGGATTGTGTGAGTTCAAGACAAGCCTGGGCTACAAAGTGATCTGAACTGCATAGTGAGATCCTGTCTCAAAAAGACAAAAAAAATAAAAATAAAAAAAAAAATAGGCTTCTGGTGGTGTGTGCCTGTAATCCCAGCACTCGGGAGGCTGAGGCAGGAGGATTGCCATGAGTTCAAGGCCAGCCCTGGCTACATTGTGAGTTCAAAGCCAGCTTGACTACACTACAAAACAGGAGCCTGTCCCAAAAAAGCAAAAATAAGCCAGGCATGGTGGTGCATGCCTGTAATTCCAGCACTTGGTAGGCTGAGGCAGGATTGCTGTGAGTTTGAGGCCAGCCTGGGCTGCAAAATGAGTTCAAGGCCAGCATGAATTGCATAGTGAAACCCTGTCTCAAGCCAAAAGAAAAAAAAGCAAAAATAATAATAGTAATTATGCTTCTGCCAGATTGCTTGCCCCTTACCCCTGGGTAATTTAAAACATTTATGCAAAAGTTTTTAAACAATATCACATCTGCATGCTATACTACATTCTCTCACTTGTCAGGCAGGTACTTACACCGCTGAGCTGAATCCCCAGCCCTATACTACATTCTTTAGGTTGTATATATGTATGAATATATAGAGGACTAGATGCATGTACTAAATAGGCCTACATGCATGTATATATATTAGATAGGTGTGCATGTATGTGTTACTATGTGTGGGCATGTATATTTTATGCTTGCTTGCTAGTATTGCTAGATTGGCTTACATGTGTGTACCACATGGTTTTTATGGATGTACGACATAGGACTATATGTATATGCACTAGATAAGAATAAATATAACAGGCCTGTATATATTATGTGTGAGACTATGGGTCTGTGTATGTTCCAAGTAGGACCGTGTCTGTGCGTGTTAGATACGTAGACTGCATGAGTGTAGGTAATGGGTAGAACTGTGTGTGTGTAGTAGACTGTGTGTAGTGGGTGGGATATGGGTATGTACATGGTAGGACTCTGTGCATACATGTATAGATAATGCTGGATAGGGCTGTGGCTGTTTACTAGGTAGGGCTGTAGGTAGTAGATAGGACTGTATGTGTCTGCATATATATACACTAGCTCGGCAGTTGTATGTAGTAGGTAGGACTGTGCTTGTGTATGTGTGCACAAGGTAGGACTCTATATGTATGTCTACTAGGTAGTACTGCGCCCATGTGTATGTACTCTACAGGACCGCAAGTATGTGTATATACTAGATAGGACTGTGTGTGTACTAGATAGGAATGCATGTATGCTTGTATATACTAGACAGGGCTGTGTGTATATTGTGAATGTACTAGCCAGTACAATGTATATAGTGGGTAGGACTCTGTGTGTGTGTAGATAAGAATTGGTAATTGTGTGCATGCATATACCAGGTAGGCCTGCAGGCTTCTGCAGGAAGCCCAAAGTTGCAGTGAAGTTAACTATCAAGGAGGCTGTGCCATGGCATCATGTTGGTCCCAACCGACTTTCCACTCTCGGGACCTCTTGTCCATGGAGCCAGAAAAAGGACAGCACTGGCAAGGTCACTCTTGCAGCCTAAATGCACTGGCTGCGCTCCTCCAAATACAGTCTGTATTATTCTAAGCCTTTCTTTTTTTCTTTTGCAATACTAGGGACTGAATCTGGGGCTTGCACACTGAGCTACAGCCCCAGCCTTTTTATTTTTATTTTTTGAGACAGCATCTGACCAAGTGATTGAGTTGTCTAGGCTGGGCTAGAACTTGCAATCCTCCTCCCTCAGCCTCTAAGAATGCTAAGTTACAGTCATGCACAAGCACATTTGGCTCTTCTGGGCTTCATTGCTCTGGGTCAGCTCACAGTTGGCTAAGAGCCCTTTCCAGTGTGTGGTGGCTTTCCACCTTCTGCTCTGAGCCATTACATGTTGCTCGGTCCTCAGACTCTGACCTATCCCCAGAGTTTGTGGTGCAATGTCCACCCTGACCGCCAGGTGCTGCCCCGCACTCCCTCAAGAGGGAGCAGACGGGGCTCTGGCTGCCCACAGGGTCAGCAGATGACACCACCTTCCATCTTGCACAGCCAGCCCCTTCCGACAGACGGGGATAAGCTCGTTCATGTGGCACACAGGACATCTGAGCTGGTCCCTTCCATGCTCCACCAAGCCACCATGGCTGCAGGACTAGAGCACAGTGGCGGTCACCACAGTGGGCGCCCCACAGGGCAGAGCAAGACTCTGCACACACAGCTCCCAGTGCACATTTATTCCTTGGCCTGGGGGGTAAAGGCGGCAGCTGTGCTGGGGTTCCTGTGTCGAGAGTAGGGGCCCCAGTCAGCCTGCTCATGAATGGTTCTCTGGTCCTCGTTCCCCAGGGAATCGTAGCTGTTTAGGGTCTCGGTGGATGCCCGAGTGATGATGATCTGAGGAATGACAGTTTTCTTCTTACTTGACTTCTTCAAATCAGGTTTCTCTAGAGGGAAGAAAACATCCAGATGTTTAGAGGGTGGTGGGGATGGGTCCTCCACAGCACGGCCTGTGTGGGTCAAAGGAGAGGAACAGACTGTGTCAACAGGAGAGATGCCACACTCTCCAAGTGGATCTGCAGCTCAGCTGCAGGTTGTGGAGGCTGGCTGTGGTGACAGATGGGGCAGCAGGTCTGCTGCAGCAATTCAGGTTTCCGTGCCCAGGTTCCCAGGGTTCTCTGGTCAAGTCTCCCCAGCCCAGGACTCTAGGAAATACTTTATTGCAAGCTTTAGAGACGGACCTTCTGATGTCACCCACATTTCCATGTATTTACAAGGAGTGGGTCAGCCCTGTGTAGTGCCAGGGCTGACAGCTAGTACCAAGGAGGGGCATGTGGCACCAAGACTGAGGTGGGAGGGGTGTCCTGGCCTCTGTTGGCATGGCTGCATGCTTTACAAAACCATTCACAGCTGGGTATGGGGACATACATCTGTAATCCCAGTACTTGGGGGCTGAGGCAGGATAATTGTGAGCTTGAGGCCAGCCTGGGCTACATAAGCAAGACCTTGTCTCAAAAAAACTAAGAAAAAATTTTCAAAACTACAATTACACTGATCAAATGGTTGTGCAGCACACTTTGTCCCCTTCCTGGAGCCCTCAGGGGCTGGTTACACAGTAGGGTGAATAGTCCTTGATGAGGACAGGAATAGCATTTATTTATTAATTCATGTGGTGACAGGGACAGACCCTGGGCTTTGCCCAAGCCAGGTGATACTCTGCCTGAGTCAAACTTGGCCCCAGTGGCTTCCCCGAGGTGTCCTGTGCCTGAGAGAGCAGTAACTCTAGGCACAGTAGCACAGGGCACTGCGTGTAGGTCCCTACAGCAACATTTCATGGGAACAGAGGCACAGTGAGCTAGGTCACCTGCCCAGAACTGGTCCTCGAGGTGGCAGAGGAAGACACATGCACCCAGCCTTCAACCTTGACCATGTGCATGGCCTGTGCTAGGTGACTGGGCTGTCCTTCCTTTTTATTTCTATATGAAGCCAAAAATGGAATTTCAGGGTCAGGGATTTAGCTCAGCAGCCTAAGCGCCTGCCTGGCAAGCTCAAGGTTATGAGTTTGATCCCTGATAACAAAAAAAAAAAAAAAAAAAAAAAGGCATCTGACCATATTTTGTATTTGTAGTAAATTACAGATTCATTTTTACATTGATTATAAAGTCATATATTAAGATTTTAAAAGGTTATGAGTGTTTTTAATTAAAGCTAATATATAGTGATAGGGTACACTTAGCATATACCAGACCCTCAGTTCTATCCCTAGCACCCAAAAAATAATCATAAATTAATAAATACAGCCAGACACAGTCGCACATACCTGAAACTCAGTTGCTCAGCAGGCTGAGGCAGGAGAATCACAACTTTGAGGCCAATCTGGGCAACTTAGTGAGATCCTGTCTCAAAAACTTATAAAGTTGGGGCTAGGGATTTAGCTCAGTGATGTAAGCACCTGCCTGGCAAGTACAAGGTCATGGGTTCGATCTCCGATATCAAAAAAAAAAACCTTATAAAGTAATATTGACTTATAAATTGAACATGTTCATGTACCAATTCCCTATGATAAATGTAATCAGTATTTACTGTAACATGTACTAATAAAACTGAAAGGCACATCTTCCAAATGTTTTCCATGCCTACACCCAGCATAGAAGGGTGTTTTCCACTCAGCACTATAGCCGGGCTGTGCCTGAGGTCTGCACACTGCCATGGCTCTTCTGTCCAAGGGGTCCCATCCTTCATGCAAATGGCTCTTTCAATGTGCAGAGTGTAGGTCATTTGCAATTTTTTTTAAACCAAAAAAAAAAAAACTGAGCACTTCCCTGCACTTATGATTTTCAATCCTGTTGCCGTCAGAGGATGCAGGTGTGCTAGCTCTCATTTTGGAAGTAAGCTTGACGAGCTTTCTGGATATCAAGTCCATTGCTTAGGGTCGCCTGTGACGACGTCACCAGCTGGGGAAGTTTGGGGGTCATGGAGGGATTCTGCCTGTGCTGCTCACTGCAAATGAACACAGCCAGGACCCCAGTCAACTGCATTTTATTTCTTATTATTTTTCAGACTGAGCCTAGGACCTTGGCTGTGCTATACCAGGGCTCCCCCACTGAGCTAAGACCCAGAACTCCACTTTTTACTTTTTTTATTTTGAGACAAGGTCTCGCTAAGTTTTCCAGGTTGACCTCAAACTTGTGATCCTCAAGCCTCAGCCTCTGTGTTAGCTGGGACTACAGGAGTGCCCCACCATGCCCTGCAGGTCAAGTGCTTTTTGCATGTTCTTACATGGTAAGCACAGAACAGAATGGGAAAATCAAGGTATAGAACAGCAATGCATCTGGCTATGTTCTCAGCATCAAAGGTGAGAGGAACAGAGGAGGCTGCCCTGATGCTGATATACTTGTGTTGCTCACCTTGGTACCTACAAGCAGTGCAGGGTCAAGGGAAGACAGCGTTTGCACAGGCTGTTACCCAAGAAGCCCAGGGCCCATGGCACGTTCTCCCTCCTTCCTTCCTGGCCGCAAGGCCATGCAGCTCTTAGGAACCTCCCTTGTGGCCCCGTGAAGCATGGGTGCTGCATGGGACCTCCGTCTCCTGTCTCCAACGGGTGTAGCTCCTCCCAGATGTGCTCTTCCTCCCTCCCATGGGCTGCCACCCAGTTGGGATGGTGACCCAGTGGACCACACTGAGGAGTACGGCCCTGCAGGGTGGAGGAGTGGCTCTAGGGGAAGAGTTGGGATCTCTTATCGTGCAAAGAAGAGCATCCTGCAGCCTGGACTGTCCAACTCCATGAGGCCATGTGAGAGGAAATTCAGTTTCATTTCTCAGTGTCCAAAGGTTGAGGTCTGGTTCATCTCAGAGATTAGGTTTGACCTTGAATCTTGCAGAACATTTCCAGAAAAATGGAAAGTAGAACACTGACTTCAAGTCCATATTTTGACTTCTTTCCTTCCCCAAGTAGAGAGTTCAGGACTCTCTACCAGGTGACATGACAGTTAAACTGGATTGTTAACCTGATTGCCTTGCAAGCCACCTAGGGGACTAGGAGGACACTCTGGCTGTGTCTGGCCAGGTCATGGGGAAATGACCTTAGGGGCTGTATGTTTCCCTGATCTTTCCTCTCTGGTGCTGTCCCCTGCTCTGCTTCCTGGCCACCATCAGCTAAGCATCTTTGCTCCAGTGGGTCCCATCCAGCATGTTTCTGCTTTCGACTCGGCTAGCCATGGACTGGCTCCTTTGACACTGTGAGTTAAGTTGACCTCTCCTCCTTTCAGCTGTGAGTGCCTGATATTGTGTCTCAGTGATAGGAAAGCTGACTGCTGCTTGGGTGCTCATCAGTCATGTTGCTGCCTTTGTCATTTCCAATTTTTAAATCCTTCTCACTGCTTTTCTTTGCCAGCTTGGCCTTGACCTCACCGCCTAGCACAGGCAGGCCTCAAACTCAGAGTGATCCTCCTGCCTCAGCCTCAAGTGCTGGGACTCTAGGTGTGTACCATCATGCCTGGCTGGCTTCACTGTATTTTTATACTTACACATTATGAGGGTAAATTACTAGAAGTGGAACTTTTGTGCCAAATTCGATAAATGCTTTCAAATTTTAGTAGATATTGTCAAATTGCCTTCTGTAAAGACCGTATCAGGTTGGGGGCATAGCTCCTAGATAGAGGACACATCTGGCATGCATGAAGCCTGGGTTTCAATTCCCAGCACCCCCCAAAATGTATTTAGACTGAGAAAGGCATTCCCTACTTTAAATGATAAAAACATTTAACTATTTTCATTCAGTACTTTTTTTTTTTGTCTTTTTCTTTTTATCGGTACCAGGGACCGAATTCACGACTGCCTGCTTGCAAGGCAGGCGCTTATGCCGCTGAGCTAAACCCCAGCCCCTCATTCAGTACTTTTATGTAGTTAATTTTCTTTTTTTTAAATTTTGTTTAAGAGGAAAAAGAGAAAAACACAAAACAAAACAAAGTGGTGTAAGGGTACACATAATACAGAACTACAAAAAAAAATAACAGTAAGAAATCACCTGTTAATAGATTACATATTATCATCTTGGAAATAGTTGCTCAAATCACAGTATCAAAGAATACAAAGTGGACATTCAAACAGAGAGACTGCAAACAGCTGTGTTCAATGATCCAAAAACATTAATATAGTCAGCTATTTAACACCCCTAAACACACTTGCTGTTATATCCGTTAGAGCTCTTCCCCGCCCCCTCTTTTTTACAACAAAATTTACACATTTTGGATTTTATTACTACTTAGTTCTTATTACTTTTTTTTGGGGGGGAGAGAATAAAGTCAAATATGGCAAAACAAAGCTGTCAGTTAAAACCAAGGATAGACATAGCACATGGTGTAGAACAGAGTACAAGGTTATCAACAATGGTTATCAACGTTGTCTCTTGTTTCCTTAAAAAGAATTGTCTATCTCATTAGATATTATAAAGTTGGACAAAACAGTAGAGAACAAGACCAATAAAACTTAGGCATTGTAAACATTACAGGACTTCCAAAGGAGACAATAGTCAAACCAGAATGGGCATCTTAGTGAATCTTACTGCCTTCAAAGTAGTTGCCTATACCCTCAAACTTGATACTATCGCACAGAATGGAACAGAGTCTAATCAGTCAAAACAAGATCGTGGGAGTATTACAGGACTTCAAAACAAGTTAATAGGAAATCAAAAAGAGTTACTATTATATATCCTAATTTTTTAAATTTTTCCCCTTAATTAAAACAAACATAAGAAATAACTAAATAATTTTTTTAAAGAATAAGGGAGAGATTGAGTTAAAACAGGACATAACAATATAACAATAGAGGTCAAAGCATGACTGTTTCAGCAACCTCATGTTTCACCACCCAATAACCCGATTTAATAGTAGTTACCATAGTGTCTGTCTTTTTCCTTGAAATATTTGGATAGAACTTCATATACTAT